TTTTGTTGCAGCTGGGGCAGAGGAAGGCGTCTGTCTGTGTTGCTGCAGCTGCACCAGGGAGTTCATTCTCTCTGCACTCCTCCCACCGGTCATTCCTCCTCTGGCCACTGCTGTGGATGCATGACCTAACTGCTTGTCTCTAGGCACTGTGACTGTCTGCACGGGATTCCCACATGACAGGGGTAAAATCTGCTTGAGAGGCCCCCACTTCCAGCTCAAATTTTTGCATTGCAGTGGGGTTGGACTAGATGACCCTGGGGTTCCCTCCAGTTCCATGATTCTAGGACAGGCTTCCTCAACCTCGGCCCTCCAGATGTTTTTGGCCTACAACTCCCATGATCCCTAGCTAGCAGGACCAGTGGTCAGGGATGATGGGAACTGTAGTCTCAAAACATCTGCAGGGCCGAGGTTGAGGGAGGACATGTTGGCTTACTGTGAGTTGAATGCATGCCAAGAAGGGTGCGTAATCCTGTGTCAGTAGACACAGAAACCCCCCTTTTTTTCTTTTTTCACCGGTCAACTTTATTCCAGGAGGTTAGGGAAGCTGCAGAACAGCTCTGGCGAGAGATATTTTGCTCGGGGACTCCTAAAATCTGCCTGTTGGTTCCACCCAAAAATACACATACGTGCGCATTCCCTCGCACGGGGCGTGCAGCTAATTATTTGTTAACCAAGCTGCATTTATAATGTTTACCTCATTCATCCTCCTAACGAACTTAAGTGAGGTCAGGACACAGCGACTTGCCCAATTCTGACAAAGGAGCTAGGCTCTGAAATGGGATTTTCTCCAAGTCCAGACCTAATACTGCGGCTTGCTTGTTCCCAAACACCTTCTGCCCTTGCATTCCTGTAGGAGTTCCCTGTCCTGAAACAGATAGATTGATTTAAAGTCTTTGTATACTTCTTTTCAGGCGGACCTCTCCAGTTTGCATTTTAAATAATAATAATAATAATAATAATAAATTTTATTATTTATACCCCACCCATCTGACTGGGTTTCCCCAGCCACTCCGGGTGGCTCCCAACAGAACACTAAAAGCAGAATGAAAACTTCCCTAAACAGGGCTTCCTTCAGATGTCTTCTAAAAGTCAGATAGTTATTTATAAAAATTAGGCAATGAGACAAGGCACGGAATTGTTTCTGCCGTTCCCTGCCTTTCAGGGGGTTGGTCTAGATGCCTCCTGGGGTCCCTTCCAGCTCTGTGGTTCAGGGCAATATTCATCTTCAGAAGCCCCTCAGTTGGAAGAGGGAAGGGAGCGGGAGGTTGACCAGGGATGGGATTTCACGTTTACAGGTGAACCCACCAAGTTCACATTTCCCGAAGCAATCTGAGACCCAAACCGCAGCAGCCCTTCAGAATTTGCACTTGTCCAACCGTTACGATGCAGTTCTCCCACCGGGTAACATGCGCAAAGACGCAAATGCTGGGAAAAATCTTGCATTGTGGGTTTCCCAAATGGATTTGTTAAATTAGGGGCAAGGGGAATTGCTTGCAAGAATGTGCACATTACGCAAGGTTGCACAAGCGTGTGTGTCCAATAGGACATGGCCATGCTAAAATGCCACTACGTTTTCAGTAAGATAAGAGTATATATATATTTTTTAAGCGATCATCGCAGACTGATGTGGAAATGTGGGGAAATGAACCTAAAAGATTGGAGAAATGAAAAGCAGAGAGAAACTGAAATTGAACAGGTTTGCCCAGGCTTCATGGTGGCAGCTCCCCTGGCTATATCTGTAAGTCTTATTAAGTCAGAAAATGGATCCAGGACAAAGTGAGGGGGATCCTCTGTGTGTAGGTGACACTTGTTTTGCACACTTCGCTGTCAGGAAGGCTCTCACTCCCATCAGCAATACCCGGTGTGGCCAGTGGTAAAAAATTATCAGAGTTGTGGAATTGGCCAACAACCCTGTGAGGTAGGTTAGGTCGAGGGGCAGTGATTGCGGGGGGGCCCCTCCAGGTTACCCAGCGAGCTTCATGTCCCGAGTGGGCATTTGAACTCTGGTCTCTCATGTCCGAATAATAATAATAATAATAATAATAATTTATTATTTCTACCACGCCCATCTGGTTGGGTTTCCCCAGCCACTCTGGGCGGCTTCCAACAAAGATTAAAAATACATTAAAATGTGACACATTAAAAGCTTCCCTGAACAGGGCTGCCTTCAGATGTCTTCTAAATGTCAGGTAGTTGTTTATCTCTTTGGGCACCACTACCAAGAAGGCCCTTTGCCTGGTTCCCTGTAGCTTTGCTTCTCGCAGTGAGGGAACCACCAGAAGGCCCTCGACGCTGGACCTCAGTGTCCGGGCTGAACGATGGGCGTGGAGACGCTCCTTCAGGTATACTGGGCCGAGGCTGTTTAGGGCTTTAAAGGTCAACACCAACACTTTGAATTGTGCTCAGAAACGTACTGGGAGCCAGTGTAGGTATTTCAAGAATTCTGACGCTCTAACCACAACCTCCTCCCCACTGGCTCTCTAGTACAGGAGGCTGATATAATAATACAGTGGTACCTCGGGTTAACTACTTAATTTGTTCCGGAGGTCCGTTCTTAACCTGAAACTGTTCTTAACCTGAAGCACCACTTTAGCTAATGGGGCCTCCCGCTGCCGCCGCACCGCTACTACACTATTTCTGTTATCATCCTGAAGCAAATTTCTTAACCCGAGGTAATATTTCTGGGTTAGCGGAGTCTGTAACCTGAAGCATATGTAACTTGAAGCGTGTGTAACCTGAGGTACCACTGTAATAATAATAATAATAATAATCTGAAATACAAAGTTGGGAGGAGATACTTTGACATGCAGGCTGCAGCGAGGGGGCGTTGAGGGGAGTGTGGGATATTCTGAATACCTGCATAATAAACGTAAGACAGATAATGCAGCTGGTGGTACACCTTTGGGATCAACCGTTCGGCAGCTTCGTAGAATTGGAAGGGACCCCATGGGTCATCTAGTCCAACCCCCCGCAGCGCATGGAAAGGCTCTCCCCAGAGAAGTATTACTCGCCAGAGTTTGTTTTGCGCGAGAGGTGTGTGCGCGAGAGAGAGTTGTGCTTGCCCGTATCTTTGTTTGCCCAATTAATTAATCATCCCTATCAGTTAACCCACACCACAACCTTTTCATTACTGTTTATAAAGTGCAGGGAATTCAGGCAGCAGTGCTAGTGACCTAGTTTTTTTCTTGGTAAAACTCAAGTGAAGCAAACATGTAAAAAGCACTGTGGCCTTAACCCAAACAGTCCCGTAACTCGATTCCGCACCTTTATTCTCATCCAGTAGCAGCAGCAGCACACTATCCTTGTTGCAGGGGGAATGGGCCAGGATCCCTGGTGGCTGCAGAACGGTGTGAGGGACAGGCGAGACCCTTTCCACTAATGGCGTCACTGGCACTGTCCAATAGGTAAAGGTAAAGGGACGCCTGACCATTAGGTCCAGTCGTGGCCGACTCTGGGGTTGCGGCGCTCATCTTGCTTTATTGGCCGAGGGAGCTGGCGTACAGTTTCCGGGTCATGTGGCCAGCATGTTTAAGCCGCTTCTGGCGAACCAGAGCAGCGCACGGAAACGCCGTTTACCTTCCTGCTGGAGCGGTACCTATTTATCTACTTGCACTTTGACATGCTTTTGAACTGCTAGGTTGGCAGGAGCAGGGACTGAGCAACGAGAGCTCACCCCGTTGCGGGGATTCGAACCGCCGACCTTCTGATTGGCAAGCCCTAGGCTCTGTGGTTTAACCCACAGCGCCACCTGCATCCACTAATGGCTTTCCACTAATGGCGTCACTGGCACTGTCCAATATCTCCATAGCCCATGCTGAGTTTGTAATCAGGATGGCAGAAATCTCACTTGCCCCGCAGCAAATGACCCTGTTTCGAGTCTCCAGAAAAGGTAGCGCTCGCCTAACAGAAGCACTCTCTTACGATAGCATCTGAATCCCAGGCGTTAAGCAGGAGAGGCAGTGTGGTGTAACAGTTAGAGTGTCGGACTATGGCAGTGAGAGACCAGGGTTCGAAACCCCTCTCAGCCATGAAGCTCACTGGGCAACCTTGGGCCCGTCGCTGTCTCTCTCCCCCCCGCCCCCGGTAACCTTCCTCACAGGGTCGTTGTGAGAATAACATAGGGAGAGCCATGAGGAAAAGGTGACGTAGATGCAATAACTAAATAAACAAGGGATTCTTTGTTCTATTTATAATAAAAAGCATTTATATGCCGCCTTCTCGCGAAATACCAGGGCATTGTACAGCAACATTTTTTTAAAACCCTTTATGTTGAGTATTTGGCTCAATGAACCTGTTTTCAGCAGTGTAGAAAAATGCTTCCCGTGTCGACAGCTTTCTCAACACAGCTTGAATAAGCAAATCTTTCCGCGTGGGTTCGTCATGCAGTCAAATGATTGGCTTATTAGCAGCTAGGCAACGTCCTGTTTGGTGCTTGAACCCTCCTTGCACAGGAATACCCCACACAGCCAATCAGATACTATTAAAAAATAATAATATTCCAAACATGCTTAGGGTCTTATTTCCTCCTTTACCTATCTGAAAATCAAAAGTGGCGCTTTAAATATCTACCTCTTTTCCTTTCTTTCTCTTTTGCGCAAATTGGCCTACAGATAAAGTCGCCAGCTTTCCCCTGGTAGAGTCCCTTCAACCATGAACTTGCAGAAACCTTAGCAGGTGAAGTCCCGGAATTGGGCATGAACGGCTAGGGGCATGTTTGCGTGCTGAATTTCAGGAAATTCAGGAAAGGCTCGTTCGTACAAATGCAGTGGGTGTGTGAATAAGCTTCGGGAATAAATATAGAATTCCATTATACAGGCTGTTTTGTTGGCTGCAAGGTGAAACATTTCCTCCTTTTTTGCTGGGGGCATGCGGGTCCGTGCAGTTGAAAGCCTTTTCAGGCCACTCCTTGACGGAAAAGGCTCCCAAAGGTCAGTAACCAATAAGCCTATTCTAGGCTGCATCAAGAGAAGTAATATTCCCGAGGATTCTGCCTTGGTCAGACCTGGGTAGCTCCATTGCTTAGAGCGTGGTGCTGATAACGCCAAGGTTGCTGGTTCGATCCCCGTATGGGACAGCTGCATATTCCTGCATTGCAAGGGGGTTGGACTGGATGACCCTCAGGGTCCCTTCCAATTCTACAGTTCTGTAATTCTATGACCACACCTGGAGCTGTCGCTCTAACCACTACACCGCACTGCCTCTGCGCACATCACTTGGTGACCAGCCACTTTTTAAATTTGTTGTCAATTAACATTTACAGTCATACCTCGGGTTACAAACGCTTCAGGTTGCATTTTTTTGGGTTACGGACCGGAATGGGTTACTTCTGGGTTTCGGCAGATGCGCAGAAGCGCTAAATCACACTTTGCACATGCGCAGAAGCGCCGAATCGCAACCCGCGCGTGCGCAGACATGGGTTGCAAACATGCATCCCGCACGGATCACTGTATATACCATCACCTGTATATACCACTGTATATACCATCACCTTTGTCTTGCAAGGACCTTTAGGCGGGGCACATCGTTCTCGCCTCTCGCTGCTCAACCTCACAACAGCCCTGTGGAGTAGGTTAGGCCAAGAGATGGCCTGAAGGTCAGCTTCATGGCTGAGTGGGGATTCGAACCCTGGTCCCCACGGTCATAGTCCAACACTCTAACCATTACACCACACTGACATGTGGGCAGAGTGGTCTGTTTGGGAGCCAATGAATGTGGTGCTGGAGCTCAGGATGTTCATTCCTGGCATCAGCTCTCCAGGAGTCGAAACAAGGTTCTCCTGCAGGATGCAGAGATTGAACCTGGGTTCTTCTGCATTCAGGACAGGTGTCCCACAACTGAGCCACCCTCCATCTCAAGGAACAGTTCTTAAAGTCACAAAGCCGTCCACGGCACAGATTTTGCGTAAAATCTGCGCACATTGGTTTATGTGCAAAGATACAAGCTAAGTCGGGGCGGGGGTCTCGCAAGCTCTGAGCTTTGCAACATGCCCAGCAGCTCTGCTGTTGCACGAGGATTTGAACCCTGGTCTCCCAGGTCCTCATCCAATGCTCTAACCCAGTCATAGGCAAACTCGGCCCTCCAGAGGTTTTGGGACTACAGTTCCCATCATCCCTGACCACTGGTCCTGTTAGGGTGCATGGGAGTTGTAGGCCAAAAACATCTGGAGGGCCAAGTTTGTCTATGCCTGCTCTAATCCAACAGTTCTCAAACTTTGTTCTCTGGGCCACGCTTTCAGAATGAAAATTTGCTCACGCCACTCCAGTTTTTTTTATTGATAAGAAATACATTTGGGTGGGGAGAACCAATTCCTAGCAGTGCCTGATTTAGGACACAGAACACAACTGCTTTAGGATACGATCGTGCGACATCCAGAACGTAGAAAACAATCCCGCTAAAAAAATAACATGAATCGTTCCCAAAATATAATTATAAACGAGCCTCTTACATATGTACATTAAGCACATTACATAAATACATTAACTCCATGAGAAGTGGGAGCTTGCTTTTGCCGGGTAATCTTGTTTATCCTGTGCTTTACCAACTGCACTGGCTCCCAGTGGAGTACAGGGTCAGGTTTAAGGTGCTGGTTTTCACCTTTAAAGCCCTATGCAGCCTAGGACCCTCGTACCTACGGGACTGCCTCTCCTGGTATGCCCCGCGGAGGACCTTAAGGTCCACAAATGACAACAATTTGGAGGTCCCAAGTTGCACGGTGGTTTGATTGGTCTCAGCTAGGGCCAGGGCCTTTTCAGTAGTGGCCCCAACTTGGTGGAACGCTGTGTCACAAGAGACCAGGGCCCTGCGGGACTTGAAATCTTTCCGCAGGGCCTGCAAGGCAGAGCTGTTCCGCCTGGCCTTTGGTTTGGACTCAGTCTGACCCTTATGTTTCCCTCCCCTTATGGTTTTGATCTATGGGCTACTTTTAAAATGAGGCTGCATTTTAAATTGCATTTTAACCTGTATTTTAAATTGGGGTTGTTGTTTTTCCCCTATTATGTTTTTACTGTAATTTTACTGGTGTTAGCCGCCCTGAGCCTGGCTCTGGCCAGAGAGGGCAGGGTATAAATAAAATTTATTATTGTTGTTGTTATTATTATTATTATTATTATTAAGTTATGTCTAATTTGAGACAAATCTCTTGTCATCAACACAAGCCTTTCTCCTTTCTGATCTTTCACATCTGTCAGAGTTGGAAATCCCTGTTTTGGATCATAACTACAATTGTCCTCAGTACCCCTTGATGTTCTTGCGCTCATTTTGAAAAGATACCTCACCATCTTTTGCAAGTTTTTTTTTATAAAAGAGCTTGAAAGCTGCCAAGCAGCTGTGCAGCCTCCGCGCTGGGGTGTCCGGGGGGGGGGGGGCGAAGAGCGCCGTGTGAAAATTGCAAAAACCCCATTCTTGTGACGCTTGTAATTTTCCTCTCTCCCTGCCACATGCTCAATGGAAATCTCCTCCCCTTGAAAGCCAAACATAATAAAAGCCACGATAGGGAAGCCACGCCTGGAAACCAAAAGGGGAAACTGCTCTCTGCCTATAGGATCACTCTGCGGGACCAAGCCAAGGCAGGGATCAGCTCAGAGCCTTGGAGATCTGCCAAGTTGAGCTGCGGAGGCTGGAGCTTCCAGGAGGGAATTTCTGCCGGATGAGAGGGCTGTTTCTCGCTTCTGCCAAAAAGCATTATTCCTCTTAAGCCAGGAGCCGCTTAGAAGGAAACTTTCTCCCCGTCCGTTTTTTAGCCATTGTGCTTTCGTGTCCAACCCGCCGCTCCGATGCCGCACAGCATGTGAGTCCTAATTGTGCCGGAATTGTCCTAAGCGCCTCTTAGGAGGGCTGCTTGGGTGAATGTCTGGGGAGGGAAAGGCAGAATCGAGAAGATCAAATAAAAAAGAAGGTGGCAAAAGTTTTGCCACTCTGCTTTGTTTGGTCAGTGTTGCCTCCACGGTCCAGGGCTTGGCCCTGGAGTTGTGAGCCTTTCTCAAGGTGGACAAACTTGCTTTGCATTTAGCAACTACACCATGGGTAGGGAAACTTAAGGCCCAGGGGCCGAATCTGGCCCAATCGCCTTCTAAATCTGCCCTGCAGACAGTCTGGGAATCAGCATGTTTTTACATAAGTAGAATGTGTCCTTTTGTTTAAAATGCACCTCTGGGTTATTTGTGGGGCATAGGAATTCGTTCATTTCCCCCCCCTTCAAAATATAGTCCGGCCCCCCACAAGGTCTGAGGGACGGTGGACTGGCCCCCTGCTGATCCCTGATCTACACATACCTCCATGTTGTCTCTTTTTTGGAAGGGGGGGCCGGCTGAGGAAGGGAGGGACTTGGTTAACTCCGCCTTGTGGCAAAGTTATGGCGAAGGCAGCTTGGAAACTGCCTTATTTCTCTCTGTGGGCTCCTCCAGGCTTATTCTCTGTTTATTGAGCATTTGTCCTGATTTGATTTGCTTACGCAGTTAGACTACATCCAGACTTTATTGAGCATTTGTTCCAGTATGACTGCGGGACAGTTATACAGCCAGTGCTTTTTTTCTTTAAAAATGTTTAGGGGTACTCTCATTTTCCTACTCATATTGAAATACTGCCGCTCAATGAGGCCAAGCTTAGATTCACAAAATGTTTAGGGGTATGCGTACCCCTGCGTCCCCACCCCCACTGTATGCAGCTTGTTCAAATCTAGCTTATCTCTAGGAGCAACAACAGCGGAACACTGTTACTGGTCCTGAATTGTTGTTGTTGTTGTTGTTGTTGTTGTTGTTGTTGTTGTATTTGTATGCCACTCATCTACTGCTCCCAGCAGAATATTAAAAACACAACAAAGCCTTAAAAACTTCCCTAAACAGGGCTGCCCTCAGATGTCTTCTAAAAGTCATATAGTTGTTTATTTCCTTGACATCTGCTGGGAGGGCGTTCCACAGGGCAGGTGCCACTACCGAGAAGGCCCTCTGCCTGGTTCCCTGCAGCCTCACTTCTCGCAAGGAGGGAACCGCCAGAAGGCCCTCGGAGCTGGACCTCAGTTTCGGGGCTGATCGATGGGGGTGGAGACACTTCTTCAGTTATACAGGACCCAGGCCATTTAGGGCTTTAAAGGTCAGCGCCAACACTTTGAATTGTGCTCAGAAATGTACCGGGAGCCAATGTAGATCCTGTTATATGGTCCCGGTAGCCACTCCCAGTCACCAGTTGAGGGTAATGGGAATTGTAGTCCAAGAAACAGCTGAAGACCCAAGTTTGGGAAACCTTGGGTTAGACTATAAAGGTAATTGACCCCTGACCATTAGGTCCAGTCGTGTCCGACCCTGGGGTTGTGGCACTCATCTCGCTTTATTGGCCGAGGGAGCCGGCATACAGCTTCCGGGTCATGTGGCCAGCATGACTAAGCCGCTTCTGGCGAACCAGAGCAGCGCATGGAAATGCCGTTTACCTTCCCGCTGGAGCGGTACCTATTTATCTACTTGCATACTGACGTGCTTTCAAACTGCTAGGTTGGCAGGAGCAGGGACCGAGCAACGGGAGCTCAAACCGCCACGGGGATTCGAACCGCCGACCTTCTGATCGGCAAGCCTCAGGCTCAGTGGTTTAGACCACAGTGCCATCTGCGTCCCGGGGTTGGACTATAGCCGGTCTTTATTGAGCATTCACTCTGATTTGTTTGCAGAGTGGTTATACAGTGATGAGACAGTTATACGACAATGAGCATTTATGATAATTTGCTTGCTTGGTGCAATGCTACAGAGAGCATCTTCTTGCTAATTGCCCATCCCACACTTTTCATTGTGTTTCTCCATCGTTTTTTTAAAAAAACAATGTTGTAATCCGCTTTGGGATTCGTTGAAATCAAAGGTATATTGTTTCCAGGAAACAATCATTCAGAATTCTCACCGCCTTGTTTTTTGTTTCCTTTTTCTTGCCAGACCATCCATGAGCTCAGATTTCCAGCATTACAGTTTCAGGATGCCAAACATTGGATTTCAGAACCTGCCTCTCAACATATACATTGTGGTCTTCGGCACGGCCATCTTTGTCTTCATTCTGAGCTTACTCTTCTGCTGCTATTTGATCAGGTAAGGACACAGAAGAGCAACAGGTGGGCAAAGGCCGCTTTATTCCAAAGACAGGCTGCCAGGGGACTGCGTGGAGGGAGGTGCCAAAAGCTAGAGGACACCCACCTTGGTGGCAGAGGCTGGCCGTTCGCCATTCGGAAAGAAGGAGGTTGCTTTCAGCTCGGCAGATGCAAGGAAATGTCTCAGATTCCTGTGTGTAAGGCACCCACTCTGTGAGGCTGGCTTCTTGCCAGGGGGTTCCTTTTAGTTTTCCCCAGTCTTCCCCAAATCCTGCTGCCTTTAGAGAGAGCAGGCAATTTTTGTCTCCCAACTCCCTTGCTTAGGAGAACTTTGCTCCGAGGTTTCCACTCACAGAGTGGAAGCGTTCCTTTGATGTACGTAGCTCACATTGTGCCATCCTAATGTTGACAGATTCCAGTTCCCATCATTCCTGGGCTGTTGGCCAGGATGACTGAGACTGATGGGATCTGGAGACCAGGAACATCTCAGAGGGGACCATGTTGTCTACCTCTGTTATAAGCAGTCCTGAGGATCCTGGTTCAGAAAAGCAATTTTCTGGTTTTTGAGAAGATTCATTTTTTGTGAATGCGTCTTTTCCTGGTGCACAGGGGAAATAGTTTCCATTTGGAGATTCGCGCATGAACCTGCCATCTCCCTTTCACAGCTGTCGGGATGCGGAAGCGAACTTTTCAAGGAATTTGCTCTTTCTAACACTTCAGGGCATCTATCTCTCTCTCCCTCTCCTGCAAATAACTTGCATACTTGTGGTTAAGAAATTGTCTGTATTTTTTCCCCCCGCCCACCTCTCCAAAGTGTCTTGCATGCAAGCTGCTCTCCCAGCAGCACGGTTCAGAGGTGAGTCGATGAAACAGGCTCAGCCTGTTAATCTGAAGAAAGTGGGAAAAGGCAGCCCTTTCCAAACCAACTGCCACTTGGGAAGTTTGAATATTCAGTGGCGCAGACCAAACAGGTTGGCGTAGGCTATTTGCAGGGTGTGTGTTTAGCTTTAAGAAAGTCTGCGTGCTGGACACCAAAACAGCAGGCTAAGTCCGGCGGGTATTCATTCAGCGGACAATATTCTGCCTCTTGGTGGCGGTCAGGAACAAAGGGATTTTATTGTGTGGGATTAGCTCCTATTGTGACACATCTTGCACAAAGATTGGTTTTTCTAAACTATCAGCTCAGCAGTGACAGGCTGTATGTTTTGTACCCATCAGAGAGAAAGACCCTATTTGGCCACCGCTCCAAGCTACAGTTTAGTGTGACGAGACTGAGTCACACTAACACATGACTTTTTCACACCCCACCATGTCTCCCTCCCTCCTTCGTGGCCACAAGGAGGAGTTTGTACTTCCATTCTTGTTGAATCGTACTATTGTGATACAAACCGGTAAACTGCGGTTGATCCTATATATAGATAGATAGATAGATAGATAGATAGATAGATAGATAGATATTTGGTTTTTCAAATTAAAATTTTAGAGTCACAAATCCAACATACATCATGAAAACAAGATTCCAAAGAATCTCTTGGACTTCCCTCCTCCCCTTTGTGGGTCCTATTGTTAATCATTTCCTCCTGCATCTTTTAAAGTAATCCAAACCTTTTATCTCTCCATTGCATCCAAAATTCACCATTAAACTACAAGTGATATTACAATCCTGCTGTTTACAATGGTCTTTTGGATAAGTTATAAATTTCCCCCATTCCTTATTAAAATTTTGGTCTTCCTGATTTCTGATTCTTCCAGTCATTTTAGCCGTTTCAGCATAGTCCATCAACTTCATCTGCCATTCTTCTCTGGTTGGGACTTTATCTTCTTTCCATCTCTGAGCTACCAGAGATGGCCCAGAAACTGGCTGATCTTAGCTCGTTTCAAACAAACCATAGTTAAGTTGGAATGATGGGCTTTAAAGCTGAGTCGTTTAAAGGAATGACAGTTAGCATTTGTTGTAGCCGAGTTGTTGGAACAAAGATTAATCTGTGGCTAATTGGAAGTGAAAGCTTCAGAACTCACCGGAACTCAGTTCTGGCACCTCTTGATACAAGATTGAGAGTAGGCTTGAGAAACCCAAAACAGCATGCAAGTATAATAATAATAATAATAATAATAATAATTTTATTATTTATACCCCGCCCATCTGGCTGGGTTTCCCCAGCCACTCTGGGCAGCTTCCAACAGAATATTAAAATACAATAACCCATTAAACTTTAAAAGCTTCCCTATACAGTGGTACCTCGGGTTACAGACGCTTCAGGTTACAGACTCCGCTAACCCAGAAATAGTACCTCGGGTTAAGAAATTTACCTCAGGATAAAAACAGATATCGTGCAGCATCGCAGTGGCAGCGGGAGGCCCCATTAGCTAAAGTGTTTCTTCAGGTTAAGAACAGTTTCAGGTTAAGAACGGACCTCCAGAACGAATTAAGTACTTAACCCGAGGTACCACTGTACAGGGCTTCCTTCAGATGTCTTCTAAAAGTCTGGTAGTTGTTTTTCTCTTTGACATCTGGTGGGAGGGCATTCCACAGGGCAGGTGCCACTACCGAGAAGGCCCTCTGCCTGGTTCGCTGGAACTTGGCTTCTCACAGTGAGGGAACCACCAGAAGGCCCTCAGCACTGGACCTCAGAGTCCAGGCTGAACGATGGGGGTGGACATGCTACTTCAGGTATACAGTGGACCTCAGTGTCCAGGCAGAAAAATGGGCGTGGAGACACTCCTTCAGGTATACTGGACCGAGGCCATTTAGGGCTTTAAAGGTCAGCACCAACACTTTGAATTGTGCTTAGAAATGTACTGGGAGCCAGTGTAGGTCTTTCAAGACCAGTGTTATGGTCTCGGCGGCCGCTCCCAGTCACCAGTCTAGCTGCTGCATTCTGGATTAGTTGTAGTTTCCGGGTCACCTTCAAAGGTGCATAGAGCTCATTGCAGTAGTCCAAGCGAGAGATAACCAGAGCATGCACCACTCTGGCCAGACAGTCTGTGGGCAGGGAGGGTCTCAGCCTGTGTACCGGATGGAGCTGGTAGACAGCTGCCCTGGACACAGAATTGACCTGCGCCTCCGTGGACAGCTGTATATGCGGGACCTTTAGCCCTCCAGCTGAACTACAACTCCCATCAGCCCCAGCAAGCATGGCCAGTGGCCGGGGGCGATGGGAGTTGTAGTCTAGCAACATCTAGATAGCCAGAGATTCCCTCCACCTGGTTTAATTGTATTTTCCTAGTATTGCCTGGGTACAGGTTCCTTTATGTAGCTGTGTTGGCTGATTTAAACAAATCTTAGTCAGTTGGTTGTGTGGGTTTTTAATTTAGTTAGCGATTCTTCCAGGAAGCTTATGGTGGCGTACTTGAGTTCTTCCCACAGCCCTTTTATTCTCACAACAACCTTCCGAGGTTGTTTGCATCTGGACCAAGGTCACCCACTGAACTTCATGGCCGAGGGAGGATTTGAACAGAGTGCCACCCTAGTGTGACACTCTTAACAATGACAGCCCACTGGCTCTCTTCACTTAAAAGTATACGTGAGGAGGGAAATGATAGTTCTAAAACAAAAGGTATTCTTCCTTTTGTTTTTAGATTTTGCACCGGTTTGTCGCAGGCGTCATCACCTTAGAAGTGGGTTTTCTTCTCATTTGGAGGGCAGGTTGATTGGGGGAAGAAGCCGCTTAAAATAGACCTAAGTATAGTTTTCTATTACTGGTACTATTTCTTTTTCAAAAAAAAAAGCAATGTACCCTATTTTTTGCTCTATATGACTCACTTTTTTCCTCCTAAAAAGTAAGGGGAAATGTGTGTGCGTCTTATGGAGTGAATGCAGGCTGCGCAGCTATCCCAGAAGCCAGAACAGCAAGAGGGATTGCTGCTTTCACCGCGCAGCGATCCCTCTTGCTCTTCTGGCTTCTGAGATTCAGAATATTTTTTTTCTTGTTTTCCTCCTCCAAAAACTAGGTGCGTCTTGTGGTCTGGTGCGTCTTATAGGGCGAAAAATACGGTAATTAATTGCAGCACCTTTCTAGCTGGTGAAAAGGTTTTTAGAACGTTTAAGCAAACCATCTAATTGATGTAAGCGTTACCTTGTCATGTTGAGACATTCAACATCCAATTTTCCCTTGAAGAAGGGCACTGTTATGAGGTCCTAACTGCTCCACTCAGGGGGTCTTGGGCTGTTTTTGAATTTGTGCTGCCACCCCAGTGGCAATTCTTTCTTCCAGCTCTGTGACATTCACATGTTGCAGCTAATGCCTTTTTGGCCAAAGCATAGCCAACAACTGCATTTTAGAACACAAAACTATTGGGTGAGTGTCTTTGTTTTCAGCTCAGATCCAACAAGTCGTTTGTTGTTCCTCTTGCGGTATCTCTCCGTCCCGCGATGTACATAGATGCCGTTTCTATTTCCCTGTTAAATCTAGTTATTTATACATAATTATGCGCTGTCACGGCACCGAAGCTCGGGCAACTCCCGTCTACAAAGATTGCATTCTGCTCGTTCGTATAGAAAAAGAGCATCGTATCTGAAAGCACTGCACAGATCTCTATTCTTCTTTTTGGGCAGCAGATTTCTCCGTCGATTGCCACCGTGGGTTGTGAATGGGCTTTTTGGAGACATTGAGGGGCAATGCATGGCACGGACTTCGTGAGATAGCTCCACCACATCATGTACCGGGAGGCTCGCTTCCTTTTGTCAATAACCCCCTGCATTAGAAAGCTAGCACATCAGCAAGAAGGCTGGACTGGTTGTTTCACACAGAGGAAGATGTTGTTTTTTTTAAATAATATTTATTAAAGTTTTAAGTTTACAAAAAGGCAAAAGAAAAATACACCAAATTAAACAATAACAAAACCAACACATCACAATAAAAAACTGAAAAATAGGAACAATTAAAAACAAAAGAAAAAAGAAAAAAACAAATCAAACCTTCCCATAACTTATCTTTCATTTGCTTGTTTCCCTGACCTCCTCACACCTCCCTTTTTTGTATTCTAGGTCAATTATCCATTTCAGCAAATCCTTTCCCTCTCTTCAAAATTTTTATCCTGAAAATTTATCTTGATCTTGATATAAGTTTACTTTCCCTCTTTTCACCAATTAACAGTCTATTTTTCTTTAACTCTTTGATACATTTTTGGTAGAATCACCTAGATTCATTCCAACATCATTCTAACATTCATTAATTTTACAATGTTTCTGTAAATAGTCTTTAAATTTCTTCCAATCTTCCTCCACCGACTCTTCTCCCTGGTCTCGGATTCTGCCCACACAGAGGAAGATTTTGATATGTACAGTGGTACCTCAGGTTACATACACTTCAGGGTACATACGCTTCAGGTTACAGACTCCGCTAACCCAGAAATAGTACCTCGGGTTAAGAACTTTGCTTCAGGATGAGAACAGAAATTGCGTGGCAGCGGCGCAGCGGCAGCGGGAGGCCCCATTAGCTAAAGTGGTGCTTCAGGTTAAGAACAGTTTCAGGTTAAGAACAGACCTCCGGAACAAATTAAGTACTTAACCCGAGCTACCACTGTAGTAGCATGGATTATTCCTCTGTGTCTACTGCAGAGGTGCCATCCTCTGGGGAAACCCAGTCAAATGGGCAGGATATTATTATTATTATTATTATTATTATTATTATTATTATTATCCCATGATGAGCTCGGCCTGTGCATGCCCTAAACTATTTTGACTCTAAGCCAGAGCTGTCAATCATGAGTGCCAGCAGGATTTGGGATAAAGGAGGCCGCTTGGGTCCTTTAGCATTCTTGTTTAACTCAGGGATGGAGAACTTGCAGCCTTCCAGATGTTGTTTAAAAAGAAGCCCAGCTCACATCATCCCTGACCATGGACCACACTGGGTTGCGGCTGATGGGATTCAGAGTCTGGCACATCTGGGATGGCTAAGGGTTCCCCAACCTTATTTCAACTGGTTCCAAGGAGAATATCCCGAGGGGCAGGATCTGTGCCTGGGAATCTCTTTTTTTTTTCTTTTTTTTTTTAAATGATATGTATTCCAAATTTAAAATTACAAAAAAAACCCGGAAAACAAAACAGTACAAGATACAAAAAAAATTGACCATAACCATAACAGAGCATAGAATAAAAACAAAAAAACAAAAAACAAAAAAACCAATAAAATACAATAAAAAAACAGAACAAGAAATATACAAAAACATTGCATTAAAATAAGACAAAAACAAATTAAACCTTTACATAACTTTTTCCCTTTACTTATTTCCTTGACCTCCTCTCACCTCCCAGTTTTGTATTCTAGTTCAGATCGTTCTTTTTCAGCACATCCTTCCAATCTTATTTTCGTTTGCATAATTTAATTTAAAATATTATAATTAAACATCCTCTATTTCATCAATTTCATCAACTCATTTTTACTTAATACTTTATCTCATATCTACCAAAACTGCCTAATTTTCTTTTTCCAACATCTTTCTAACATTCTTTAATGTTATAATGCTTTTGAAGATATATTTTAATTTTTTTCCAATCTTCTTCCACCGACCCTTCTCCCTGGTCTCGAATTCTGCCAGTCATCTCAGCCAATTCCATATAGTCCATCATTTTCATCTGCCATTCTTCTCGGGTGGGTAATTCTTGTGTCTTCCAGTACTTTCCGATGAGTATTCTTGCTGCTGTTGTAGCATACATGAAAAAGTTTCTATCCTCCCTTCGCACCGATTGTCCAACCATGCCCAGAAGGAAGGCCTCTGGTTTCTTCTGGAAGGTATACTTAAATACCTTTTTCATTTCATTATAAATCATCTCCCAGAAGGCCTTGATCTTTGGGCATGTCCACCAAAGGTGAAAGAATGTACCCTCATTCTCTTTACATTTCCAACATTTGTTATCGGGCAAATGATAAATTTTTGCCAGCTTGACTGGGGTTAAGTACCACCTGTAAATCATTTTCATAATATTCTCTCTTAAGACATTACATGCCGTAAACTTCATACCTGTGGTCCATAACTGTTCCCAGTCAGCAAACATAATATTATGTCCAACATCTTGTGCCCATTTAATCATAACACTGTGCGTGGGAATCTCAGGCCCCTGTGATGAGCGCCACTGGGATCTGGTGGGGTGGAAAGACAGCGGGTTCCTCTTTTGTGTCAAAGCGAGGGCTGAAGCAGAAACATGGTTTTTTTAAAAAAAAGAAAACAGAAGTACCAGTTTGAACACCAAGCTGCATAGGTCTTTTTTCCCCATTAGTTATTAAAAAAAAACCACAATCGAAACAACCACCCAAGAGTATTTATAGCAGGAAAAACAAGTTCCTGGTCTTAAAACTTGTTTGCGGTATTCTTAAGAATTCAAGAGCCCATGGAATAAGAAGCAGAGAGGATAATTATATCAGGCAGATGTTTAGTTTTTCTTTTCTTTTCTTTTTACCACCTTTACAAGGTGGTAAAGAGAAGGTGCACTGAGCTAGCATTTCCACTCTGGGGTGTTGTGCGTGTATTAGGTGTACAGAGACATACTGCCTCTTTAAACGCACCCCTGTTGCAAACTATCAGGCTCCTATGAGCTTCCTTTCCTTCCAGACTGTGCTGCCTGTTTGCTTACAGATCTCTGCCTTTGAACTCAGAAAGGGTTGAGCGTGCTATTAATGGAGGCAAATCTACAAAAACGTTATCCAGTAAGCCTTTCACTACTCAGTTTTCATTTGGGTAGAGCAGGCCTAAAAGAGACTATCTGGTGTGATCTATTCCCGAGGGTGGCGATTCTGATTTGCTGTTAGTCGTAGAATTGTAGAGTCCAACCCTTTGCAGTGCAAGAATTTTGTTTATCTACTGTACCTTCTTCATGTTCAGTCTTCTTCTTCTTTGTTTTCTAGGCTTCGACACCAAGCCCACAAAGAGCTTTATGCCTACAAACAGGTAAGCTTTTCTTTCTCTTTGTCCCCTGCCGCCGATGTTGCTACCACCCGGTCGCCCTGACAAATTTCAAATCGGGGCATAGTTGAAAAGCTTCCCTGAGCTTTCACTTGCAAAATTGTTTTCAGGCTGCAGGCAAGTGAGCAAAACGTCTCAGGTGCTCTCAGCCTTTGCAGACAAACAAGCAATAAGATTTGACCCCTGCCCCAGGGAGCTTCCAAATTAGAATTCACCACCAAGGGAAAAAACCCCAATGAAGGCAGGGGTAACTGGGAACAACTCTGACACACCCATACCTGATTTATCCTTCCCTGCCCAAACCACAAACTGTAGCTGAGGTTTGTTCTGTAAACTGTGGTTTGACATAAAGCAAGAGCCTGAGATTGGACGTAACACTTAGGCCAAACCATGGTTTGGCTGCCAGCAGCCAAGGAGCCGCCATCTTGTCTCTGGGAACCTGGGGTTGTATCCAGTGAAGACGTCCAGCTAACTTAATAATTTCCCCAGCCAACGCAATTTTCATCTGGAGTGTTTGGGACAACCCCAGAACAGAACAGTGCACCTTCCGGGGAGCAGGGCTGGGCGATATATCGATACATCGTCCAGTAACGGTTTCTAGACCACATCGCGATAACCGTTTCAAAAGAATTGGCCTGGCAATGTATCACAAATCACTGTGTATGTGTGTGTGTGTGTCCTTTCTGACATCGTAATATGTTGGGGTTTAGCTGGCTATACATTACGATGTTGGAATGTATATATATATGGTTCTTTCAGGTTACGTCCCGCGGCGACCCGGAAGTACCGGAAAGGGTTACTTCCGGGTTTCGCATCTCGTGCATGCGCATGCACATGACGTCATTTTGCACTTCTGCGTATGCGCGAGATGCAAAACGCGGAAGTAACCCTTTCCGGTACTTCCGGGTCACCGCGGGACGTAACCTGAAAGAATGTAACATGAAGCAAATGTAACATGAGGTATGACTGTGTGTGTGTGTGTGTGTGTGTGTGTGTGGAGAGAGAGAGGTTTTTGCGGGAGGGAAGCAGTGGCACTAGCTGCAGTCCATATAAGCTCAATGTACAAACAGGGCCTTGGAATTGCTCCTGAGCAAAACATGCATAGGATTGCACTGCACCTTCTCTTTCATGATCCCATGGAAATATATATATATATAATTTTAAATTGTCCAGTAACACCTTAGAGACCAACTAAGTTTGTTCTTGGTATAAGCTTTCGTGTGCATGCACACTTCACACGAAAACTTATACCCAGAACTAACTGGGTGCTACTGGACAATTTGTTTTATTTTTTTATATATTTCGACTGCATCAGACCAACACGGCTACCTACCTGAATCATGATACCATGAAGGCAGTGCTTTTTTTTTCTAAAAAAAAATGTTTATGGGTATTCTCATTTTGACTCAAGAAAATCACCATTTTATAGTTCAAATCAGGGAAAATAAATACAGTGAATGGACAAAAGTACAAAGATTCACAAAAATGTTTAGGGGCATGCGTACGCCTGCGTGTCATCCTCACGCCCCAGAAAAAAGCACTGCATGGAGGCCATTCAATGCATTAAACTTCCCCCCCTCCCTTTCTGTTTCTATAAGTTGATGATATATTTGTGGGGGCCTTTTTAGCATGCCCAGTGGAGCAGATTTCATTCTGGTACTGCTTTACAACCTTTGAAAGGCAAGGCTTTGGGAGCAAAGGTCTGCTGTGTCGTCCGGCTTGCATGCATCTTACAAGAATTCAACCCCTCTTTTGCAATGTTTGTTTTCGTTGTGGGGGTGGGGTTTGCACAAGTACAGGCACCTCCGTTTTCTAACACACCCTCTCACTCTCTCTCTCCTTTTCCCCCTTGCAGGTTATCCTAAAGGAAAAAGTTAAAGAACTCAACCTACATGAGGTAAGCTGACTTTGTCACCCATGAAGAAAATCAAACTGATGTGGAAACAAGGAAAACTGAATTTAAGGTTGGGAGGGGGGGATGAGAAATTGAGATAAATGAAATGGACAGATTTGCCCTTCACTAGCCACCAGGCAGATGTATAGCACAGCCCCAGTTTGCCTTAATCTTGATTCCGCCCCTCCAAGAAGCTCTGGGAACTGTAGTTCTGTGAGAGTTTGGCTCTCTTCCATCAAAGAATTCTAAACAACCACTCCAGATTCCAGGATATATTGGGGGGGGGGTCTTTGAAGAGGAGTCATGGCAGTTAAATAGATATAGAACTAACTTTATCATTAATAATATTTGATTAAGAACATTTCAGTTACATCATACTGAACAATATGGAATAATTTAAATCTTTGTTTTGTGTTGGTTGTAAAATGAAAAGTATAAAGAAAAAGTTAAACAAAAAAGAAAAGAAATAATTTCAGTTATAGAAACTAAAGTGAAAAGACAGAAAAGTGCAAATGTAAAGAAAGTAATATATATATATAATATAGTACACTAAATATACAGTCTTACTGGCACCCAAAGGCCTTGGGAGTCAAACGATTCAGCTCCCAATCAGAAACCAGAAGTGAGTGTTCTAGTTTTCGAACTTTTTTTGGAAGCTGAACATCCAGTGCGGCTTCCACTATTATTTCTGGCGCGCCTGCACAACCGGAAACCATTGGGAAGCCACGCCTTGGTTTCTGAACATTTCGGAAGTCAAACGAAATTCCGGAACGGATTCCGTTCGATTTCCAAGGTACGACTGTAATCAGAACCAACTTAGTGCCAACAAAGACATGAAACCCACCTAATTTTCAGAACTCTGTCACATATTTTCCCTTGTGAATAATGTAGAGCCTTCTCCAAAAATAAGTCAGGGGCTCTCTTTTCCATCTAAAGAAGAGCCTTGTGAAGTCTGGAATCTTGCCTCCTTCCTTTGCCGGTGAAATTAGGCATCACTTGGGTCACCTTCCTTTCGACCTTTTCCTGAGCTCAGCAAGGATGTTTTCAATCTCTTGTAACTCTTGAAATCTGGCAAGGTGGGAAGAGACATCGAGACGAGGAGGGGAAGAGAAGACGAAAGCCTCCTCAGTTACTGTGGCGCCATCGGCGCTGACGGAATGAGTTACGGGGCTCTAAATTTAAATTTTGGAGGGAAGTGGGGAGTGTGCTGGGGCCCCTGGTATGCGTGCTCAGAAGGCCGGACTTTCAGCAGCACAAACCTGACACCGCTATCGCTCTGCTCGGAGGAAATAAAAGCCAAAAAAGAAAAAAAAGCAAGTTTGGTTATGCAACTGCCAGTTGCCACACAGCCGGAGAGGTTATTTTTATAGGCTATAAATCCTTACTGCTGGGTGGAGAGTCCCAGCAGGCCTTAGAGGAGGCTGGAAAGTTCTGTACCTTTCTCAAAAGAATTGGCTCTGACTCAGGCACATTTCCCTCCAGTCCTTTTTGTAGAATTGCAGAGTCCCTAAAGAATTAGGGGTCCCTAAAGATCCTCTATTCCAACCCCCTCTCCACAATGCAGGAATCTCAGATACTGGAGACAAAGGTGCTTTTTTCTGAACTGGGATTGTTCTCATTTCTGGTAAATTTCAGCTTGAATAAATCAGGACAGTCCAGGAGCCAGCACAATTATGGGTGCCTTCAAAACGATTTCATTTATTTTTATTTTACCAAAATTATCTCCCACACAGTCCCTGGCATCCTTACCTTTTAATCCAGTCGAAAACATTCTCGCTTTGTAGCATCAAAACTCTTCTTCCAATGCAGCAATAGCAATTCAAACACATATTTTTAAGAACAGCCTGCAGGATCAGGCCAGCGGCTCATCTCGTCCAGCACCCTGTTCTCAAAGTGGGGGAACAGTTGTCTGTGGGAAATCGGGATTCGAACACAAGACCAACTCTCTCCTCCTGCAGTTTCCAGCAACTGGGGCTCAGAAGCCTTGCTGCCTCCAACTGGCAAATATAAATATATTAGCTGCAGCCAGTAGGACTGTTCCTGTGCACATAACGTTTCTTCTTTTGAAATCTATCTGAGTCCATCATCCTAGTATGCCCCGCGGAGGACCTTAAGGTCCACAAATGACAACATTTTGGAGGTTCCAAGTCGCAAGGTGGTTAGACTGGTCTCAACTAGGGCCAGGGCCTTTTCAGTACTGGCCCCGACTTGGTGGAACGCTCTGTCACAAGAGACCAGGGCCCTGCGGGACTTGACATCTTTCCACAGGGCCTGCAAGACAGAGCTGTTCCGCCTGGCCTTTGGTTTGGACTCAGTCTGACCCTTATGTTTCCCTCCCCTTATGGTCTTGATTTATCAGCTGCTTTTAAAACGAGGCTGCATTTTAAATTGCATTTTAACCTGTATTTTAAATTGGTTTTGTTTGTTTTCTGTGCCCCCCCCATTATGTTTTACTGTGATTTTATTGGTGTTAGCTGCCCTGAGCCCGGCTCTGGCCAGGGAGGGCGGGGTATAAATAAAATTTGTTGTTGTTGTTATCCCTGGATATCCCAGTTGGCTAGAGTGTGCTGCTGATAATGCCAAGGTTAGAATCATCAAATTGTACAGCTGAAAGGTACTTTGAGAATCATCTAATCCAACCCCCTGCAGTGCAGGAATTTGCATTATTATTATTATTATTATTATTATTATTATTATTCCCCACCCATCTGGCTGGGTTGCCATTGCAGGGGCTTGGACTAGATCCTCAGGTCCCTTCCAACTCTGTGGTTCTGAATGCAAAATGCTTCCTTTCCCCCCTGTCTAACTGATCTTTTTTCTTTCTCCCCTTGTTCCTTTGCCCTACTCCTTTCAGATCTGTGCTGTTTGTTTGGAGGAGTTCAAGCCCAAAGATGAGCTGGGAATCTGCCCATGCAAACACGCCTTCCACAGAAAGTAAGTGCATAAAAAAAAGTCCAGGGGGAGCGGCAGAAGTGAGCATCTCTGCAGATGGACCTTCGGCCGTGGACGGTGCCTCCTGATTTCCCTTGAGGGTTGCACCCACATTCCAAGAGCCGGGTCCCGTCATGGTGGCGGCGGCAGAAGAGAAAGCCTTCCCTTTGTTTCCAGGCCATGGGGACATCCATTAGGCGCATCCCTTGTCATGTACGATAAACAGAGCCAGACCCCATCAGCGCTGCCTGCAGAAAGTGCCAGGCTCCTTCCCCTGGCAACGCCAGTCCAAAGGATTGTGGGTGCCAGTACTCAGCCCAAGCCAAGAGGCTGGCAGTCTGATGCAGTATAAGGCAGTTTCAAATGCAAGCAGGGTGGGTTTACGATTATTAAATTTATTAGGGTTTTTCTTTTTGCCACAGGCAACTCAAAGCAACTTACCAAAAAAGACCTTTGCCCTTGTGGAGTGTTTCCTCAGCCTCCTCTCCTCTCCCCTCTCCTTGGGAGTCCTCTGGGCAGCCACTGCTACCATCCCTGGTCTCTGAGCTGCCCCCAAAGAGAAGAGCCTCCTCACACTGCCCACAGGGCCCTGGGACTTGTCTGTCCATTCCCAACAGCAAGGGCTGGCAGACTGGCAGGCTTGACTCCCGTGTCCGCTTGCTTGCCTACTTTGAGGGCACCTCAGCTCCTGGCAACCAGTATCCCCTGGCCAGCCCCAGAGGCACCATTCGCCTGGGGAGCTTGCAGCCAGGGCTGCTGCAACAAACAGCCCCACAAGCCTTTGGGAGGCAGAAATGCGAGAGGGCATCAGAGGAGGGAGGGAAGGAAAGAGGGCACCCCTGACCATCATTTAAGGCACCCCAAGTTGCCGCAGCATACTGGTTGAAAACCACTGCTTTATTTGGGTTACTACGTTGGCTCCCAGCACATTTCCGAGCACAATTCAAAGTGTTGGTGCTGACCTTTAAAGCCCTAAATGGCCTCGGTCCAGTAGACCTGAAGGAGCGTCTCCACCCCCATTGTTCTGCCCGGACACTGAGGTCCTTCTGGCGGTTCCCTCACTGCGAGAAGCAAAGCTACAGGGAACCAGGCAGAGGGCCTTCTTGGTAGTGGCACCTGCCCTGTGGAACGCCCTCCCACCAGATGTCAAAGAGAAGAACAACTACCAAATTTTTAGAAGACATCTGAAGGCAGCCATGTTCAGGGAAGCTTTAATGTTTAAGAGACCACTGTATTTTAATAGTCTGTTGGAAGACGCCCAGAGTGGCTGGAGAAACCCAGCCAGATGGGCGGAGTATAAATAATAAATTCCATTCCATTCCATTCTGCTATATTCCTAGCTTGAAGTCTGCCTATACTGAAGGGGCTGCTTTCTTTCCCCGCCACAGGTGCCTCATCAAATGGTTGGAGGTGCGCAAAGTCTGCCCACTCTGCAACATGGCCGTCCTGCAGCTGGCACAACTCCACAGCAAGCCGGATGCCCATGGACTCCCCCAAGAGCCCCTCCCTGGGGCGGCCAACATCGTATAGCTCCCCGCGAGCCTCTCTGGGGCGCAGCCTGCCGCCCAGAGACGTCCCGCTCTCTGAACCTGCTGCTTACGGCCTCGGGGTCTTCGCCGGGGCTTCTTCCATCTCGCGAGGAGCTCCCAGGACACACTTGAAGGAGGGGGAAGGTGCTTGGACCGCAGAAACACCCTCAGCGCCGAGACCACCGCCGGTGCGACGAGAAGAGGCCATAACGGGCTCGGGCTCTTCCTTTCTTCCTTCCGACCCCCTTTTTCTTTCCGTAAGAGCACTTTACGAAGGACACGCGCAGGTCCGGCGCCTGCGTTTGGACTGAGCTGCACACATGCCGGAGCGAGGGATGTGAGGCGCACCCTTTGCGCCTCAGGATCGAAGAGACCCCGCGTGGTCCTTTTTCTGCGGGTGGAATGGGAACCGTGCCCCGAGATTCTGCCGCTCAGTGGTTACCTCATACCGAATTGCCTGTGGCTTCCAGAACAGAACAAGGCAAGGGCCTGGCCTGTTTGCAGAACGATCCGCAGCAGCAGTCCGTGTGACTCTCTCGTACGCTGTGGGACGGAGAGCAAGAGCACAGCCCAGCTCTCCAAAGGAAGAGTGGGTGCTGAGAGGCCTAGCGGCGACGCACAGATTATTTGGTTACCAGTCAGGCCAACGTCCACCAGGGTCCTGCTAGGCGCTTGAGATCCACACTGGCTTGGTTCCTGCCTCAGAAAATGATTCCTTAAGTGCCCCGGGAGGGAGGCGGGGGGGAAGCAAACCACGCAGATTCCTGCCACGTTAATGGACAACTCTGAAGCCAAGGAAAAGCCAGGAGAGGCAGCTTAGCAGCCTTTTGGATTCGGCAACAGGGGAACGTCCCTTTTTTAAATTCCCACAATGCGGCAAATCCCATTTTTAACCAGGTTTGAGTGCAGAAGGGCATTTGCCTGCGTAGAAGCTAGACCCGATTGGAATTCAAAATAAAAATGGCAACTATTACGAACCCTGGACTCTGCAAGCTTCTTAGCAGCTTTGCGTAGAGTTGAGCGCAGACTTTTGGCGGGGTGGGGATTCGTCTGAAAAAGAGGCCTGCTAGATCAGACCAAAGACCCTTCTAGTTCAGCTTCCAGTGTCCCACAGCAGCCCCCCCAGAAACCTCTGGGGAGCCGTAAGGGTGATAACCCTCTCTCCCATTGCAGTTCACGAGCAACTGGGGAGCCTCAGAGGGCCTCCTGCCTCTCGACCCAGAGGGTCTTCCATCATGGCCAGTAGCCATTGATGAGTCTCCGTTTTCCAACGGGTGTTTCAATTCCATCAGCCCAAATCTAAACTTTGTCTACCGCTAAGGCACCAAGTGAATATAGTTCGATGTACCCAAACATAGAAAATTCATTGGATTTGTTCAAAAGTAATTGTTTTTGGTTCCACTAGATAACCTGTCAGCGCAGGTTGGAGTCCAATTCATGTTCCATTATTGATTTGTGAAATATATATATATATATAAAAGCAGATTTCTGGCCAGAGAAAGTTCTGACGGTGGAGAGGTCCATTTCCAAGATTACCTGCGCAGATTATTTCGGGGTCTGCTAAGGAGGCAGGATGCTATTCCCAAACCCCCTTTTGGGCAGTGTGTTTTGTTTCTGTGTCCGCAGTTGTTCAAAAGACACAGGGAAGGGATTTTGCAGTATTACGTTGTACAGCGTGAGGTTCCCTTTTTGCTAAAAATAAAATAAAATGGCACAGACTGTTCTTCCCAGTCCTTCCATAATAGGGGCAAATTTCCAATAGCCGGTTCTTAGTATGGCATGACTTTCAGTAGCCTTTTACTGTTTTCGTCCATCCGGGTACAGCCTGATCTCTTCCTGCCCCACCTGACGCGGTCTTCTTTTTGTAAATAGCGTGTGACTCGAGAGAGAGTTTATGAACCTTAGAAGTCCTCCTGGAGGAGACATTTGTACACTAAAATAAATAAATAAAATTCTGCAGCAGAATTTTTTTTTTTTTAAAAGAGAAAAGACACAAAGAAAACATGCTGGGTTTTTATTTTGTAAACTATATTTTTGTATATTTAATTGCTATTTTAAAATTCTAATGCATCTTTTTTGCTAATCGCTATTCTTAAATGCGGGGAGGGTGGGGGGAGGGGAACGTTTGCATGTGATTTGACTTGAACTGTAAATAAAGGCAGATTTTGGAAATAACAGCGGAGTGGTGGAATCTGTGGCTGCTTATCTATATATCCATTCGGAAAGTCAAAGCCAGTTTTGTGTAATCTCTTAAGGGATAATCTGAACTATGGTTGCAGAGCCACTAAGGGGGCAGAGCATAGTGCATGCTAAGACATTGAGGGGGGAAAGTGTTTGCCGATTTACTTTGGGGAAAACAAACTCAGCAATAACAAATGGGATAGAGGAAACCTGAGGAGAACACATGCAAATTGCAGTTTTCACAAACCCCCATAGCTCTTTTCTGTAAGAACTCTGGTTTCAGTATATTGAAATGAGTTCGCCAAGGAGCCGTGCGTGGAATGTTTATGAACATTCTTAGCTGCCTGGAAGTTTTGAAAAAGAGCTTATTGCAGGAATGGAGTATACTTTTGGTGGGAAGGGATGCAGTAGGCAACATTACCATAAATGTTTGCCCATTGCCAGGAGTGAGCAGACAGTAAATCACACCATGAAAGTTGGGACTTAACTTTTCATTTGCAAGAACACGATCTGCAGAGACTTGGATGACTGTCAGGCCTAATGAGCAGAGCACTTCATCCCCGGTAGGTCTTGCCCCATGGGTCAGTTGCCGAGGCTGAAAATCCCCACCTCCCCACGGCCGTCTACGTCCCCTCCTCTCCAGGGTTTTTCCCAAACAATCAGAGACTGTGCCTGTGTGCAGCCAACCTCTCCTCCGCTCTTTTCATGCCTCTTCTGGTTCTGTGAGACATTGGGTGGGGGAGATGTTCACAGCAGGAGAGGGAGACACCTGTGACTCTGCACCAGCCGGACTCATCACTGCCTCTGGGCCTTCCTCTCCTTCCGCTTCTGCCTCTGATTCTGGACTTCTGTCTGCCACAGACTCTCCCCGCTCACTAAGCCCTGTTACCTCTTCAGTTTTCAACACCTCCTCTTCCCAGTCCTCTGCCTCTGACCACTCATTGTCGTCTCACCACCAACCCCCGGGCTCTGAGCTTTCTTCTCTTTGGGGTTCCCCAGCTGGTTCCTTCCCCCACTACTTTGCATCTAACCAGTCCATTGCACATTTGTGTGTGTGTGTGTGTGTGAGAGAGAGAGAGAGAGAGAGAGAGAAAGAGAGAGAGAAACTATGAAGGCGAAACAGATGGAGCACAAAACACACCCGTGAATTTATGTAGGTCTGCACATCTATTACTTCTGTGAAGTGTCTTCTGAAACAAGTGCTGCAACAACCGATATTCTCACAAACACCCCCATAAGGTTGAACACATCTGGTCCAGCATCCTGTTCTTGCAGAGGCCAATCAGATGACCCTGGCAGAACCTGAGTGCAACAGCATCTTCCCCACAGTAAATGGGAGAACAAAGACATTGCAGCTTTGTTTGTCGTTTAGTCGTGTCCGACTCTTCATGACCCCATGGACCAGAACACGCCAGGCACTTCTGTCTTCCACTGCCTCCCGCAGTTTGGTCAAACTCATGCTGGTAGCTTTGAGAACACTATCCAACCATCTCGTCCTCTGTCGTCCCCTTCTCCTTGTACCCTCCATCTTTCCTAACATCAGGGTCTTTTCCAGGGAGTCTTCTCTTCTCAGGAGGTGGCCAAAGTATTGGAGCCTCAGCTTCAGGATCTGTCCTTCCAGTGAGCACTCAGGGCTGATTTCCTTCAGAATGGAGAGGTTTGATCTTCTTGCAGTCCATGGGACTCTCAAGAGTCTCCTCCAGCACCATAATTCAAAAGCATCAATTCTTCGGCGATCAGCCTTCTTTATGGTCCAGCTCTCACTTCCATACATCACTACTGGGAAAACCATAGCTTTAACTATGCGGACCTTCGTTGGCAAGGTGATGTCTCTGCTTTTTAAGATGCTGTCAAGCTTTGTCACATTGCAGCTTGGAGCCATTTATGTATCTCATCCTCTTTCAAAGCCACCCAAATTGGTGGCCATCACTTCCTCCTTGCAATAGTAAAGTCCATAGTTTAATGATGCTCAGTGTGCATACAATTCTTTTGCATCTCCCAGCTCTTCCATCATTCAGCTTCTTGGACGTTCTGAATTTCTACTGTTGCAAGGCAGACAGAATTCCTCTCTGCACACATGCACACTTTTTGGTAATTTTATACACCTTTATCGTGTCTCCTCTCACTCACCTAAACACAAAAGCCCCTGCAAACATGCCTAAGAAGTGAGTTGCTCCATCCCATTGATCATGTCGTTTGCCTTTTTTCCCCTGAACCTTTTCCAAGTCCACGATGCTTCTTTTGAACTGGATTGAGAGCTGCAGACAGCATCCCCAGGTGGCAAGGGGGAGACAAATGGCAGCTGCTTCTCCCTCGTTGCTCGGGCATTTGGGTTGCCCTTTCCTGAGCTGCGTTTGATCTTTTGCTAATGCACCGCTCCCACTGTTCAGGGCCTGTCAGTTGAGCATTGATAGAAAGCAGCTCTTGGCTGTGGGTGACGGCAGCTCAAGCGTGATGCTAGCTGGGTACATCATGAACAAGCTGGAGGGGGGGGGTCTGCCAGGTACCTGGCCACCTTCCAGAATATCCGACGGGTGCCAAATGTGGTTGGCAGCGAGAGCTGTTCTCCGCAGGTGCTCAAACAGAGATTTTGAAAACAAATAAATGTGGTGCATGCGAGGCACAGATACGGGAAATCTGTCCCCGGAAAGTGCAGCGTATCTCTTTTTGTGGTGCTGCATATTTTAAATAAAAGCTGCTGTGTTGGCCTTGCTGGGGGAAAGTATGCATTAAAACGTGTATATTTTGCAATACTTATTTACTGAATATATATACTCCGCCCTTCCTCCCCCAAGGAGCCCAGAGCACCAGATGGACAATTTTAAAACAAAAAACAAAAGTATTCTGAAACCATTTAAACAGTCTAAAAATAATGCAACATTTGTGCAATTTGCAGGGGTTTTGTTAATAACAACAATAAATTTTTTTAAAAAAACCTAATAAAAACTCACCAATATTTTGGCGTGACTTTCTCCTAATAGCACAAATTTTTTTGCATGTGATTATAATCAAATCCATTACAAGTGCTGTTTTCACTAATGTATTCATTTTTATGTACAGTGGTACCTCGGGTTACAGACACTTCAGGTTACAGACTCCGCTAACCCAGAAATAGTACCTCGGGTTAAGAACTTTGCTTCAGGATGAGAACAGAAATCGCGTGGCGGCCGTGCGACGGCAGCGGGAGGCCCATTAGCTAAAGTGGTACCTCAGGTTAAGAACGGACCTCCAGAACGAATTAAGTTATTAACCCGAGGTACCACTGTATACTTGTCCCGATCATATGTAATTTTTTGTCAGACAGTTGGTTAGTTGTTTGTGATGCTGCATTCACAAAATTAAGAGAAGTGCAAATTTCAAAGAATGGCTACATCTCAGTTCTCATATTGTTTCAGAAAGTGCAAATTAGGTGGTCTTGCCTTTAAATGCAAACGGAATCAAATTACGCCCCATCCCTAATACCCGCCTGTTCCCCACCCCTCCACCATTAAATCCAGATTGGCCATTTCCAAGGGAAATTTAGCAAATTTAAAAACAAACACTGCCCATGACCCATTTGTGATATATCTCAGCAACCTCCTTGAAAGGGTAAGTCCTCTTCTGAATGCACCCTAAGATCAGAACCACCTAGAAGGTAATGTCAGCCTCTCCTCTCTCTCTCTCTTTCTGCAGGAAACCTCCTGTGTGTTCCACACACAAAAACAAAAGGGCCCTTGGCAATTTCTTATGTCTTGCAACAACACTTTGGGGAAGACTAGCAGGCCCAAGGGATACGTGCTTTGTTTTCTCTGAATACTGGTTCTCTGGCTTTTCCACACACCAGCCTTTTAAAAGTTGCTTTTCCAACGTGAGTCGCTATTCCAGTATTTACAGCCAGTGTGGCACAGTGGCTGCAGTGTTGGAATAGGACCTGGGAGACCAGGGTTCGAATCCCTGCTCGGCCATGATGCTCACTGGATGTGACTCTGCACCAGCCTCTCACTGCTCTTGTGCTCGGGTCCTGCTTGCACAAGCATCTGGGTGGCCACAGTGAGAACAGGATGCTCAACAAGATGGCATTGGACCTGACCCGGAAAGCTCTTCTTCTGCTCCTAACCCGCACCAGTTCTCTAGAGACAGCCTTTGCAGTTCTCAACGGGCAGAGGCAGAGTGAGCAGAACCAGGTGAGAGAGGCCTGATGTTTTCAGCAGGTGTTCCCAGCCATATCAGTGCTTGTTTGGTTTTTTAAAAAACCCAGAGTCGTTTATTTTGTCTTATCAGCGAAACCTGTTCCTACATAAAAAGGTTCCCAGCACAAAGGCTGCCTTTGCCTCCTCAAAGAGCTGATCAGTTGCACTTCTGGGTAGGTAGACATCAGCTGCTGTCCTCCTGGGTCTTCCAGTTTTCCAAAAGTGAGAAGACTGATGTGCAAACTCAGTGTCAGGAGCGAGCCAGCAGTAAGTCGCACCACGCAAGTTGGAGTTAACTCTTTATTAGCAAAAACACAATCTGCACAGACTTGGTTGAGTGTCAGGCCTCCTGAGCACAACAGCTCATCCCTGCTAGAATCAGTGGCCAAGACAGAAGGTCCCTGCCTTCCCACGGCGGTGCAAGGCCCCTTGTCTCCAGGATTTTCCCCCAAGCAATCTGAGACTGCGCTTGTGTACAGGCAATCTCTCCTCTGCCCATTTTAGGCCTCTCCTGGTGGTTCTGGGAGACCAGGGGGAGGAGAGCTTGTCAGGAGGAGAAGACCTCCGGACTTCTTCACCAGCCAGACTCATCTCTGCCTCTGGGCATTCCTCCTCTCCTGATTCAGCTTCTGCCTCCGATTCTGGACTTCTTTCTGCCACAGACTCTCCCAGCTCACTAAGCCCTGTTGCCTCTTCAGCTTCTGACACCTCCTCTGAGTCTTCTCCCTTTGACGACTCGTTGTTGTCCCACCTCCACCCCGGGCTCTGAGCCTTCTTCCCTGGGGGTTCCCCAGCTGGTTCCTCCCTCCGATCCTACCAGTCCATGACACTCAGCTACCCCATTCAGTGAGTCTGCCACACACCCAGTGACAAAACTTTGAAACATGTTTTTTCCAGGCACCGCTGGTGCTGCCATGGGAGTCGACATGCGCCACAACAAGGACCGGAAAGTTTGACGCAAAGAGCCTAAGAGTCAGGATATCTGACTCTTATTCGCCTCCTCGTCAAGCTCTACAGATTTCTTGCTCAACAGACCAGTGCAAAATTCAACAAAGTGATTCTGAAACGGCTCTTTATGAGCCGCACCAACAGGCCTCCGCTGACAGTTTCCCGCAAGATCCGTAAGATGAAGCTCCCAGGGCAGCAGAACATAACTGCTGTCGTGGTGGGTACAGCGACTGATGATGTTCACATCCAGGAAATCCCCAAACTTAAGGTTTGTGCCCTGAGCATGACCCGAGGAGCTCGTACCCACATCCTGAAAGCTGATGGCCAGATCATGACTTTTGACCAGTTAGCCATGGCTGCCTCCAGGGGCCAAGGAACTGTGCTGCTTTCTGGACCCAGGAAGGCTTGCAAAGTTTACAGGCATTTCGGCAAGGCCCCTGGAACCTCACACAGCCACACTAAGCCATACATCAGATCCAAGGGCTGCAAGTTTGAGCGGGCTCGAGGTTGCCGTGCCAGTCGAGGCTACAAAAACTAGATTGGGTCTTGAAATATTTGAAGGCTGTGATGCGCTGGATTCAATTTGCTAAAACTTTGAAGCAATCAACCACATTTTGGACCACCGTCTCGCCAGAACAGCGGTCTATAGATAACCTTAATAAAATAAATATAAATAAATGAGAAGGTGGTTCCATTGCCAGGCATCACTCCTCAATTCACGTTGAAGGCTGCATTCGTCACTTTCGCATGCTCTTTTCCAAAAGAAGAAAAAGAAGAAGAAGAGTTTGGATTTGATATCCCGCCTTTCACTCCCTTTAAGGAGTCTCAAAGCGGCTAACATTCTCCTTTCCCTTCCTCCCCCACAACAAACACTCTGTGGGGTGAGTGGGGCTGAGAGACTTCAAAGAAGTGTGACTGGCCCAATGTCACCCAGCAGCTGCATGTGGAGGAGCGGAGACGCGAACCCGGTTCCCCAGATTACGAGACTACCGCTCTTAACCACTACACCACACTGGCTCTCCAGAACCACAGCGAAGGCCTTTTTTCTCAGCAAGTGTTATTGGGTGGATCTGTGCTGCCCTCCAGTGACTCTGATGAGTAACAAGCAAAGCTTTGAAAGGAATGGCTTTCTCTTGCCACCCCCGTGACAGGTGAGCACATGCTGGCCAATTTTTAAACAAGCCTCATCGGGGGCTTTTTTGCACAGGTTTCAAAAGATAGGACCACATCCCCTGCACAACATGCAGAGTGAGCCTTTGTCAGCAAAAGCCCAGCTTTGAAAACATTCTCTCTTTAAATCATGTTTCTGAGCTGGTTGCACTCCCAAGTATTTTTAAAACTACACTTCCCACCACCCCTGACTGCTGGCTGTGCTACCAGGGGCAGATGCAAATTGGTCCAAAAGGTACATCTTTGTTAGAATCATAGAACTGTGGGGTTTTTTTTCTTTCTTTCTGTGGCAAGAGAAATTGATGGATTATGCAGAATTGGTGAAATTGACAGACAAACTGTGAGACAAGGACAACTGTGACTTTAAAGAAAAATGGGAACTTTTTACAAACTACTTAAAAAAAAACCCAAAATGAATTGGACTCCTTGGCACAAATTTATTGATTGTTAACATAATAGACAGATAAGGATCTTAACAATTTTACAATATGCAGAGAATAACATGTGTTGAAAAATCAGAGAGAGGAGCTGAGGGAAGTCTTGGGGGGAGGGAGGGAAAGAATGGGGGGGGGGGATGAAGATGATATGTTTTGATAATTTGTTATGTTGAAATTCTTAATAAAAAAAATTTAAAAAAAAGAATCATAGAATTGTAGGGTTCAAAGTAATCCCCAGGGGCATCTAGTCCAACCCCCTACAACGCAGGAATATGAACTAGATCATGACAGACAGCCGTCCAACCTCTCCTTAAAAACAATTTACCATCTCCCAAGAGAGTCCATTCCACAGTCAAACAGCTCCCACTGCCGGAAAATTATTCCAGATGTTAAGTCGGAATCTCCTTTCTTGTACCTTGAAGGCTTTGGTTTGGGTCCTACCCGCCAAGAGCGAGAGAAAACAAGCTTGCTCCACCTTCCACGTGACAGGCCTTGAGATATTTAAAGATGGCGATCATATCTCTTGTCTTCACCTTCCCAGGCTAAACAGACTCAACTCCTTCAACTGTTCCTCATAAGGCTTAGTTTCCAGACCCCTGATCATCTTGGTCGCCCACCTCTGCACACCTTCCAGCTTGTCAACATCCTTCTTAAATTGGCATGCCCAGAACTGGACACAGTAGGCTGCTTCTGAATGCTGCCTTTTTAGCTCTCATCTACCCTAAGACATTATGAGGTATGGGGCTGGTATGTTAAATACAGTGGTACCTCTGGTTGCGAACCAGAAGTAACCCTTTCCGGTACTTCCGGGTCGCCGCGGGATGTAACCTGAAAGAACGTAACATGAAGCAAACGTAACATGAGGTATGACTGTACAGTGGTAGCTCTAGATGCGAATGAGATCCGTTCCGGAGCCCTGTTCGCATCCTGAAGCGAATGCTACCCATGTCTACGCATGCCGTGATTCGCTGCTTCCGCGCATGCAGGATGTCATTTTGAGCGTCTGCGCATGCGCGAGCAGCGAAACCCGGAAGTAACGCGTTCTGTTACTTCCGGGTTGCCACGGAGCGTACCCTGAAAACGCTCAACCCGAAGCTACTTCAACCCGAGGTATGGCTGTATTTAAAAAGTCACCATTGTCCTTCAGTATAAAAGAGTCTGCTGTGTACTGCAGGGGGCTGGACTAGATGACCCATCCCTTCCAGCTCTACAGTTCTCTGATTCCACCATTTCCTTGTGCCAGATCACTTCCCTCCCCATATCTCCAACCCTCCCCCCCCCCCGGGAGTTTCCAGCCAAAATACAACACTCTTTCTTCCCACATTCCCACATTTTTCTAATGCTCTACCCAGCCCTCCCCCACCAATCAACTGCCCTACTTCTTCAATAATTGCTCTCTTCAAATGGGATGCACTATTTACTAATGACAAAACATGGGGAACAAAGTCATTTAAGCGCTTAAGCTCCCCTTGACCTACTTCGCATTTGCCAGAAATGTATCGCCGCGGTAGGATGGCTGACTTCTCTCAAGACCCCGGCTCTTTCGAAAAGGGTGTTTTTAACCATCCATACAGAGATAATTCATTTTTATTTCATTTGCCAAATGAATCGGGGAAGAGAACTGAGCTGGGCATTTGCCAGGACTGTCACCACCTCAGGCCCAGCTGCTCTAGTGTTTTTTTGCCCTGGGGAAATGGAATAAATCTATACCACTTTATAAACAGTCATGGCTTCCCTCTGAGAAATCCTGGGAACCGTAGTTTATTAACAGTGCTGACGTACCATTGGAGACTAATTAAGGGCATCCCCCAAAATGATACAATCTGGTTTCCATTTTATTGAAGAACAGGATATTTTAATGCCATCACAGAGGTATCTGTGGAGGGGATATACCGTATTTTTCGCTCTATAAGACGCACCAGACCACAAGACGCACCTAGTTTTTGGAGGAGGAAAACAAGAAAAAAAATATCCTGAATCTCAGAAGCCAGAACAGCAAGAAGGATCGCTGCGCAGTGAAAGCAGCAATCCCTCCTGCTGTTCTGGTTTCTGGGATAGCCGTGCAGCCTGCATTCACTCCATAAGATGCGCACACATTTCCCCTTACCTTTTAGGAGGGGAAAAGTGAGTCTTATAGAGCAAAAAATATGGTATATTCATTGAAAATGTTATCTTTCTTTTCTTTTTCTTTTTTAAATGAATTTTATTAGTATTTTCCACACAACAACAACACGAAAGCTATATAAAAAAAATACACAACACACAAAAATCAACATCTTATCTTTCTTTTCATTTAAAAAAAGAACCTACCTGTTTCTTAAGTCTGGCACCAGTCCTTCTCTAAATATCCCTGCCACTCTCTAGGTTTTCTTAATGATAATTACTATTATTTATAAGCTGCCCACCGGACTGGGTTGCCTGGAGAGCCACGTCTTAAGACATTCTCAAAAAGAGTAAGATTGCCCAGGATTTTAACTGATTTTATATCTACTGCTTTTTGTATTTTTACTGTTGCTTTTGTTTCTGATGTTTTTGATCTGTTTTATGGTTCTCTTTTGTAGGCTATCTTGAAAATCTAGATTAATAAAATTATGTAAAAAAACAAAACAAAAAGGAAAACTGCTGAGAGTTGTTAAGAGACCCCTGCTCCTCTCTCAGAGCAGTTTAATCATTAATCCCTCTACTGAGGGAACTCTGGGAATTTTAGCTTCATGAGCATAATAGGCCACCCTTGCAGTTCCCAGGATTCTCATGAGGGAACGCCATGTCTTTAAAGCAGTATGATACTGCCAAAGTACCCCCATGATATTCTTGAGAAGCTGGTAAAATGTGATGAACAGATTACGCTAGTAGGACTGCGAGAAGTTTTGTAAAATGGATTATCTGAAATATTACAAGAGAGACTATGAAAAGAATTATTAGTTAAGGACAATTAAATGCAATATAGAAATTAAGAAATGCAGAATAAGTGATAAAGAACGGAAAATCATCAGAGGTGTTGACAGAAGTCTAAAACAATATATGTTGTATGACTGTTGGAACTGATATGTTAAAAAAATCAATAAAAATGTATAATAAGAAAGAGAGAATCTGGTAAAATGTGGATTTGTAGCTGAGAGAAGCTATGATAGCCATCTTCAAATATCTCAAGAGCTGTCACATGGAAGGTGGAGCAAGCTTGTTTTCTTCTGCTCTGGAGGGCAGGACTCGAACCCATGGCTTCAAGTTACAAGGAAGGAAATTCCTACTAAACATCAGGAAGAACTTCCTAACAGTAAGAGCTGTCAGTGGAACAGACTCCCTTTGGAAGGTGGCAGGCTCTCCATCATTGTAAGTTTTTAAGCAGAGGTTGGATGGCCATCTGTCACGGAAGCTTTAGTTGAGGTTCCTGCATTGAGGGGTTGGACTAGATGACCCTCGGGTCCCTTCCAACTCTACAATTCTTTCCTGTTCCTTCTTCCAGTTGGTGGCCTATTTACTTTGATTCACTGCTGCATTGTTTCTCCCACTGGATGCCTTCAGCAGCCAGCAGTGAAGAGAAGCAGGAGAGGTAATGAAGTCAGCCTCACCTATTAACCCATCGATCGCATTGGTGAGGACAAGTGTATGGATTTGCAGGGATTTGGGAGCAAAGAGAGGGACTCTGAGGGAAAATCATCAGGTACAAATGAATCAAATTTTATTGCAATGTCAAATAGAAATAGAATGCGTTTAGAGGGGATTAAGGAAAGAACCACTTCAGATTGAGATGATGATAATAATGATTTTATACCCTGCCCAACATTAAAAAGTTTCCTGAACAGGGCTGCCTTCAGATGTCTTCTAAAAGTCAAAGTTGTTTATTTCCTTGACATCTTATGGGAGGGCGTTCCACAGGATGGGTGCCACTACCGAGAAGGCCCTCTGCCTGGTTCGCTGTAACCTCACTTCTCCCAGTGAGGGAACCACCAGAAGGCCCTCAGAGGAGGACCTCAGAGTCCGTGCTGAATGATGGGGGTGGAGACACTCCTTCAGGTATACAGATAAAGAAGTATTGATTTTCCACTTCACCTAAACCAAGCGATGTGGACACTCAAGAGGGTTTACCACGTCTCAGGGAGGCCCTCAAGTTGCTCAAAGGTTGTCCATTCCTCCGTTAGACTAAGTGTGTGGCCCCCTTGCTCATCAAGGTAGCACAAGAGGGAAGAATCACCCAGTGTTCTCGCAGTGGGAGCCAAGCGTTTCAATTGCCTACTGTTAGCATCTGGATGGTTCATCAACAAAACGAGCCATTCGGGAAATTATTTTTATAATCAATGCTTGGAGGAAGCGTTCAGTGCTTAAAAACTCCTACCATCTCGCTCAAAAAAAAGATCTCCCGCCCGTTAAACCAAAAGCCCACAATCCTTTTCTGTGCCTTTTTTATAGTTACAACTGGTAGGGAATTTGAGAACTGTGAGTCAGCCTGCACATGCACCCAACCTAGAATTGCTATGGAAATGCCGGAGGCCCCATCAGTATTGGCATTCCGTGGGCTCTTGAAGACTCACCTATTTAGACACACGTTTCCTTCATCTCTTGCCTTGCTGCTTCAAAGGATGTTAATTACTGGTGTTTTATGTACTTGTTTTACTATGTGTTTTAATTACAGGCAGCTGTATTTTTTGTTTCATCCTTGTTATGATGCTGCCGGCTTTTCTTTATTTGTGAACTGCCTTGGCATTTCTTCTTGAAATGAAAGGTAGCATGTAAATTCTGCTTGTAACAACTACAACAGATGCCCAATAACTGGGTCACGCAACCCACAGGTGGTCCATCTACAGCTCGCGGGCCTCAGGTAGCAGTGGCAGCATGGATCTTTGGTATGCGATGGTACAAGGAGGAGGGTCTGCAGTCTAGGCTGCAGGATGGGATCAGAGATGCACCCATGCCTGTTTCTGCTGGGCACATTGCTGCCTTCATGGGGGGGGGGGAGTACTTCCAAGGCACAAGGAAAAGCATATCTTCTGAAGTGTGATCTAGAGCAAGGTTCCCCAAACTTGGATCTCCAGCTATTTTTGGACTACAATTCCCATCATTCCTAGCTAGCAGGACCAGTGGTCAGGAATGATGGAAATTGTAGTCCAAAAACAGCTGGAGACTGAAGTCTGGGAAACCCTGATCTAGAGCCATCTTCTTTGACCTTGGGTCCCCAGATGTTGTTGGACTACAACTTCCATCAGCCCCAGCCATCTTAGCCAATGGTCAGGGAGTTGTAGTCCATTAACATTCTGGGAACTAGAGTGACTCTAGGCTACACGATGGGCTCAGCTTGGTGCCCACTTGCAGCCCGAAAACGTGGCTTCTGATCCCCACCCTCCCCATCTTCAGAAGAAGGAAGATGACAGGTTGTGTCGCCATAACTGGGAATGCAGGCTTAAATCCTTCTCTTCCCCAGATCCCCTTCCTTCTCCCCAATTTCTTTACATGAACACAAGCAGGAAAGCAATTTTCTTCACGGCAATAAGGCTGCACACTGTTCTTTTTAAAAATAGATTTAATATCTCAAGTGTGTTTTCATATTCTACACATTTCAGTGCTATGATGAAAATTAATAAGGGTCCATACAAGATTAGAAAGTTAAAAAAACAGAACTTAAAAATAGGTTTTGAGCCGCCTCCGCCAACCTAGTGTCCTCCCAAAACAGCAGCTGCTGTCCAAAACTTACAGGGGCACCAGGCTGGCAAAGGCTGGTTTTCAGAATAGTACAACCTGTACCACCCATGCCCCTGACCCCCTCTCAGCCGCCTAACGGCATGAGCTGCTCAAAGCAAGACTGATTGAACATGTATTTTACCAGAGGCAAGACAAATACAGTTCGCATAAACAGATATAGGCTTCTTACAAACTAGTTTATATTCAGATTATGCTATTTAAAAAGCACACACACCTTTGTCCTTTTCGGCACTGATCGCTGAGGTCACTCACTATTTCTTCCAGTTATTTGTCAAACAGACAAGACCCCCGCCCCCACTTACAAATAAAGCTGAATGAACAGAGATGTTCCCTTTGGTGTAGACGTTGCCAGCAGCAAAACCTGGACCCAGGCTCCACTTCGAATCAGGATGTATTCAAAAGCTCCAAAAGAGCTCCAACTGCTCCAAAGTAGCCCTGTTTAAAAAAACGAAACCAGCACAGATGCAAAGGATCAGATTGCTTGTCAAAATACACTTGCCCCAAAGATCAAGATCGGCCTACTCATTACTTTGATTTTAAAGTGATGGTTGTTTGATTAGATATCCTTTAAAAAGAAAGGGGGGAAAAACACCACTATGTGTGACCACACCAAGCCAGGAAGGCAGGCAAGGACCCTGTCACACACTTCCTCTGAGATTGGCCGAGTCCCCCCTCACAAGCCCCTCATACTTGCTTTCAGGGGGGGGGGCCTTCTTTTTATTAAGTTCAGCTCGCGCTCTCTCTCACACACACACACATACACACACACATCTGGGTATTACCCCACCTCCTCCCCTCTTTGCTCCTTTTATATGACCTACTAAATTGCTATTCACTGCCCTGCATCCTCAGGTTAAGCTCTAAATCCAGTTAATTATTATAATAATTACAAAGAGAGTGTTTCAGGATTATTGAACTGTCAGATTACGAGAGCCACAGCACTGAAATAAAAGATGGAAATAGGTCCCTCCCCTCCCTTTCATTTATTCAAAAAATGGAAACAGTGGACAATCTATTTGCAGGATACTTACCACCCACCCTACCCTGCCTTGGCTATAGTTGGGGGGGGGGGAGGGAGAGAGGGAGGAAGAAAGAGAGCGCTTGCATTTCAATGTGACTCTACCTCGTGCTCCAGAAACAGGGCCTTCAACTGCCCCTTTGACCAATAATCCAAAGCATACGCCAGAAACTTCATTGAGATTGTGTTGATACGCAAGAAGTTCCCCACGAAAACCACCCGATTAATGTTCTGCAAGAGGGGGAAGGAGTGTTAAGACTCTTGACATCTCTGTTCACAGTAACAAACACACTTAAAACATGCACCCTGCCATTTCTTTGACTTAGTTTAGCCTTTGCCAACCTAGTGCGGCCCCCAATGTCGTTGGGCTACAACTCCCATCAGTCCCAGCTGGCTGGAGCTGTAGTCCATTCTATGGAGGGCACCAGGCCGCCGAAGGCTGATTTAGTTCTTGCATTCGTGTCTCACTCAAGACCAACATTTCCCAGTAGTTTAGGTTAGTTAAGAGCATCATATCCCCCGAGCCCCACTTTGCACTGCTTTGCATTTCCAAGTTAGCACCAGGCTCAGGAGGTAAGCAATTATTAGAGGGTGCAAGCCTGGTCCAGATGGGAGAGAACAGATTGCACTGTGGAAATTAGCTGCAGCAAAATGGGACAAGCTAGGATAGAGAACAAGATAATGAAATGGGGGGGTCAGGCATCACAGAAGAGACGTTTGAGCAAAATAACTGAACAGATGATTCCTGGGGGTTTCTGCTGGTTTTCATCCTATGGAAAGAAAACATTTTAAGATTGGTGGCCTTCGAGGTCCTGCCTTATTCCCTGGCTGAGCTGCTGCTGATGGGCAAGTGTCAGTCACAGAATATTAACTGTCAGGGCGCCTGCTGTGAAGGTGGTGGCATGTGTGCTTTGGCAAGTAGGGATCAGTGGAGAGAGAACTGGGATCTAGGGACAGGAGAAGCTGTGCCCAGTAAGAGAGGGTTACTGGAGTGGTCAACGGTGGGTAGGGTGGTGTGAAGTTCACATCCTAGAGGAGAAATAAGTCAGCACAATATCTATTGTGCAAGCTACCTTGCAGAAAGAACTTCTGCATCAGCGACTCACCTTAAGACCTGGGGTGAAGGCAGGCAATTGAGATCAGGTAAAGCTGAAGTCCTAGCTGTTACCACTTTCCTCCTCTAACCCTTTCCTACCATAGTGTCACCTTTGCCTCTGGTTTTCCAGTTATCCTGCACACCTCCTCTGAGTGTCCCCCAAAGGCTTCTCTTTGGAGCTGCTGTTATATCAGGCGATGGGTTACAGTGGCAGGGATGCTAGCCTTCCTTGCTGCGCCACGGACGCCCCAAGGCAAAAGATGAGAGGGCCTGGCTCTTTCATAGCCCTGTACAATGCTGCTTGACATGATTGCAACAAGGCAGCACTGTAAAGAAGCTGAAAGCACCAAGCTCAGGTAATGCCACGCAATAAGCTGGGATAGGAGGAGCGATTCTTGCTGCAAGACAGCTTACTTCCTGGCCTGCTCCCTCTTCCTCGGCTGAAGTCCTCAGCCTCGACAGGGAGTTTTATCCCTTTTAGAAGCAGCAGTGACTCCAAAGATCCTCCTGTCTGTCTCTCCTGACTACCCTCAGAAAAAGAAGCTCTCTGTACTGTTTACAATCTAACAGTGGGGTTCATCGGAAACCTGGAAACATTATTTAGCTTGGTTTGGAACAGGTTTACAATATCCCTAGTCAATGCTGCCCAGCACATCTCGACAGCAACAGGAAGTGGCTCAGAGGAATTGCTGGACCATGGTGCAGTGCGGGGCCTCAGCATCAGAAATTCTCACTGCTCACCGGAGCAAAAGGACAGCTCTTTACTCATTGTTCACATTCACACACAACGCTAAGCCAGACTCTCTGGTTTATCAGTGTTTATTGTGCATGCTGCCTGATCATTCTCACTTTGCTCCCTCCAACCCTAAACACCCCCCGTGTGAAAGGAAGGCGGGAAACATGCAGAGCAGGGATCCTGGCTTGCTACTCCCTAAGAAGCCACAGTCAGCAAGCCAACCACAAACCACAGCTTAAGGGGCAGTTTGCTGACTGTGGTTTGTAAATGAGCAGCCAACCACCATCTTTCGTTCAGATGTAATGGGAAACCAAAGATTCCTGGTTTATTTCTCCAGCTCATGGCAGGAGAGGAGCAAAGTGGGAAGCACAAAACAGTTGGCTGCTCATTCACAACAGACCACAACAAGACAGATAACGCTTTCAGAAGGCATTCCCAGCCCCCACCAACAGGACCGTGAGGAACTGAAAAGCACACACTTCCCTTGACTGGCTCCCCGGCTCCTCTCTTTCCATACCTCATTAAGCGCACACATCCGTGCTATGGAGCCGATGTTATTCGTGATGGTGATCAAAGCCGCTCTTGCCAAGTCTTCCTTGCTAGCTGCCTCTCGCTTCTCCTTGCTCATCATGTTTCCAAAGCTGGACAGAAAATTGTGCACAATTTTCCCCCCACCTAAAAATCCATTTACATGAGAAACATACGGGATTGCCAACTTTCAGTTCCTAGAATCAGAGTTGGAAGGGACCCAAGCGTCATCTAGTCCAACCCACTGAATCATCCTTGACAGACGGCCATCTGGCCTCAGCTTAAAAACCTCTAAGGAAGGATAGTCCACCACCTTTCGTGGGAGCGAGTCTATTCTACTGGGCCCATAGAAGCTTTTCCAAGAGTTGCTACCCAACACCCTCAGGATCAAGTGTGAATTTCCATGCATTCAGGTGCTGAGCTGAAGCCCCTTGCCGGTTAAAAGTGGCACCGGAGTGAAAGTTGGGCTAGTCCCATGCCTGATTCACTTCCCTCTTCCAAGCCCACACTTCCACAGGCTACAAGACAGGCTCATCAAGCCTGAGGAAGCCAGCAGTCTATAAACTGGGGAATATGGGCATAAGAACCTTAGAGACACAATTCTTCTCTTGGGTCCTATTGGTACTTCCTATGCTCATTCATCTGAAGCAAAATAAAGACAACTGCTGCTCTGTTTCAGGGTTGACACAAGTTTTCGTTTGTCTGATTCTTAGCTTACCCCATGTCAAAAGGCTCTGGGCGAGCAAAGAAATTAAATGCAGTGCACTACAATAGCTAAAAACATAAAAACTTAAGGAAGGCTCACGGCAGAATCAGACCAGAGACCCATCTAGTCTGCAGTAGCCAACTGGAAGCCTGCAAGGACACGAGCTCAACGGTGCTCTCCCAATTTGCAATTCCCCAAAACTGACATTCAGAGGCTCATTCAGAAGCCACCTTTTCCCAGGCTGCCAAAACCAAAGAGATGGGGAAAGGTTATTCAAGCTGCCTCATGCCCCCTACTGAAACACCAGGTGCGGCCTTACCTGGATGCTACCGTCCAACCGGGAAGCCCAAATCTCTCATAGTCTCCTCCGTAAATGTCCCGCACTAGTTTGTCCACTTTGGTGCTGTCCCCGTTGGCTGCCATTTCGAGGGCCTCTTCAAAGGTGGAGCAGCCAGTCAGCAGGCAGCAGAGACCAAAAAAGGTTCCTCCTCCAAGGCTAGCAAACAAACAAGACGCACAAATCACTTCTACCATCCTGTGAAAGTGCTGGGTAGAGGGGGATGAGAAGACCAACAACTTGCAGGACAAGACGCCTGTGATTTAACCCAGCAGAAATGAAGTTAACTAGTTAACAGACAACGTCACGGCACAGGCCTCCACGCTAGCCTCATGAGGGATGTGAGGATGTGGCAAAATCCTTAATTTTTTTACATCCTCACAGAGAAAAGGGAGCAGATGACACTTTTGCAGCTGAACCCGAGGCATGTTTTCTCCAAAATAAGTCCCATTGTGGTAAATAGGCCTTGCTGCCAGATGAACAGAACTGCAGCCTCAACAGCTACAGTGGTACCTCAGGTTCAGACGCTTCAGGTTACAGACGCTTCAGGTTACAGACTCTGCTAAGCCGGAAGTAGTACCTCGGGTTAAGAACTCTGCTTCAGGATAAGAACAGAAATTGTGTGGCGGCAGCGCAGCGGGAGGCCCCATTAGCTAAAGTAGTACCTCAGGTTAAGAACAGTTTCAGGTTAAGAACGGACCTCCAGAACGAATTAAGTTCTTAACCCAAGGTACCACTGTACATGACGCAGCCGCACTGTGCCCATCTGACACCAGAGGTATCACTTAGCCATGCATGTGGACTGCAAGTCACTTGATTCGTGGACCCAACTTGCTTAGCAGATCTGAAAGCGAAAGCATTACATTTTCAAAGCTCACCTGGTCCCAGTCACCCGCTTGTAATCGTCTTTAGAATAGACGGCCAGGATGCTGACCCCGGAGCCAATGTTCACCAGCAGAAGAGGGTAAGGGTTCTCCAAGTTGAAGGGGAGCTTCTGGCACTTCTCGGGATCGGTTGGGTTCTCAAAATAGTAGCACTCCGAGTGTCCGTTGAACCCAACCGAATCAATGTACAGCACTCCTCTAATAAGGCAGTCCAGTTCATCCACTTTGCGAAGCTGGAGGTCACTCACCTGTTTGGAGAAACAAGCTTTGAAGAAAACTAGATATTGAAACACTCCAAGGAAGGCCTGGAGGGTTTCATCAAGCAGCTTACAGGTCCCACCCCCCTTCCATTCTCTCTCAGCACTTAGAAACACTGGCCAACCACAAATGAGAACCCTTTGAGTTTCAGTATTAGAAATGGCAAAGCCTGAAAGTTCACCACCATCAATGCCAGCAAAAAGGGCTTATTCAAATCTATGCCAGTCTGCTAAACCTGCAAACAATTATTTGATTTGATTAAAGGTGGGTTATTTGGGGAGGGGCATGCTTATTGTAAGCTGACCGGTGATTCTATTGCTTTTCATGAATTGTATGTGTTTTAAAGCATCTCTAAGGGCCCTGGGAAATGCTGGGTAAAAATAGCTTAATAAAATAAGTCAAGTCCAGTAACTGCAAACGAACAGAGGAGTTGAGGCAAATGGAGAAATGGGGTAAGCAGCCATTAGGCAAAGGAACTGCAGCCCTCACGGAGGATATGTTTATGATTTAGCCTCTCTGAAACCGAACACCAGTAGCTACTCTGAAGTTTAGCCACAGCGCTGAAGTCTGATTTCATGAAGGTTTAATCTCTGGAAACTGAAAAACAGGATGGGCAGGACAATAGAAGAAACACACACAAAAAACAGGAAACATCTAATGTTGTAAACAAAAGCAAAAGAGATAGAAAAACGTAGTTCAAAGACGCTGGAAAGGATGAGAGTTGATTGTTAAATTAGCCCACATTTAACCATCAACATTCATCCTTCCCAGCATGTATGAGATACAATTCTTTTTTTGTTTAGAACGAGGGAGGAAGCAGCTGAGAAGCAAAGGTCTGTTTAATAGACCTAAATTCTATGATTCACAGTGAAATCACAGGCATGCCGTAAACCAGCACCCCTGCCTAATGAATGAAGAACAGCTGCTGAAGCAGACATGGAGAGGATGCAAAGGAACTCCTTTCACTGCTTTCCCCCTCACTTGTCTTTGGTTACCTAAGAAAGCGTTTCTAACACGGTTCTGAGCAGCAGCATTCTGTGCGCACACCAAACCTGCAACCCAGTGGTGAAGCCAGGGAAGCATGCAGCTTGGACTAAGTTATCGCAGTCACCACTACCATCAGTACAATACAAACTCTTCAGTCAGCTATCCTACATTAAGCCAGCCTTCACCAACCTGGTGCTCTCCAGATATTTTGGACTACAACTGCTATCCGCACACGCCAATGGGAGTTGTAGTCCCAAATACCTAGAGAGCAACAGAGGCTGATGAAGGCAGTGTTAAGATCCCGAAGAGATGGCAATGATGGAGCAGCAATAGCTGGCAGAATCATCTTGCTCACAGAGTTTTTCTCATGGAAGTTTTGTTTCATGGAATGCAAGAACAATGTTAAAGTTTGCATCTAGCAAACCAGGGCCTCGGCTACACTGGTTAATTATAACATTATAAAGGCGTTATAAAAATGTGATAACAGAGGACGCTGTAGAGCAGCAATCCATCACCAATGGTCAATTGCATTGAGAGCTAAATTTTAAAGCATTTTTATAGCATTTTTCATATCAGTGTAGATCCAGCCCTTCAAATGCTGCTGAACTACAACTCCCATCAGCCCCAACCAGCATGGCCAATGGCCGGGGATGATGGGAGTTGTACTTCAGCAACATCTATCGGGCCAAAAGTTTCCCACACCTGGCAGAGACCAGCTTCACACTGCCCTTACACTCAAATCAGGAAACAGCATTACAAAAGAGAGTTGCTGCAGAGGTTATGAAGACATGCAGCACCTCTGTTTTGCAAGCTTTAACCATGTGCTATAGCAGCTTAAAAATATATAAGCCAAAAATTGCATACTGTGCGAAAGTCCTGCTCAAATTTATATGCTCCACCTCCTGTGGCACATAAGGTAGTGTGGAGGCTTGAGAAGTGCTTTTCGCTGCCCATTTGAATAAAAGCAGGCATGTCATGAGTAGGGAAGCGTATAAAGTGCAGATTGCCTTTACGTCCACACAGCATAAGGTCCTTTAGCTCAAGGTGAACATCACGAATGCCTGTAGAGCCATAGGCAGTGTGGGAGGTCAGGTATTTCCGGATGCTCTTCAGATTCTCCACTTCCTCCTCTTCTTCCTCCATGGTGATGTCTTTTGGTTCAAAATACACAAGCTTCACCAAGGTCCCTCCAATATCCAAGCCAAACCAAGGAAAGACTGAAAGGAATAAGGGAGAAAAGGGATCATTACAATGGTGGTGTTTTATTATACATTTCTAAAGAGACTAAACTGATCTTGTGTTTTTATGCTGTGAACTGCCCCGAGATCCACGGATGAAGGGCGGTATACAAATTTGATAAATAAAAATAAAACCCAGTTGCCGCCCCCAGTTGACAAGGGCTCACCCCAACCACTCGCTAAACTGTCATGACACCGCAGAATGTTCACATACGTTCTAGCATCAACACATGAATTAGAAACTTGGCAAAGCCACACGGTTTCTGCCACATTAGGGAAAGAACTGCAAATGCATAAGAGAAAGGAAGTTGGGGGTGGGCAAGAAGGCTGAGCATTGGGAACCTGAGTGGAAAGAGAGCCTAAAGGAGAAAAGGCTTGCAGTGCACAAAACACACATCAAATACAAAACCAACAGAATGTATTAACACCCTCCGCAGACAAAACGACTAGTTTTATTACCAAAGCCAGGTGTGGAAGATACATTCCAATGTTCAAGGCTGGAAATGCCTGCTATAAGTAACTAATTTGAACTGTTCTTTGTTTTTACATTTATACCCAAACTTCTGACCCGGCAAGGCCTGCCCATTAGCTAAACGTACATGGTGTATAAATCCATATATACCAACCAGCTGTTCCTGACTAACCCATTAAAATAAATAGCACTACGGATAGCGACTGTAAACTACAAATACCCCTCCGGATTACTCCCCCCCAAAAAACCATGCTATTGGTGAGAAAGTCAGTAAACCAGAATCAAAGTGGTTGCAAGTGATGTTACCAGGTCACCTGTTTCTCAAAATCAAAGCTGAAGCAACAGTTCAGGGAACTACCCCAAGCACATATTAATGACCATGTTAAGAAGTACTTGTTGCTGTTCTAGCATAAGAACAGCGGAAGTTAGAAGCATTAAGTACATTTGCCAGAGTGAGAAATGCATTCTCCCTCACTTCCTCTGCGGCCATGTACAGAAGAGGTACAAGATGGACTATTTCTAAGAATTTCAGAAATGCTGCTTCATAGATTTACAGGCATTCCTAAAAGAGGCCATTATTTTAAAAAGGTGAAGAACATTTCAAGGGCAACATTGCCTTGCGGTAATTTTCTTGGTGGAGCCACTTACCAGTGGTTGGCAGGGCCACAGCTGTTTTTGGACTACAACTCCTATCATCCCTATCTAGCAGGACCAGTGGTCAGGGATGATGGGAACTGTAGTCCAAAAACAACTGGAGACTCCCAAGTTTGAGAAACCCCAGTCTAGTTCAACCCCCTGCAATGCAGGGCTAGGCAGCTGTCCCTTATGGGGATTGAACCTGAAACCTTGGCATTATCAGCACCATGCTCTAACCAACTGAGCTATCCAGCTGAAGCAGGGCTAGATGCCAGCAGCCCTCTCCCACTGTCATTCCCAGCACCTGGCATTCAGAGGCATGAGGCACAGGTAGGCAAACTAAGGCCCGGGGGCCGGATGCGGCCCAATCGCCTTTTAAATCCGGCCCGCGGACGGTCTGGGAATCAGCATGTTTTTACATGAGTAGAATGTGTCCTTTTGTTTAAAATGCACCCCTGGGTTATTTGTGGGGCCTGCCTGGTGTTTTTACATTAGAATGTATGCTTTTGTTTAAAATGCACCCCTGGGTTATTTGTGGGGCATAGGAATTTGTTCATTTCCCCCCCAAAAAATATAGTCCGGCCCCCCACAAGGTCTGAGGGACAGTGGACCGGCCCCTGCTGAAAAAGTTTGCTGACCCCTGCATGATGCCTCTGAGACTGGAGGCAGGAACACAGCCATCATGACTAGCAGTCACTGATAGCTTTAGACTCCATGGATTGATCTAATCCCCTTTTTAAAGCCACGCGCAAGCTGACAGCCATTGCAGTCAATTCCATAGTTTCATCATGTGCTGTGTAAAGAAGTTCCTCGCTTTGTTTGTCCAGAGTCCCCCAGCAGTCAATTTCGTTGGTCGACTCCAAGTCGTAGTAACATGGGAGACAGGAGAGGACATCACTGAGGGGAAAAGCGACTTACAAATCAAATGTCCCTTCCACGACTGTGTCTAAAGGAACACGCTTACTCCAGATTCCTGCTGGTCCACTTTCCATTTGAATCTGGGGCTATGTTTCCCAAAGACCACAATTTTGGTCTTGCACAACTTAAAAGTAAAGGAACCCCTGACCATAGGTCCAGTCAAGGACAACTCTGGGGTGGCGGTGCTCATCTCGCTTTATTGGCCGAGGGAGCCGGTGTACAGCTTCCGGGTCATGTGGCCAGCACAACTAAGCCGCTTCTGGCAAACCAGAGCAGCGCACGGAAACGCCGTTTACCTTCCCACCGGAGCGGTACCTATTTATCTACTTGCACTTTGACGTGCTTTCGAACTGCTAGGTTGGCAGGAGCAGGGACCGAGCAACAGGAGCTCACCCCATCGCGGGGATTCGAACCGCTGACCTTCTGATCGGCAAGTCCTAGGCTCTGTGGTTTAACCCACAGCGCCACCCACGTCCCTTGCACAACTTACACTTATACAAAATATTCGTTTTTAAAATAACTTGTCTTCCAGATTCTTTTACACACACAAAACACTACTGCATGTGCCTTTGAAGTCTGGTGGGGGGAGGGGACTGGCAAGAACTAGCAACTTCCACTGTCAGGATCCCCATGATCTCCCTGCCTCTCCGTTTTTTAGGACGTGTGATCTCCGCCTAGCCAGTGCTGGAGCACAAATCAATTCTGCATGAGGATGGTGGGGTGGAAAGGGATACTATCTCCAACCAAGACATTTTCTTGGCAGAAGGTAAGGATAATGACTTGCAGCCATTGTACTTTCAGGCTCAGTTACTCCAGTCCTGTCTCACGTATAAAATGAATTCATCCCACAAGCTGGCCTCCACTGAAGGCCTGCAATATATCTGCTTTGTGACGTTCCACTGGCTAGACCTTTTTTCTTTTTCTTTTTTAATAGCAGGAAAAACAGACCCAGCTGCATTGCATTTCTTTGAGGGAGGGACTTTTATGAAAGGGGCTCCATTTCTTTTATAGGAGCAGCATTTTTATTGGAACTGTGTCTCATTCTTCTTCTTTGGCAATCACTCGTAGCCGAGTACGATTGTCTTCCATGAATACGGTTTTAACGGTGTACTCGTACGTGACTATGGAGGCCAATTCTGGATCCACACTTCCTTCCACAGTGGGGACATAGGTTTCCAGGCTATCACGGTGTAGATTTGCCAAGCGTGCCTTCCTCTTAGCACATTTCTCTCTTGTGTCCTGAGTTCGAGCGTCTTCAAAGCCCATGACACCTTTGGTAAAGGCTGTTCTCCAACTGAAGCGCTCGCAGGCCAGTGTTTCCCATTTGTCGGTATTTATACTACATTTTTAAAGATTTGCCTTGAGAGTGTCTTTAAACCTCTTTTGTTGTCCACCGGCATTACACTTTTCATTCAAAAGTTGGGAATAGAGTAGTTCATTGCAAGACGATAATCCGGCATCCGAAAAGCATGACCATATGAACAACTTGTGTTACATACCTTTTCAAAATATATTTTTATACATGTGTGTCTCATATCAGGCATTATCATAGAATTATATTGTTGGGAGGGATCCAAGGGTCATCTAGTCCAACCCCCTGCAATGCAGGAATCTCAACTAATACATGACAGATGGCCATCCAACCTCTGCTTAAAAACCTCCAAGAAGGAAAGTCATTTGTTTTTCTTCTACCTGTGCTGAGTACCTAGACTGACATTAAGCATGCACAAAAAGCCATTTCCACACCATCACAACTGCCATGCATATGTAGCTTTATGTAGACCAGATTCCTACCAACAAAATGTTTTGCTTCTCAGGTGGCAAAGATTCCCGAGAACCTTATATACCAAATGCTCAGGTGCAAGTGAGGAAAGGCTAGATTTATCAAAATGACTTCAAATCACACTTTAAAAAACCTAAACCTTCAGTACATATTGAACTGCATCATCTAGTGTCACCCCAGAAACTGCCTGAATAGTATTTGCAGATGTGCAACATGATTACCAGCTGTATCCCAGAGTGGATAATGATCAAGCACAATTCACGCAGATTTGTGTGTCCAGCAGAATTTTTTGCATGACTAACAGCATTCAAACAAGCAACAGTCCTGAGGTGCAGAAAACTGCAGCTAAACCAAAGAAACAAATTTTCCCAACCCCTGTGCCAGGGCCTCCATTTTCTTTGCAGTTTATCAGCTGCAGCAGGAGGATTTGCAATTATGTAATTATTTCATCAACCTAACATTCAGATAGTTGGTGAAGGGGGATATAGGGAGCTGCTGAAAATATGCAAAGCAACCCTTTGAACACAGCAAACCAGGCATGATTTCTGCAGCTAAGTGTCAACATCCCTTTCAGCTCGAATTAATTGCAATGCGCAACTGCACAACAAAGGCAGTCTTATGGCCCTGATTCTTGAACCCCATTTGCAACAATGATACCCCGTCAGCTCCTTCCCCCTTTTTGCACCTTCACTGAGATTTTGCCCTACTCAAGACCTCCAGCAAACATCTGCCAACCTTATCTAGGCATTTCCCAATGAACACCACCACTTCCTCTAAATCAGAATGTGGCAACTGGGACTTGCAATCCAAAACATTTTGAGGGCACCAAGTTGCAGAAGGCAGGGCTAGCTCATCAACATATTCTTTTTTGAAAAAAGCCACACTCTTTTCAACTCTAGATTGATTAGACCAGAACAGGATCCAGCCCTAGTTCTCGTGCTACAAACATAAGATTCTTCTGTAATAATTATGGACAGGCTCAAGATTCAGAGTCAGCTTTTTCATGCCTGCCATCCTGATAGAAGCCTCATGTTTATTCAGACAATGAATTCCAGAGTTTTTCAGCTTGCTGACATCTATGTACATTCAGGAAAAATAGCGACATAAACCTGCTTCAGCAAACAATCTCATGGCTTCATTTAAGATAAATGAGTTTCTTATGGCGTAAGCCATGTGGCATCCATTATATGCATAGAATGAACAAGATGGCAGTGGTGTAATGTCAGATACAGAATTGGTCTTCAAAATGAGATTTTTTAAAAATGCACACGTACTAAAGTTGGTGATGCCATACATGAGTCAATTGTTTATGTATTTTAAAAAATCTCATCTAGAAACAAGATTTCCTCTGTTAGACTTATGAAAGTCCATGAATGTGTAGTATATAAATACGCAGGGCATTCTTCACACAGAATCTCATAGCACTGTTTCACAGTATTTTAGCTGATTCCCTGCCTCTGCATTACACTAAGCTTTCATCTCTGGGTTCCTTAACCATCTGAGGTACAAGTGGCTACCAGCAACAGAGTTCTCTAAGTAGTGGCTCCCCTGCAACTGTAAAAGGCCTCCCCTCTGCCTTTTAATGCCATTCCATTTGGTTTATCTGCACTGGGTTTGTTAGGTTTACAGTGGTACCTCGGGTTAAGAACTTAATTCATTCTGGAGGTCTGTTCTTAACCTGAAACTGTTCTTAACCTGAAGCACTACTTTAACTAATGGGGCCTCCTGCTGCCGCTGCGCCGCCACTGCACAATTTCTGTTCTCATCCTGAAGCAAAGTTCTTAACCCAAGGTAATATTTCTGGGTTAGCGGAGTCTGTATCCTGAAGCATCTGTAACCTGAAGCATATGTAACCCGAGGTACTACTGTAGATGCAATCTCTAGCGGGAGCAGTACATAGCCAGTATGTTACTTTAAATTACTACACTGTACTTTATTTTTGCTTTCTGCATTTTGAAATTGTTCAAGCTTTGTTGGAAATTCCCAGGTTAAATAAATAAATAAAAGCGGTCACAAGCCTCTTCTTTTTCTTATCAGCTGCCACAGATAGCACAATCTTTCCTTTCTCAAGCTACAATTTATATAGCTCCGTCTGCAAATTCCAGCCACCAAAATATTTATATGAGGACCAGGGAGACTCAAGTTCAAATCTACACTCATTCATGATGCTCCACAGGCAATTCTGAGCCAGCAATATCCACCTCTCTCTCTCTCCCCCTAATCTACATCACAGGGTTCTTGTGAAGTGCCAGGGCAGAGTAGTGGTCAGAGCATTTAACTAGGACCTGGGAGACCAGGGTTCAGACCCTCACGCAGTCACAAAACTTGAGAGAGGCCCTTGAGGTAAGTCCCTGTCTCTGAACCTAACCAACCTCATGGGTTCTAGTTACAGGTAGGTACAATCTATTTTTTCGTAGAAAAGAAAAAGGCACACGAAAGCTCATACCAATAACAAACTGAGCTGGTCTCTAAGGTGCTACAGGAAGGATTTTTTTTTATTTTGTTTCAACTTCACGGGGTTGTCGTGACCCTAAAATGGAGCTGAGGAAGGGAGGGAAGGAGAGAAAAAAGGTGGGCTGCAAATGCAGTAAGAGAGATAAAATGGAGGTGGAAGGAAGTCAGAACAATAAGATAACAATGTGAAATCTAATCCTACCCTGAATAGAGCAGAATATGGTTCCTCATTTTATCTTTTCGAGGTTTTTTTACAATCTAGCAGTGTCTAAATGTTATGAAATAATTAAATCGAATGCAAATTTAATCAACAAAAATTAATATAATTTTAATAATAAATGAAAGCTCAAGCCATGCCTAGCTATTTGATAGGGAGCCCCGCCCCAACCCCGCGAGGCCCCGCCCCCTCTCCCAGGCCCCGCCCCTCCCGGTCAAGCCCCGCCCCCCGGCGCCCCCTAGCAGCCACTCACGAGGGCGGTTCTTGCGGAGGGAGTCGAGGCGCGGCCGGGGGGCGGGGCCAGCGCGCTCCTCGCGACGCTCCGCGGCCTCCGCCTTTCCAGAGGCGCCGTTGCGCCGCCGCCCGGCCAGGGCCGCAGGGGCGGGGCTTCGCCTCAGCCGTTGCTCCGCGGGGGGTCCGGCCTCGCGCCCCGACGCCATGGCGCCCGGCGGCGGCCTCGCCTCCTCTCCCTCCGCGCCGCTTCCATTCTGCAGCGGCTCCATCCGCAGCGCGGCCCCATTCGCCGCGGAAACGGCGGGCACTGCGCTTGCGCCGAACGCCTTCGCCGCCGCCTCCTCCCCTCTGCGAAACCTTGAGGGGTGGGGGAAGAAGCAAACCGCCTACCAATCAGAGCTTTCCCTGCGCGGAGCGACGGGCGAAGATGTCCAATGCGGCTTTGCGAAGGCTTCCAAGGGGTGGGCGCAAAAAAAAGAGAGATCCAAATCCCTCCAATGAATGGCAAGGGAGAACGAATCCCGCCAATGAAAAGCTGCCGATTCAAGGAGCCAACCCCCACGCACGCAAATACAGGTACAACGGGCCTCGAGAGGCGGGGACGTGTAACGGAATCGTCGTAGCCAACCGGCTCCTCCGGAAGGGAGAGCGACGCGCCTATCCTCCACTGAGAAAGAAGGGTTGTCGACAAAAGGGCGGAGCTAGCGGACGAATGGCACGTCGGGTAGCCATGGCTACCCAGCAAGGAGAGATTTGGGGCGCGCGGGGTGGGGGTTGGTATGTTCAGATTTCAAGTGAGGAAATCGATGAAAAAGAAAATAAATATCAAAGAGTGTGGGGGAAAAGCACTCGACAGCGTTATCCCAGTAAAACATCCAGCAACGCTAGTTAGCGCAGTCAGACGTGCACATGAGGTGGTGGTTTCACGTGTATTAGGGTTACATTTATATCGCACCTTTCATCACCAATGAGCTCAAGGGCGGCATGCCTCCTTCCCACTCATCATCACACCAGCCCTGTGAGGTAGGCTATCTTGCCACCTCAGTACATAATGAAACACTTTCCCCTGCCCATATGTACCTCGAGGGGACCTGCCTTAATGTCAAGAGGCAGGGAGTTCCAAAGGGCAGGTGCAGCTACACTGGGAGTGCATTATCGAGCACTTGTAAAAGCACACACTATGCAGATCAAAGAAGCTGAATGGGCACTTGTGGGGCAGCTTCCTGTGTTCCCAGACCTTTGAGCAAAATTTAGAAGGAGTGATCCCATTCACTTATAGGAATGTTCTTGCTGATTCAAATCCTCTTTCCTTATTTAGAGAGAGAAAAATAAAAATCTGAAGGCTGATCCCATACCCAGAACTGCAACTTGCTTCTTCCCACGTGTGTTGGTCACGAAAGAAGGGCCTTGTGGCATTCGCCTGTTCAGGGGATTGGTACAAATATTTTGTAAGAAACCATTTCCCCAACCATTTCCGGTCTGCCAGCATCTGGATAAATCGCTCCAAAGGACTTGAAGGATTGTGCAAAGGAGGGAAAAAATGAATTGTGGGTGCGCTTTGCAGAATTGTGTAATAAAGCTTTTAGAAATATGAATTTACAAAACTATTTAAAAATAAGATAAGGTGGAAGCGATACCTTGTGTAAATTTGCAACATCCAGCTGAAAATAGTTATATGATTATCACATTTATTTTTTTAATTACTAGCTCTGCTCCTGCACTCTTAGTAGTCCAACCCACAGGCAACTGGGACCTAAATCTTTTCCCACCGCCAGTCTTCATTCCAGGAAAACCTTTAGCGGCTGAAATTTCTGCATGTCAGCCGGCACCTTTATACGCATATGTCTGCATTAGTCAGCTTATATTGGTGCAGAACATTCATTTATTTCATTGGTTTCCTTTACCACAGTCATTTTTATTGCCTGATGATGCATGTTTGCTCAGAAGGAAATCCCACAGAGTTTCAGCAGGGCTTTTTCACTGCTGTGCTCCTAATGCTGCAATCCTAACATGTGCTTAGATGGCAGTACATCCCATTGATTCATATGGGGGATTATATTATATTTATTATATTATATTATATTATATTATATTATATTATATTATATTATATTGGGAAATAGATGAAAATAGACATGAAAAGAGCTTTCCTAAGTTAGGGCTGCCATATGTCTGAGTCTTCCCGGACACATCCACGAATTGGGCTGCAAAATGGCATCCGGGCGGATTTTTGCTAAATGGGCAAAATATCCAAGAAAACCTGGGTGTGTGGCAAGTAGGGTGTTTTGTTTTTTAAAAAAAGTTTTAAAAATCCAAGAAAAGCCCCCAAAACATATTTTTTTGGGGGGGGGATGTTCCAGATTTGTCCAGATTTTCACTTTTGGAAATATGGCAACCCTATGTACTAAATATCTTTTCTTGAATTAAGAGAGAGCAAGCAGACATTCTGAAATAGTCTTGAAAATGCTTGTTGCTGCCTCACTGACAGATTTAACTCACTCACCCCTCCCATATTTCATAAATGTCCCTGCATAGATGTGCCCATTAAGCTACTGACCCACTTACATAGATTATTGGGAATCACCACAACATTAGCAGAAACCTTCTGACTTGCTGCTTTTTCTTTTTTCCCTCCCTGACAATGCCGTTCTGTTTCCAAAAGTGCTGGTCTATCGGAGTCAGTATTTGTCTTGGAAGCCTGTTAACTGGGTCATCGTCTGGTTTTGCCGCTGATAAAATTACAAAAGTGGGTCACACAGTAAATAATAATACTAATAATAAACGCAGGAGCAGGCTAATAAACTGCAGGTTCAACTCACAAAACACACTGAGCTGTAACTAAACAACCAAAAAACAACAACCCCTGCAGCCTGCTGAAATGTAACATTCAGCTTTGCATTAGAAATCCAAACCATCTTGCAGAGATGCAACTGCCCAGTGTGAAACAGGAACCCCATAAAAAAGGAAATAGTATCTAGTCTCTGCTTGATGATTTTCATCATTCTCCGATTTCGTACTCAGACATGTAGAATGTTGCTTTAAAATGTATTACCGTATTTTTCGTCCTATAGGGCGCACCGGCCCATAGGACGCACCTCGTTTTTTGGGGGGGGGAATGAATAAAAAAAAATTATTCCCCCCACCCGCCGCGGCTGCCCCCCAAGCCTTGCGCACACCTGCCCGAAGCACGGGGCACCCTCCGGAGGGCTCCGCGTGCTTCAGGCTGCAGGCTGCCACCGCAAGCCTCGCGCGCCCGGCAGGAGGTCCCGCCGAGTGCGCGAGGCTTGCGGACACTCGCCGGGGCTGCAGGCTGCTGCCCGCAAGCCTTGTGAGCCCGCGGGAACTCCCGCCGGGCTTGCAAGGCTTGCAGATAGCTTCCTGAAGCCTGGAGAGCGAGAGGGGTCGGTGCGCACAGATGCCTCTCGCTCTCCAGGCTTCAGTGAAGCCTGCATTCGCCCCATAGGACGCACACACATTTCCCCTTCATTTTTGGAGGGGAAAAAGTGTGTCCTATGGGGCGAAAAATACGGTAAGTTTATTGCTGATTTTTACTTTGTTTTGAATGATTGTTTTTAACCGTTTTCACTGGTAATTTTGTTTTATTCTCTTTGTAAACTGCTTTGAGGTTTTTGTTTTACAATCGAGCAGTATATAAATTTAATGCAATAAATAAATTCACAGCTAGTATCATTGCCCCACTTCCGGAAAAGACAGTCCTGGAGTCTGCCACATTGCTTCTCAATTACACTGGTCCTTAAAAGTTCTACAGAGAATGCATTGCCTGGTAAAATCTCAGATATATACTGAAATAAAAGACGGCTGAGTAAATTGAGGGCAGGACTTTGGTGCCCTGGAGAGTTCCTTGTGTCTCACTAAAGGACTTAAAAATGGAAAGTGTAATGCTGGTGGTCAACAAAAGAGGTTTAAAGACTCTCTCAAGTCAAGGCAAATCTTAAAAAAAAAGTAGTATAAACACCAACAACTGGGAAACTCTGGCCTGCGAGCGCTCCAGTTGGAGAACAGCCTTTACCAAAAGTGTCATGTGCTTTGAAGACACTCGAACTCAGGATGAAAGGGAGAAATGCGCTAAGAGGAAGGCACGCTTGGCAAACCCTCACTGGGATCAACTCCCATCTGGAAACCTATGTCCCCACTGTGGAAGGACGTGTGGATCCAGAATTGGCCTCCACAGTCACTTACAGACTTACTGTTAAGACCGTGTTCATGGAAGACAATCTTACTCGGCTACAAGTGATCACCAAAGAAGAAGAAAAGCAAAAGCAGAATTGCTGTTAACTGATGTTATCTTTATTGTATAGTTTGAGCCTTTCTGTACACTGCTTAGAGAATAGGGTGTTAAATGGTAATTACAGGTAGGTAGCCGTGTTGGTCTGCCATAGTCGGAACAAAATAAAAGAATTCCTTCCAGTAGCACCTTAGAGACCAACTTAAGTTTGTTCTGGGTATGAGCTTTCGTGTGCACGCACACTTCTTCAGATAAATGGTATATAATTTGTTGAAATAAATGAATGAACGCTTGTGGGAACAGCAGGAGTGGATTCAGGGCTTGCTTCTGGTACTGATCAGATTCCCAAGCTGAGCATCTGTTCAAAGGCATCCTTTTTCTCAGCTCTTAGGATCTGGCCACCTGGCTGAGCCACCATTTTGTAACCAGCTCTGGCTAATGGACCTTAGGGGTCTAGTAAAAAAAAATAAAAAATTCACAAGATCTCTCAAGGATGAAGTTGTGGCAGAGACAATACGAATAGGCCTGACCCAGTATGAGGCAGCTATTTCCCTAGGTCTTGGCCACGGTAGACTTTTTAGGCTTTGCCCTTGGGTGGGAAGAGCATTGCGCCCGGGACAGGGAAATGGGAGTCAAACAGACACTCAAGGAATAATTTCAGAGAAAGAGCTTTATTTCTACCATCCGGACTGGTAGAAGGAGCAAGCGTGATAACTCACAAGCTTAGCACAAGTTCACAGCCATTTGCACAGAGTATTTATTCCCCTCCAGTTCCCTCCCCTTTCTCCTCCTCCTCAGGAGCCCTGCCCCATGATGAGTTTCCTGAGCATGAACAGAAAGCTCCTGTCTTTGGGACTCTTGGCGCCCTTCCCAGGAAAGGGGGATGAGAAGCCAAGGGGGTTGAGGAGCCTTGCGGTTCAGCGTGTCCAAGATGTGTTGCAACTGGATGAGATAAGACTCAGTTCCCAGGCTTCCTTTATGCTTGGCACTGACAGAGCCTATTCATTAGGCTTTTTGAAGCTCTCTCGTACTGATAAAAGTTACATTTTGCCTGTGCAGCAGCTTCTTGTGAGAAAGCAGAGAAGAGCTGAAGCTGCTGTGGATTTTTAGAAGAGAGAAAGGGAATTTTGGACAGTTTTGAGGCCTGAGGTGATTTTGGGGTGACTTCACAGACAGGATTTGGGTATCCTGTCCCTTCACCACTACGGAAGATTAATTGCATTTTTAAGAAGGCATCTGGTGCGGTACAAAACCATCCGAAGGACAGCTCCGTTGATATCATCTGGCCCAGGAATAATTCTGGAAAGACTTCTCATAAAATGCTACCTGCAAAAAGAGTTAGGATGCAGTTGGTCATGACTCTTGCTTACAAGCCTTTTCCTGAGAAAAGCAGAAATCGAACCGGACGGAAAGTTCAGAGAAGAGCACTTCTTTGCAACTACCTCCTCGGGAAGAATTCCAAAAGCATGCAGAGAGAGGGAGACACTTATTTATTTTATTAACAAAAAAGTATTAGTAGAACAAAAGACCCCTAAGCAATTTAACAAGGCAGGCTAAAATATTCATTTAAAACGCCAACAGAAAAGGAATCATTAAAAAGAAGCAACATAAAAAACAAATACAAAATAAAACCAGTGATTAAAAGAAAACACCAATTATACCTACTAAAATGTCAAGCCTGGGTAGGCTTCCTAGAACAAATAGGCTTTTAGCAGGCATTAAAAGCAGTACAGTGAAGGCACCCGCCTAATATCAATGGACAGGGAGTTCCGAAGGGTAGGCTCTGCCACACCGAAGGACTGATTTCTTGCCTGCAAGAAACTAATCTTATGTAGCACTTGTAGAAGTGGCAGTTCTGCACATCTAAGCAGTCAAGCGGGCACATATTCTGCTGCAAGCTAGAATCGAGGCCCTGAATGACAGGGCCATGCCAGCGTCCCATATTTCAGTTTGGTATTGCGAGAGGTATTTTGTTTTTCATTTTGTGCTTCTATGCTGCAAACCGCCCTGTGCTCTTTGGATGAAGGGTGATAAGTTTAATAAATAATAATTGTTAAGTTGTGGGTGAACATATCAGACAACACAGCGATTCTTCAGACAGCTCTTGTTTACTCACAGGCCAGAACAGAACTGAACTGAAGGGTTCAGCCAACCTGCTTATACAGAGCTCCACTACAAAGCAACAGTAACAACTTTCTGTAACTATCCAATCACTGAGCGTCACTTTCAATTCCTTTTTTGCATATGTGGACCTGAGTGAAAACTACCTACAGTATCCCCCTGCTGGCCCAGGGTGAGAACTTCAGTACATAACAATATTAGGACTCCCCTCGACCCCAGAAGGCTTCATAAGATTTCCAGATCAGGATGACCCCTCCCTCTCAAACTGCACCCTTGCTTTCTTCAGTTTGGTAAATACTGAATTTGCCCAATTTGGACATACACATCCTGGGGCCCTGTGCATTTGCTGGTGGTGGTAGTCTGTGTGTGGAATGCATCGGTGCACCAAGATGGGGTCACGAAGCAGCCAAAAAAGGCTTTCAGCTAATTTTTGTTTTTTTTTAATTACCATGAGCAAGTGAAACGAGCAGCATTTAGATGAACAAGTGGGGGGAGGGGGGCAGTAAGAGGAATGGTGGTGTTGGTATCTGGCTGCCTTGGGAGACGACAGAAGAAAGCTCCTTTAGCGGTGAAGTCAAACCGCAGGAGAGTTGCAGCGCCTGCGTTTGTTGCCAATATGGGAGAGGCATGTTTTATTGCAAGCAGGACAGATGAAGGCGTCCGGCTGTGCTGCTTCAGGTGCACCAGGGGGGATGGCAAGGCAGGATTTAAAGAATGGTACAGTCATACCTCATGTTAAGTTTGCTTCATGTTACGTTTTTTCAGGTTGCGTCCCGCGGCGACCCAGAAGTACCGGAAAGGGTTACTTCCAGGTTTCGCCGCTCGCACAAAAGCACTAAATCGCGCTCTGTGCATGTGCACAAGCACCAAATCACGCTGTGCACCTGGACAGATACGGCGCTTCAGGTTGTGGGCTTTTCGTGTTGCGAACGGGCCTGCGGAACGGATCCCGTTCGCAACCAGAGGTACCACTGTACAATCTATTTTTTCGTAGAAAAGGAAAAGGCAGGCCTGATAAAAAAGAAAGAATAGGCCGTTTATAGGAAGGGGAAAAGAGTGCAGTTGTGGCAACCATTTTTAAAAAATATTCAAAGTGCTGCTGTTAGCTTACTTTGCCCAATTATGTGCCCACTGCTCCACTTTGATCTGTGGAATGGGCACTTTTATGAGTGCCACGGGTTCATTCCACATTTTAAGCCTATTAGTATGGCATCACCTGCCTTCCGTGCCTCCCTGCCTATTAATGCCCGGCAGGTGCCTTCACTGTACACACACACAAATTGTATTATTTGTTACTATTATTGAATGCTTTATACCGTTTTTTACAAACTGCTTTAGAGTAGGGCTGGGCGGTATCTGGTTTCCAACATCGTGATATATCACCAGCTAAAAGTCGTGATACACCGATATACCACAATGTCCGAAATAAGGATGGAGCTACGTAGAGGCATTGGCTGGCTTCACAGTCTCTCCCACATTGTGATTTTGGGATAGCAAACGTACAGCTAGACATCATGATTCGCAAAATATTGCCAGGTCAAAAATTATGAAACCACCAGAAGGCGGAAAATGTGAAAACAACGAGAAGAGGCAGGACTGAAGATTTGGAGATATGCTTCAGAGGTCCAGACTATGGGGAGCCCGGAAAAATTAATAATTACATTTTGGATTACAATTTGGTCTTTTTTAATTTCAGTTTCTTGTTTTTAATTGGATTATGATGCAGATATGTTGATTGGCTGTTTTTATTGGAAAATCAATAAAAATGATTTTTTAAAAAATGAAACCAATAGCATGGTATGGACTTGAAACCAGGTTTGGATGATATTATCGATGCATCGCCCAGTCCTACTTCAGAGGATTTTTAAATCAAGCGGTACATTAAAATTGCAAGATAAAAAATGCATTATGGCTGCCGCGCTTCTTCTCACTGATTTTGGCTTGCTGCTCTGCGGAGTCAGAGCATAGCTACCCTGGCTAGTGGCCATCAATGGCCCTCTCCCCCTTCATGAATTTGCCAACTACTCTTGTAAGGTAAAGGGTAAAGGGACCCCTGACCATTAGGTCCAGTCGTGTCCAACTCTGCGGTTGTGGCTCTCATCTCGCTTTATTGGCTGAGGGAGCCGGCGTACAGCTTCCGGGTCATGTGGCCAGCATTACTAAGCCACTTTTGGCGAACCAGAGCAGTGCACAGAAACTCCGTTTACCTTCCCGCTTTCGAACTGCTAGGTTGGCAGGAGCAGGGACCAAGCAACGGGAGCTCACCCCGTCACGGGGATACGAACCGCTGACCTTCTGATCGGCAAGTCCAAGCCTCTGTGGTTTAACCCACAGCGCCACCCAACTACTCTTGTAAAGCCACCCATATCAGGGGCCACCACTGGGAGTGGGTTACATGTGCTCCATCAAGAGAAGCCCTATTCTCTTAAGAGGTATGCCAGGGCAGAGCAGAGGAAGCGTGCAGGAAGGCAACTGGTGAACGGCGAATAATTGCCGTGAGCATCGCGCGACGCCCGTGGAGGAAGTGGATTCAAACAGAAGCAAAACTCTGCGTGGGAGTGTGTTTGCATAGAATGCAAGGGGAGGGGCTACCTGTCGGGGGCAGAACCATCCCCAAAATTGGGTCACACCTGTTGCTCTGTCTCTTGCCTTTGTACAGTAGGTAACAGAGCCACTCGCAAGGCGGAGATATCTATTCACACACAGACCTTCCCCCATCAATTCTCCATCCAAAGGCATTAGTATTCCAGTTCAAGGAGACATTCCAGACATGAAAGAGCATTCAACGAGGGTGCAGAAGAGGGTCAACAGTCTTTATGGGTCACATAAAGAGGTCCTGGGGGTCGTATTTGGCCTAGGAGTCAACTCTTGATATAGAGGCACTGGGTGAGGAGGGATGACGATCTTAACGCTTGCCCGGGAACGAATCAATCTATTTGGAGGGCCAGGAACTCTCCCTTCTTTCCTCGCCTCCCTCCCCAGATTCCTATTTCTTCTTGTAAAGTGCAAAAGCCACCACTGCCACCACCACGGCACACCCTGCGAGGAGCCACGTATAACTGCGTGAAGTCAATGGTGCATCGCCTCTCTCGCTGGGGAGGGAATCCCTCGCACTTTCAGAGTGGGGCCTGGCGCTTTTGACCAGCCGCTGCCTGTCGTCCGAGCCGGGCGAGGCACCCGGGGATCGTTCGCCAGGGCTGCCCGGCAAACCAGGGGCTCCTTCAAGATCCACACTAGGGCTCTCCTCCATTTTGAAGGTGAAGGTTCGGATGGAACCATCGCCGTCCCGGTGGTTGCCGCGTGAAAGCTGTCGGGAAGCGTCGCGGGCTTCATCCCTGCCCGGAACAGCGATGTCGGCTGGACCAGAGCATCTCTCTTCGGACGAGCTGGGATTGCTGATCATCAAAGGGTCGCTGCCCTCAGAGAAATTGCTGAGGCGAAGCCTATCCGATCTCCCTGAATATGCAGGATTTGTCTCTTTTTCACTCAGCTGCCAATCATGCGATCCCACTGTGTTTACACTCTGTACTGAATGCAGTACGCCCGGTTTGCAGGGTTCGTCGTCGTCGTGATTGGTAGAAAAGACACCGTGATCTCTGGGACGGTGAAAGACTTTGTTCGTACTCAGCCTTGAATCTCCACTCACAGCAGAGGGCTGGATCACCTGCAGGAGACAAGACAATAGGTAAGGAAAACCCACCTACACACTTCTTTGCCTGCCTTCCTCCCTCCGTCCAACCCCCCCAATGATTCACCATTCAGTACTTATCCCACAAGAGTTTTGGGATTCCATAATTCCTGCATTGCAGGGGTTCGGAGTAGAGGGCCCCAGCCCAGGTCCCTTGCAACTCTCTGATTCCATGCATTCAGATGCAGAGCACAGGATTTGTAGCACATGGCTGGGACAGTCCAATCAGATTAATAATAATACAGTGGTACCTTGGGTTAAGAACTTAATTCATTCCAGAGGTCCGTTCTGAACCTGAAACTGTCTTAACCTGAGGTACCACTTTAGCTAATGGGGCCTCCTGCTGCTGCCACTGCACAATTTCTGTTCTCATCCTGAAGCAAAGTTCTTAACCCGAGGTACTATTTCTGGGTTAGCAGAGCCTGTAACCTGAAGCATCTGTAACCCGAGGTACCACTGTAACAATAATAATAATGTGCAATCCCTGGCTTATTATTATTAGAGAACAACAACTACCAGACTTTTAGAAAACATCTGAAGGCAGCCCTGTTTAGGGAAGCTTTTAATGTTTGATGCATTACTGTATTTTAATATTCTGTTGGAAGCCGCCCAGAGTGGCTGGGGAAGCCCAGCCAGATGGGCAGGGTAGAAATAAATTATTATTATTATTATTCGGTGGAAGCATCTGAGATAGCAGGGCCTCTAGAGCAGGGGCAGCCAACGGGATGCCCTCCAGGTATTTTTTTAAGCTGCCACTACTGCAGAACGCAGGGGCCAAACGGCTTGCAGGAGCAGATTACTGTCAACATGTTACTCTGCTGCTAGGAGAGCTGTACCGGTTGCAAATTTGCTAGTGGGCCAGGTTCAAGGCCAATTCACAAACAACCCGGGCCCCAAAGTGCCTTCAGGACTGTCCGATTCCTTATGCTCCACCTACACCAGGGGTAGGCAACCTAAGGCCCGGGGGCTGGATGCGGCCCAATCGCCTTCTCAATCCGGCCTGTGGACAGTCCGGGAATCAGCGTGTTTTCACATGAGTAGAATGTGTCCTTTTGTTTAAAACCCATCTCTGGGTTATTTGTGGGGCATAGGATTCCGTTCATTTTTATTTTTATTTTTCAAAGTATAGTCTGGCCCGCCACTTGGTCTGAGCGATGGTGGACCGGCCCTTGGCTGAAAAAGGTTGCTGACCCCTGACCTACACCACCGAGCTCCTCTGATGGGGTGTGATGGCCTGGGAGTCTGATTCAGAGGCTGAACCGGAGAAATCCCAGCCTGCACAGGAGTCCCCGCCTCCAGGACAGGGGCTTGAATCTGAAGGGCCCTCACCTGTGCCGGATCCTCAGGAGCAGACACCAGCTGAATCCGCTCTGGCTCCAGAGGTGATCGAGGACCCATTGCCTGTAGGTGCTCCTCTCCCAGCCCTGTCAGGGGAGGCTGAGGTTGCCTCTGGGTCCAGTAACCCTCCAGCCTCTCCTGAGCTGCAGAGGCTCAGGTCAGAGAGGCGGAGGGAACTAAGTTCTCTCAGAAGGAGTGATCGCCTTAAGGCCAGGGGAGGCGAGTCACCTGTGGGCAGGGACCACCCTAGGCCTCAGAGGAGATAAAGGCCAGTCCCAGGTTGCGGGAGCAACATCGTTGGTTACCTGTTCCTGCCAGCACCCTGTCCTGCTCTCTGCCAGAGCTCCTGACCACACCCGACTCCCTACCTTGGACCCCGCTTCAGCCTCGGACCACGCCACACGGTAACCCCCCGGGACCAGCACATGGGGTACTTCTGGTGGCTCCCTATGCCCCTGAGGTCTGCCTGGCCTTCCCTAAGGGATCAGGTGCCCAGTGATGGGGAGAGGTTGTTGACAGGACAGCCGCTGTTGGTCAGAGCGGGCTAGGTGCTCAAATGGGGCGATAGGCTCCTCAATTCCCAATTTCCCCGGCCTTTCCCTTTTTGTTCCCCGTGACTGGCTGCAACGCCGCCGCAAGCTCCCCACCCCCAGAAGCGTGGACCAGCTTACCTCCTCTGGCGCCACCTTGTAGGCGGCTGTGTCAGTCAAACCCTCACCATGAATGGGAGTTTTAGACGCGTCGCTTGGAGCAGCCAAACGCCAGGGAGGCGAGTTAGGTGGGATCACATCGGTGGAGGAGGAACCGTCGAAGTTGGAAGGCGGAGGTCGACTCTGCCCTAAAGGTGTAGTGCTGGGCGTGGAGTGAGTCTGTCCTCTGTTTGAAGGGCTACTGAGGAGCTGGGAGCTGCCAGAGGAAGGGCTGTCAAGAATATCTGCATTTGAGGGGATGGCGGAAGCAGCCTTCACAGGAATGCGGGGACCTGCATGGGAAAAACGCATGAAATTATTCATCAGCACATAGGATGGTGCCCATCAGGGTGGATTAAAAACCAATGATTTTTTAAAAATAAAAAAAACAGATTTTTTGGGTTTAAATTGGATTTTTAAAATAAAATGCTTTGGGAGGAAAAATCTTTTCTACAGATAGTTTTCTATTTAAATTACAGTATAATAAAGATTTGTTTTAAGTTTTTCATGTGTGCTAAAACTCAGTCTGTTTAAAACAAACAAAAACCACACAAAAACCACCGTTTAACCAAGTCAGTTAATGGATACATATGCTATAATGCTATTGTTTTAGTTAAATGAATTGTTTAAATTGTTATTAAGGAAATGATTATTTTTCTCCTTCCAATAAAGTACAGCAGAGAAGTTGTCCAAATATAAACAGTTAACTTATGAAACCTCACTATAATTTCATAATTATCAGTCTATGTATTTCTAATAGTATAACCAAATCAGTAATTTTTGATTTAACTGTAAAAACTACTCTGAAAATTTATTATTCCAAAAATGAAACCTTCATCTGGTTGTAAATATTAAGATTATACCAGCAAGAAGAGTCTTTCTGTAAAAAAATAATGATGTAAATCAAATCTCACTGCCTAGTGATCTAAATCAAGTCTTACCAACTAGTGATTTAAATCGATTTGATTGAAATCCAATACACCATGTGCACATGCTATGTTTTATATGCGCAGGAAGAGCAAGTAGCCTCATGGTTTATAGTTTATGATTATAGTCCTCATGGTTGGGAAGACAGGACTGTGTGTGTGGCTGAAATCCTAGAATTGATGCTGAACGAGGTGGTTTTGAACAGTCAAGACAGCAGAGCTTCAGGACTTTAAAACACTGGTGTGTGTCCCCCCCCCGACCCCATCCAACAACTAGGGAAAAGAACAGAAAACCATGCAAAAAAGGAGGCTGTGGAAATTGTCCTTAATTAGTGGGACGTGGGTGGTGCTGTGGTCCAAATCCACCCCCATCATCTAGCCCCGACACTGAGGTCCAGCGCCAAGGGCTTCTGGCAGTTCCCTCCCTGCAAGAAGCCAAGTTACAGGGAACCAGGCAGAGGGCCTTCTCGGTAGTGGCACCTGCCCTGTGGAATGCCCTCCCATCAGATGTCAAAGAAATAAACAACTATCTGACATTTAGCAGACATCTGAAGGCAGCCCTGTTTAGGGAAGTTTTTAATGACTGATGTTTTAATGTATTTTTAATATTTGGTTGGAAGCTGCCCACAGTAGCTGGGGAAACCCAGCCAGATGGGCGGGGTATAAATTATTTATTTATTTAATTTATTTATTATATTTATTATTATTATTATTGCTGCAAGGGACTCAAACCTGTTTAATGGTTTCTTTAAATTTTAGGTTTCATTATTGTTTCACAAGATATGGATGTCTTTAAAGACCAGAGCAAATAACATGACCTAGTTTTACAGCTGTGAAGCAGTACAGCAGGTGCTGTTAAGTTATGTTAATTAAGCACGTGGGTATAGTATATAAAGAGCAGCATGTAGCTCTCTCAGTACCCTGGTGGACGGGCCACGCTTATTGATGTATTGTAATTTAGTGTAAAAGGAGTTTTTGCTTTTGTTATTGAAATCTAGCAAAAGTTATTTTGCGTTCCTTGAATGTGTGGTCTCCCCAGCACGCTTTCTGCAGCGCAACTGATCTGCAAAATAACTAACGAAACCGCGCCACGTCCTTACCTCTTCCCGGGCCATTTCCAGGCACGCGGTCTGTTGGGCTCGCTCCAAACCCCACTGGGGCAGAGGGGGCGCGTCCATCTCCTTTCTCCTGGCGCCCCGGGCCTACTCCCTGCTCTGCGTCGAACTGCCTTTGCAGGAGGAGAGGGCTGCCTACGTCCTCTGAACCGTCCAGCACATCCTCGTTGTGATAGCCCCGCAAGGCCTGGATCTTCTGCTCCCTCAGGGATGCCTTGTCTTGACCGCTCGAAGCCAGCGGGGAGCTGCTGTCGGGAGAGGAGTAGTAATCTTCCACTGGCTGGTTCCCAGGCGTTCCGGGATCAGGAGGGGCAGCCAGCCCCGGCAAAACGGCACTGTCGATGGGATGGTTCCTGTTCCCAAAATAGCCGTTCTTCACGCAAACAGGGCGCGGCTGGCGGCCGTCCCACTTCTGCACCGAAGGACCCGCGTCGGGCCTTGAGGATGCTGGTGTGTTGCTTGGCAAAACCTCCCCAGGCGCCTCTCCAAGGCAGCCTCGGCTCGGAATGGCCTGGGCATCCTCAGCGGCAGCAGCTACAACATTGCCTCTGGTCTGAAAAGAACAAATCACAGAATCATGGAATTGTACAGTTAGAAGGGAACCCCAAAGGTCTTCTAGCCCGGTCCCTCGCAATGGGAGGGATCGGTTGGGATACTGCCGGGGATATGGGGGCATTTGGCAGGCCCCCAGCTTGCTCCAGCCACCGGCCGGCAGCCGGATGATCTCCAGTACAGCATCAATCAATCAGCGACTTGAGCCTCAGTAGCCTTCTGAAGCTACCGAGCACGTGAATAAATCTCCACAACGGAAGTGGCGGACAGAGATGTGCGCGAGCGTATTTACAAGCGTTTATTCGGCATAGTTCAGGAACAAAGGATAAAACATGTCTGCTTCCCTTCGTGTCCAGCAAAACAGCAGTAACACAAAAGCTACCATATGTTTCGCTCTATTAGACGCACCGGACGATTGGACGCACCTAGTTTTTAGGGGAGGAAAACAAGAAATAAGAAAGGAACGCAAAGCATCCTGAGCTAAGAGGGAGCGCTCCTCCATCTTCGCTCACGAGGCTTTGAGGGGCTACCCCTGAAGCCAGGAGAGCAAGCAGGATCGGTGCGCACCGATCCCTCTTGCCCTCCTGGCTTCAGCGAAAGCAAGCCTACTGGCTTTCCTCCGGCAAGAGCCGTGCACTCTTTAAAGGGAGCGCGGCTCCTGGGGGCTTTTCTGGGAGGTGGGGGAAGGGACAGAGCCGCATGCTCTGTCCCTTCCCCCACCTCCCGCAAAAGCCAGGGATAGCTGCATGACGCCTCCGCAGGGCAGCGGGATGAAGGCTCCCCGCTCCCCTGCAGAGACTTCATCCCGTACAGCTTCCAAGTCATGTGGCCAGCATGAGTAAGGCACTTCTGGTGAACCAGAGCCACGCACAGAAATGCCGTTTACCTTCCCGCCGGAGTGGGTTAAACCACAGAGCCTAGGACTTGCCGATCAGAAGGTCAGCGGTTCGAACCCCCGCAACCGGGTGAGCTCCCGTTGCTCGGTCCCTGCTCCTGCCAACCTAGCAGTTCGAAAGCACGTCAAAGTGCAAGTAAATAAACAGGTACCGCTCCAGCAGGAAGGTAAACGGCATTTCCATGCGCTGCTCTGGTTCGCCAGAAGCGGCTTAGTCATGCTGGCCACATAACCTGTATGCTGTACACCGGCTCCCTCGGCCAATAAAGCAAGATGGGCGCCACAACGCCCAGAGTTGGTCATGACTGGACCTAATGATCAGGGGTCCCTTTACCTTTACCTTTAAAGGACAGTTGTAAAAACTTAAAAACACTAGCAGCGCTGAAGTAACTCCTACAGTGTAGATAAGATGTGAGAAGATAAAATACGCGAGTGGGTTTAATAAAGGATACCATCTGAAGTCACAAGCTTGGCAGAGCAAAAAGATGTACCGTATTTTTTGCTCTATAAGACACACTTTTCCCTCCTAAAAGGGGAAATATGTGTGCGTCTTATGGAGCGAATGCAGGCTGCGCAGCTATCCCAGAAGCCAGAACAGCAAGAGGGATCGCTGCACAGCGATCCCTCTTGCTATTCTGGCTTCTGAGATTCAGAATATTTTTTTTTCTTGTTTTCCTCCTCCAGAAACTAGGTGCGTCTTGTGGTCTGGTGCATCTTATAGAGCAAAAAATACAGTGTATGTTGTTTAAAGTATGATAAGAAAGAATATGTAAAGAAAATAATAAAAATTTATGGGGTGGGGAAGACAGTGGTGGTAGACTCTCCTTCCTTGGAAGTTTTTGAGCAGAGGTTGGATGGCCATTTTCCAGGGATGCTATAGTTGAGATTCCTGCACTGCAGGGGGTTGGACTAGATGACCTTTGGGTCCCTTCCAACTCTAGGATTCTATGAAAGGCAAGGGAAGAGAAACCAATCTTAGGCTTTACCTCAAGGCTCCGAGGGAGACGTTCAGTTTCTTGAACAGGAGTGCTGTAATCAGGCATGTCTTCAGAGGCTGCATTAGTGGCGAAGTGGGATGGGTCTGAGACGCCTGTGGGCAACGGGGGCTGGACTGGCAGGGGCACGTCAGAAGAGGGTGGGCTGGGCTTCACGGCTGGCACCTGGGAGCTATTCACCACAGCTGGTGAGGCAGCAACTGCCGGCACATTCCTTCGAGGAGCTGGAGGAGGAAGACACACCAGCAGCACAGAGGTTAATTTCTTTTTCCTTTATTTCCAAATAGCGATTACTGAATTTTAATAGCAAACAGGATTTAAAAATAAAATAGAAAGAAAGAAAGAAGAGAAAAGTTGTCACAGTTGCCAATAAGGAATTGCAGTGAAGAAGAAGAAGAAGAAGAAGAGGAGGAGGAGGAGGAGAAGGAGGAGGAGGAGGAGGAGTTTGGATTTGATATCCCGCCTTTCACTCCCCTTCAGGAGTCTCAAAACGGCTAACAATCTCCTTTCCCTTCCTCCCCCACAACACTGTAAGGTGAGTGGGGCTGAGAGACTTCAGAGAAGTGTGACTGGCCCAAGGTCACCCAGCAGCTGCATGTGGAGGAGCGGAGACGCGAACCTGGTTCACCAGATTACGAGACTACCGCTCTTAACCACTACACCACACTGGCTCTCAGTGGTACCTCAGGTTAAGAACTTAATTCGTTCCGGAGGTCCATTCTTAACCTGAGATACCACTTTAGCTAATGGGGCCTCCCGCTGCCGCCACACGATTTCTGTTATCATCCTGAAGCAAAGTTCTTAACCCGAGGTACTATTTCTGGGTTAGCGGAGTCTGTAACCTGAAGCGTCTGTAACCTGAAGCGTCTGTAACCCGAGGTACCACTGTATAGGGTACAGCTATGTGATTTACAGAGTCAATAATAAAACAATCCAAGAGGAAAAGGATATGTGGTCTATTACTACATGGGGTTCTATGGTCTAGACTCTAAATCAAAACAACTGCAATTTTTTTGCCCCCGAAAAAGAAGACCACCAATTTACACATTCATTCATTTGGATTATATACTGCCCTTTTGCAAAGCTGACGATCTCCATTATTGCTCTTAAGAAGCAATAAAATAATAATAATAATAATAATAATAATAATAATAATAAATTAAATGCAAAAGGGGGAAAGGCAACTTACAGAGCCAACGGTCGTAAACTTCTCTGATTTCATTTGCCAGCTCGCTTTGGTTCTGGTCCTCAAGAGCGTTGATGAGGAGCGTCACCCAGCCCCTCCTCGTCTGGAGGCGCTGAAACAGCTCCCACACCGTCTGGTCGTTCCCTCGCAGTAAGAATTCACTTTTAATTTCTTGCTGCGGGAATGGGGGACATGAAAATGCAAAGCTCAGGAACGAGGGGGTGGGGGGTGAAAGAGAGACAGAACAGCATCACCGAAGCCCTGGGAAGGTTTAAAATTGGGATTCCTATGGCATATTCCAAACATGCCAGCAGGTCCCCAGCTTGGTCTACAGCCAGCATCTCCAGACCAGAGCTCTCAACGTGGAGTTGGATGGATGCATGTGAGAAGGGCCGTTCTGGATCCGGCCAAAGGCCCATACAGCCCAGTATCCTGTTCTCACAGTGGCCAACCAGATGCCTTTGGAAAGCCCAAACGTCAGAGCCGAGGGCGACAGCAACTGGTATCCAGGAGGCAAATTGTTTCCGACACAGTTGCTATTGCTAGCTTCCTCCTCCATGAATCTGTCTAAGCCTCTTTGAAAGTCGTCCAAGTTGTGGCTGTCGCTACGTCTCAGAAAGCCACAGGAATGGTTTAGACATGCCTGTCCCACGGTTAAGAAAAACCCTCCCACAATTAACTGTCAAATAGCTACGGTAATCATGAGAACCACGGGTTTGCAACGTAATTTGGGTGCCTGCATAAGCACAGACACACCTGCTACCTTGCAATACCCAGAGCAACTTTGCAACTGCTTCAAAACAAGTCTGTGCTGCTGAAGGGGGAGCGTGAGCTGAACAGAATGAAAAGGTAATGTATCAATACATCACGCGGGACTGGTTTGAGGGCTAGAGCACGATGGTGCCTTCACCCAGTGGCATATTGCAAGTGGAGGGTGAAACTTCCACCACTCACGAGTTTCTCTGCCCCCAGTGCCCAGCTGTGGGGACAGAGTGCTGCCGTCATGGGTTGCAAGTCCAGGTATGTATTTTAGGGCACTGTTTTGTGAAGTATTCTCTACATTTCCCCCATGCTTTTTGAAACTTGTCTAGTGTGATCTCTAATTGCCTCTGTTAATCTAGCCAGTTCAATATACTCTAACAGTTTATCTTGCCATTTCTTTTTTGTTGGCAGTTTTCCCCCCCCAGTTTTTAGCAATTAGGATCCTTGCCGCTCCTGTGGCATAGAGGAATATTTTCTGATCTTCTCTTGCTATACCTGTGTCCGTTATCCCTCGTAGAAAAGCTTCTGTATTTTTCATAAAGTTATACTTAAAACATTTTAAAAGTTGAAGGAAAGATTTTGGAAGATAAAAGGGGAAAAAATATTTACTTTCATTATTATCGTTTTGTGTGCGGCTGTGGGTGTCTGCACATATGTGTGTTGTTGTATGCAACGTTTGGGAAGAAATAAGACGGTAAATAACAAATAGCAAACTAAATATCGATGTATGTAATTTTTATTTCTTAATTATATTTAGTAGTAGTATGGCTGTATTGTTTTTTGTAACATAAAATCATTCAATAAAAATTATTTTTAAAAAAGAAGAAAAGCTTCTGTATTTTTCATAAAGTTATACTTAAAACATTTTTTTTTTAAAGCTCGTCATACACTGTGTTCCACTGTGTTTGGAAGTCCTCCCCGACCGTGAACACAGATGGGGAAGACTTCCTGTCCTACCTGCTCTGGAGCATCCTTCCCGTGTGTGACCAGGTAGATGGGCGTGACCCTAGCAGACCCTATAAAGCTAGGCCTCAGACGTTCCACCTTGTGGCTTCCATTCTCTGTAAGGATGAGTATGCAACCATCTCCCTCTCTTGCTCTTTTGGCCCTTTGGCTCTTGCAACTGCTCTTTTGCCATCTTCCCTCTGCTGGTTCTTAGCCAGCAGCACATAGCTCAGCCTTACAGAGGATGGAAGCCACAAGGTGGAAAGTCTGAGGCCTAGCTCAGACTTCTTTTCTCTACACATGTACCTGTAACTACAAGATAAAGGCTGCCTTCAGGACAATACTGTGAACTGAATGTAAGTAAACTTCACCATTCCTTTTAAAAGAAGACTGTCGTGTCATTATTGTTTTTAAGAGGGAACTATCCAATCTGGACAAGCCAGACTGGATTGCTCAACTCAAATGATTCTAACGAATCACTCAATCAACTTGTTTCCAGCAATGTGCAAAGGGAATGTGCTCTGCTACTAGCTCACTAGCATAAGTGAGGAAGGATATAGCTCGGCTTCTAATACCATCCTTCCAGACATTCTTATCAAAAAGCTGATGGAACTAGACCTTTCTTCTACCATGTGTGACTGGATTAAAGACTTTCTGAGGGATCAGACACAAACAGTGAGGATTGGGCCTGTTACATCTACCTCCCTGAAGCTCAGCACCAGCACCCCACAGGGATGTGTGCTGAGTCCCTACCTGTACTCATTGTATACATATGACTGTATCTCATCTGATCCATCTACTGCAATTATTAAGTTTGCAGATGATACTACCATAATGGGTCTAATTACAGGTGGAGATGAATCAGCGTACAGAGAGGAGGTTCAAAAAGTATCTACATGGTGCCTAGAGAATAACTTGCACCTAAATATTAGCAAGACAAATGAGATGGTGTTGGACTTGCAGAGGAAGACAGGGGAACTAGCCCCATTGTATATTGGGGGGGGTTGTGTGGAGAATCTCTCTTCCTTTAAATTCCTGGGAGTTTACCTTAGTGAAGACCTCACTTGGAAAAACAATATAACTCAGGTGGTTAGGAAGGCCCAACAGAGACTCCATTTCCTCAGGGTCTTGCGAAAGAACAATGTTAAACAACAATTGATGACCTCCTTCTACCAGTCCACAACAGAAAGTGTCCTCTCATATTGTATCACAGTGTGGTACGTTGGCTTGACAGCCACGGACAGAAAGTCTCTATAGAGGGTGGTGAACAAGCACATGATATCATGGGCTGTCCCCTGAGCCCGCTAGATGACATCGCAAGGAATCAATGTCTTAGGAGAGCGAGAAAAATTCTCAGGGACAATTCACACCCCGGCCGGCACCTTTTTAATCTTCTACCCTCGGGCAGGAGATATAGAAGGAGAATCAGTCATACCAACAGGCTAAAAACAGTTTCTGTCCGTGAGCTGTTAGGCTGCTGAACAGAAAATAATATAGTGCAACTGACTTTCAGGGTTGGTGTGTTGTGCGACAAGCACACAGAGTGCAATGAGATTGAGTGTTGGTGAGGCGGGGAGGCTCAGTTCATTTCATTGTACTGTGTTGTTGTTTTATTATTAGATATTTAATCAATATATCCTCTCCTATTATCCACAACATTCCCACAGCCTAAAGACACTACCCTGGGCAGCTCCCCAATCCAAACTCTGGCACCAACAAGAGCAGGGAAATCAGGGGGAAAGTTACCTTGTCTATTTCAGTGAGGCAGCTGAGATAGTCGAGCATCTGAAGGACACGGATGCATCGGAAGTTGCACTGGTGGGCCTTGATGTATTCCTTCACTTTGTCCTCAGCTAACCCCATGTTCAGTCAGCACCTAGAACTAGGAGAATCACAGGTAGAACTGTAGAGTTGGGAAAGGCCACAATACGATATGATAATGATACGATAATCTTTATTGTCATTGTCCCATACAGAACAACGAAATTGAAAAAAATCTACATCAGACATTCAAAAACCAACATGCCTGCTATCCCAGCCTGGTTAACCCCCTAAAAACTCTGATACCCTATAATTAAATACAATATACTCCCATAGAGACTACCTTAAAAGGTAAAGGGACCCCTGACCATTAGGTCCAGTCGTGGCCGACTCTGGGGTTGCGGCACTCATCTCGCTCTATAGGCCAAGGGAGCTGGCGTTTGTCCGCAGACAGCTTCCAGGTCATGTGGCCAGCATGACTAAGCCGCTTCTGGAGAACCAGAGCAGTGCATGGAAACACCGTTTACCTTCCCGCCAGAGTGGTACCTATTTCTCTACTTGCACTTTGACGTGCTTTTGAACTGCTTAGAGACTACCTTACACTGCATTTAAAACCAAAATCGCATCTGGATAGAAACTGTTTCTCAGGCAGCTAGTCCTAGTCTTTATACCCTGTACCTTCTTCCAGAAGGCAGAAGCTGAAAGAGATCATTTCCGGGGTGTCATCTAGTCCAACCCCCCACTTTGTCCAATGTGGGACTCAAATCCAGAACTCTGGGATTTGTGCTCGTGAGTCTCGTGCTCCACCAACTGAGCTATCTGTGAAAGAAGCTGCTCATATCTAACAAAGGGGCTCCGGATTGCAGTGGGAGATGGCCAGGGCTGTCCAAAAGGGAGTGTTAGAAACTCAGATATATAAGCTAGGCGCCAAATGGCTCCTTAAACCAAGGTTGCAGTCGCCAAAACGGAATGTCTAGTCGCCATTTTCAGACAAGACGGATCTCAAGTCTTCTTTTTAAAAATGATGGACCGGTTGTGTTAAACATCTGGCTAGTTCAAATGACAACCTTGAGCTAAGTTCTGAATTTTGATCTTCACTCCTGTGGCAAGTTCTGGGACCTCTGGAACTTCTCACCACTCCGAGACTGGGTGGAGCAGGGGCATGTAAGAGTTTATTTGCAATGCTAGAAAAGAAATAATCCGGAAAGCTTCACAAATTCTGCCCTCACCTCCAGGAAGTGGAAGAAAAGAGAAATGCAATTCCCAGCAGTTTGGGGGTTTGTTTGTTTTTTAATGAACAGTTAGTTAGACCCAAAATAAGTACACTACAAGCAGACAGAGAAAATCAGGGTTTTCTTATGCACTGACTTCAATTTGAGACACCCAGATGGAGCCTGTGCCCGTTGCTGGCATTCTGGTTAGAACATCCCAGTTATGATACTGGGAATAGCTGCTTTCTGCACGCGCAATCGGGAATCCCTTTCTGCCCATCTCTCAGCAAGCAATATATACAGCTGTTGCATTATTCAAGATAGGTAAAGGCACATCCCCGATGCTACCTTACCTGCGCAGCGCAAACTTATGAATGTCTACTCAGATGTTGAATGCGCGAGGACAGCCAGGACCCTGGGAGGGGTTAATGACCCGCGGTCGCCGGAACAGGCCTCTTATCTATTCCCACGCCCCCCGTCCCGCTGGAAATCCCCGCTGGAAATTCCCGATGACGAAAAACGCAAACAGCCTCCTTGCATCACCCCCACTGCAGCGCACTGCACATCCACAGCGGAAAGTGGCGATGCATGACGGGGCAGGAAACCCCCGCTCTCTTGTCTTAGGCCCTGCCCGGCAAAGTGAGCCCGGAAGAGGGGAAAGTGGGAGTTTCTATATGGCGGGGCCAAAAAAATAAAAATAAATCCGAAAACTCTCCCAAGTCGAGGAAAGAGTTGCATGCAGAGGAAGGCGGCTCGGCACGCCTCTTTTCTTACCTGGTCTCCACACGCTTCCAGAGGAAGAATCCGGATTCAGAAGAAAGGAAGTGCAGGCGGTGGGAAGTAACCAGCAGGCGACTCAGCAAGAACAGCTGCCTTAGGCCGGCCCTCAGTGGCGCGCGCAGATTCCCGGGGATCGTTCTAAGCCCGCCCCGCGCCTGCCTCCGATTGGTCGCTCGGCTTCCGCTCTGCGCTGCTTGTCAAATCCATTTGGAATGTTTTTGTTTAGTTGTTCAGTCGTGTCCGACTCTTCGTGACCCCCTGGACCAGAGCACGCCAGACACTCCTGCCTTCCACTGCCTCCCGCAGCTTGGTCAAACTCATGCTGGTAGCTTCGAGAACACCGTCCAACCACAATGTCGTCCCCTTCTCCTTGTGCCCTCAATCTTTCCCAGCATCAGGGTCTTTTCCAGGGAGTCTTCTCTTCTCATGAGGTGGCCAAAGTCTTGGAGCCTCAGCTTCACGATCTGTCCTTCCAGTGAGCACTCAGGGCTGATTTCCTTCAGGATGGAGAGGTTTGATCTTCTTGCAGTCCATGGGACTCTCAAGAGTCTCCTCCAGCACCATAATTCAAAAGCATCAATTCTTCGGCGATCAGCCTTCTTTATGGTCCAGCTCTCACTTCCATACATCACTACTGGGAAAACCATAGATTTAACTATACGGACCTTTGCTGGCAAGGTGATGTCTCTGCTTTTTAAGATGCTGTCTAGGTTTGTCATTGCTTTTCTCCCAAGAAGCAGGTGTCTTTTAATTTCGTGGCTGCTGTCACCATCTGCAGTGATCATGGAGCCCAAGAAAGTAAAATCTCTCACTGCCTCCATTTCTCCCACTTCTATTTGCCAGGAGGTGATGGGACCCGTGGCCATGATCTTCGTTTTTTTGATGTTGAGCTTCAGACCATATTTTGCGCTCTCCTCTTTCACCCTCATTAAAAGGTTCTTTAATTCCTCCTCACTTTCTACCATCAATGTTGTGTCATCTGCATATCTGAGGTTGCAGTTGCTGATTTCATGATTTTGGAACGGAGTGGGGTGGGGTTGGTTAAACAGACAGACAGACAGACAGACAGAAAAACAAACACACCACCACGTGGGTGGCCCCTGGGAGCGCGCACTGGCCGGAGGCTGGCTGGAGACACTCTCCCAACCAAAAAGGAGGGTTTGACCAAAAGCTGCGGAAACTGCTGCACAATTGGCTCGGAAGTCAGTTTTGCAGCCTGCCCGGTCAGTCCTGTCCTGTTCACCATAGTCATGTCATGGAGCTCTACTCAATATGATCCAGAGCAGAACTCCGATGTATAAAAACTGGAACACGTTACAGGATTCCCAAAAAATAGACCAGAGGCAATTGTATTTCATCCAGCAGAGCTTTACTGCTACTGAAGGCAAATGAGCATAATGGTCACAAATCCAATACATTCAGGATTGGCACTGTCCATAAGAAATCCAGTTGCAGTAGACTTAAACTTACAATAACTTATAACAAGTCTAAACCTTAACACTAAGCGTACTATGTACAGAACACCACACCAGAAGGAAGAGAGATTGAAAGAGGAAGTGAAACCTAGGCTCCTTCTGGCCTATTACAGTGGTACCTCTAGTTGTGGACTTAAGCCGTTTTGGTCCGCAACTAGAGCACCTCTTCTGCGCATGTGAATAGCGGCAGATCACTTCTGCGCATGCAGCAAACCCGAAAGTAAACACTTCCAGGTTTGCGGCATTCGTAAGCTGAAAGTGTGTAACGAGCAGAACACAACATGAGGTATGACTGTATAGTCAGCACGACCTTGACAGAAGAGATAACAGGACCAGTTTCAGCCAGCTGTACTCAGCTTCTCTGAAGAGATAACCCAAACATCATGAAGTTTCTGCTTGTTTCTTTCACACAGAGAAGCTTCCAGAACCCTCTTGAATCAATTAGGACAGGGAAGATCTCTACACATCAGATCAATACTTTCTGTACTAAGAAATGCAAACTGACGGGGTCGTTACTCAGAATTTTTATTTATTTATTTAAGCGATCCCCTGCTCACTTTCCTTGGGAGAAAACAAGGGGCTGAAGAAGAGGAAGCATGCACAGGGTCAGGGCCAGATTTAGATGAAGAGAGACCCTAGGCTGCTCCACTTGTGAGGCCCCTCCCAATTCCCCACCCTCACGACTAGAAGAAAATGGAAGAGTGTTATAAACAAAATTGAATGAGGATGGGTATTTAAAATTCTGCAATTCACAATTTCTCCTCTAAAGGACATCAGAAAACTTCATCAAAATTTGTTTGTCTAAGTTTGTCACTTTCAATGTACAGAATGCTCAGTGTAGACAACCTCTCTTGAAACATCGTGGCCCTTAATTCACTTTTAATTCTTTTGAGTCTTGAAAAACTCCTCTCTCCTGAGCAGTTAGTGACCATAAAGCTAAGAAATAGCCACAAGATTGCTTCCACATTAGGAAAGGCCACCTGATTTTTTTCATTGTATATAATTTGTTAAAGGTCTGCATGAGACAGAGAGTGCTCTGCTGTAAGCCTATGGCTTTGTCTCACATACAGGTGAAAGTGCAAAAGTTCATCAATAAGTTTCAGGTCAATATTTTCTGGGTATGCTTCCATCAATAGTTCAACACCGTGCTGAATTTCTTGCTTGGATGCTATCAGCAAGAATGGAAAAAAACAATTGTGTAACATCACTGTATACAGTTCTTCTTTTTAAATTTGCTTCAAGTGCATCTAATATAGGAATAAAGGATTTTATCCTAAACTTAACTCTCGAAGAAAGTGTATCCAAGGCAACAGGTGGACCTCTGTCATTTCTTTGCCGTTCCCACACTCTTTGTCTCCTTATTTTGTAGTTAACATTTGGCAAGGTGGCTTTTGCTTGTTTCTCAAGCTCATCAAAAACTTCTCTTTAAAAAATCCAGAAGTGAACTGTACAAACTTGCACAAGAACTCAATAACAGGCTGATTTCTGAAGGGCTTTGCTGACCTTGTGAAAATGACCTAGCACACGGATTTAAAGATTCTGCAGACTTTGGCTGTGAACTAGGGCCCCACAAAAAATTTTCAAGTTGGGCCCTAGAGTTTCAAATTGGGACCCACTTGCATTAAAATGCCCTTGCATGAAGTCTTGGGTTTGCAATTTTGGGAGAGGGGAGACTGCCCGTTAGGGGGCAGACGGGCTGCGGAGGCCTCCTAGATTTAGAGACCCTACCTAGGCTTCAGCCAATACAGTCTATACAGCCTATACAGTATACTTAGCCTATACAGTCGTATCTCATGTTGCATTAGGTTCATGTTGCATTTTTACGGCTTGTGAATGCGGCAAATCCGGAAGTGTATACTTCTGGGTTTTGTCGCATGCGCAGAAGCATTCTGCGTGCTTTGCGCATGCGCAGAAGTACTCTATTACGCTCTGTGATTGCGCAGGAGCGCCACTCTAGTTGTGGACTTTTCGGGATGTGAGCGGCACCCCAAAATGGATTGTGTCCGCAACTAGAGGTACCACTGTGCACACTGGCAGAGGAAGAGGAGTGCGGGGGGAACGCGCCGCTCCTGGCAGCGCAATCCCGGTGTGGTGCCATCGCGGCTGCCTCCCTGCCCGTGCTGGGCACCACGTCCCCAGGACACACGCCATGCCCCCTCAGGCGGCGCGCCACATCCCACCCTGCCTGCTCTCCGCCCCCCGGTGCTGGAGCATGAAGCTCTGCCACTGACTGTACATAAACCGGGCACTGCACAGGGTTGAGCTGCAGCCCGCAAGGGAAGTTCCTCTGTGCGGTGTGGGCGGATTTGCTCGTGGGAAAGGATGCACGGGTTTGCATGAGTCGCTTTCCGTCCATAGTAGGGCAGCTGGGTGGCTGCTTATACATCGCTTGCCCCCCCCCCCCATGGGACAGCTATTTGCATGCGACGGACAGCTGATAATTTATATGCATCGGTATAAACTTAGAAATCAGGACTAGAAATGCAATGCAATGTGTCTCAGCATAGAAGGGAAGATTGTGACTGGGTGGACCCTTTGTCTGGTGCCCTGGAAATGGCAGCATCAAATCTCTCCCTCCTTGCGATTTCCTTTCTCCAACAGAGGACTGTCCTCCTCAAAAGAGCAGGCGGCCACACTAGTGGATTTTGCTAACCTAGCTTTTTTTTTAAAAAAAAAAAATCTTCTTCCTCCTCAATTTCTAAATCAGGCCAAGCTGGGTAGAATTATAAAAGGTGCTGGGAAATGATATTTAATGAATTGAAAAGGATGTTCAAAATAATCTTTGTAAAAACAACAACCAGAAGCTTTTCTTTTGGGAATTATAGGGACAGAACTTCCTAAACTGTATAGAAATTTATTTATGTTTGCTACTACAGCAGCAAGAATGTTACTTGCCCCAAAATGGAAAGAAGCAGAAGTCCCAGCAAAGGAAGAATGGATACGAAAACTTATGGAATATGCAGAAATGGTGAAATTTACCGGAAGAATAAAAAATCAAGACAGCAAACTTTTTACAAAAAAAAGGATGGAAATGGTTTATTGAATATTTATAAACAAACTGTAAACAGAAAAGAACACTGGCAGGATTATTGTAATAACTTGCAGTTTTATAAGAATATATATTTAAAGTAGATGAATAAATGAGTAAGTTAATTTGAATATGCAGAAAATATAAAAAATAAATTTAAGGAACCGCAGAAAGAGGGGGAAGAAAGTCAAACTTTGAGATGCTAAAATTATTGTAAAATTAATGAAATGTATAAATTTGGAAAGTATAAATAAAAACTTTAATAGTAATAATAATAATTATAAAAGTTGCCCCTGAGAAGTTATTAGTAACAACTCAGTACTTTAGCAGGATTAACATAGAATGAACAGTGAAGATATAAATGAAAGGGAACTTTAAAAGCAAAAAATAAATAAATACTGTAAGCTAATAATTAGAATATGCAGTAATAAAGAAAAAACGTAAGAAACCGGAGGGGGTGGGAGGGAAGCCGATTTGATGGGTTGACTTTTTTGAATTTGTATAATTGTTGTAAAATTTAATTTAATATAATTGTTGTAAAATTTAATTTAATTTTTTTTAAAAAAAAAAGAATTATAAAAGTTGTCGGAGCAGAAGAATGCAGAAACTTCTAGGGAGATCAAACTGCTGGGGACTTAATATTAGACATGACTTCCATGAGAATCAATTCAGTCTGGGCTTAATTTATTTTATTTATTTTACAATATTTCTAGCCGGCTTGTCCTTGAATGTTTTCAATCACAGAGCAGGGAACAAAATAATAAAAATAAACAGAAGAATAATATACAAATAAAAAGTCAACGTACAAAATTTTCAAAATCATATGAAGCCCAACGTACAGGACTGTATCATCAAGTAAACAACAAAATTACAACACTGAGATCCAGCATGGAAGGCCTTCTGGCGGTTCCCTCCCTGCGAGATGTGAGGTTACAGGGAACCAGGCAGAGGGCCTCCTTGGTGGTGGCGCCCACCCTGTGGAACGCCCTCCCAGCTGATGTCAAGGAAATAAACAACTATCTGACTTTTAGAAGACATCTGAAGGCAGCCCTGTTTAGGGAAGTTTTTAATGTTTGATGTCTCAGTGTGTTTTTATATTTGGCTGGAATCTGCCCAGAGTGGCTGGGGCAATGCAGTCAGATCGGTGGCATATACTAATAATAGGCAGAAGGGTGGGGGAAGGAGGGAACAAAAATGTAAACTTACAACCCTGCGAGGTAGGCTGAGCTCACCCAGTGTCAGAAAGTGAGGAGGAGGGGAGAGCCTTCCTGCTGCTTTGAATTTTGAATTCTGGTGCTGGAGGAGACTCTGGAGAGTCCCATGGACAGCAAGATCCAACCTCTCCATTCTGCAGGAAATCAGCCCTGAGTGCTCACTGGAAGGACAGATCCAGAAGCTGAGGCTCCCAGACTTTGGCCACCTCATGAGAAGAGAAGACTCCCTGGAAAAGACCCTGATGTTGGGAAAGATGGAGGGCACAAGGAGAAGAGGACGACAGAGGACAAGATGGTGGGACAGTGTTCTCAACCAGCCTGAGTTTGACCAAACTGCAGGAGGCAGTGGAAGACAGGAGTGTCTGGCGTGCTCTGGTCCAGGGGGTCACGAAGAGTCGGACAACAACATAGTAGTATGAAAACGGAAGAGTGAATCAAGCTATCACAGCCCTTCTGTGGTTTCCGGACTTTGACTGTGTACGCATTACTGGCTTAAAATGCACTGAGGTCCTTTCCCCTCTCCACATTTCAAACTGAGGGGTGGGGGGAAAGCATCAGAACACAGTATTTCTATATATATAAAAAACAGGATTGAAATGGATTGTGCCTCCTGTTGTGTCCACATGGCTTCAGAAACCATCACTGGGAGCTCACTGGATCCAGAGTAAGCAGACATAGCTTTTTTTTTCTTCTGGGAGGACCTGTTTTCAAGCACTGCAAAAATGTGGTGCATTCCCAGTTTCCATTGAAGGCTATGTGTGCCTGGGTGCTCTCTTGTGCTGTTCTTTTTCATTCAGCTCTGGGGAGTCCTCAGAAATCACAAGTGCACCAAGCTACCTGATGAAGGAAGCAGATGTCACCCAAGGAGGATTTTTGCATATGCACAGTAGCAAAGTCTACTTTTAATTCAAGGATTTGTCTGGTGTGGCAGTGATGGCCAAGCTTTTGAGGAAGAGCCACTAAGAATATTCAAAAAAGTGGAAAAACAGTTGTAAGATGATTTGCATTTTAAGAACCTTCCTACATCAGCTTTTGCCAACCAGGGGCCCTCCAAATGATTTAGACTACAGCTCCAGAACATCTGGGGGCCCTCAGGATGTCAAAGGGTGTCCTACATTTTGGAACGTTGTTCTTTACTCCAGAATTTTATAGTTCCACATAATGGATAGCTCCTTATTTGAGAAACACAATGACCCCTTTGAACTCTTTAGATCAGAAAAAAACAACATGCTGTACTGCTGCAGTGTTGTGTTTTTGATATTTCGATCTGGCAATCCTAGCAAAGAGACCTGCAGTTCAGCAAAGTGCTAATTACCTCTGCAAACAAGCTGCTAATTATCTTTTCCCCTCCAGCCTGTGGTCCGAGGTTCAGTTTGTCTTGGAAATGCATCCAGTTTGTTCTTGAATGGTGGCTGAGTTTGTTCTGATAATCTGAGTGAAATGCAAACTCCTCATGGAAGGATGTGGCAGATCAGATAGAGGAAGGGTTTTTTGAGTCTTTTTTTTTTAAAAAAATCAATGCATGTTAAGCCATTGGCTTGTTTATGTGCAACGCTAATCCATGCTCTGTGACTTATCTTGGTTTACTGAGGAGCAGTGTGCTTGGGCACACTGCCCAATCAACAGCCCCCTTAGTGCAAGCCACAACTGCAAGCCAACCTGGTTTATTGCTGGCTTGCTGATCTTGTGTTTGACAGGAAGCAACAAACCACGGTCCCTGGTTCAGACATAAGGGGAAGCCAAGGCTTCCTGGTTTATTTATCTCCCCTGCTCCCAGGGAAAGGAATGACGCAAGAGTGATCAGGCATCAAATCTTACCTCTGCCATGAACTCACTGGCTGGCCTTAGGCGACATACCCACCAACATTTCTCCGATGAAAATAGGGATGTCCTATTCCATAATAATAATAATAATACCCTTCCAACATTTATAAAAACGTAACATTAAAAAGATGAATTAAAATTGGCTAACAAGAGATAAAACACCAGTGACATCTATTTGGTTTTTTATTTAACAATGTTCCTATTCACTCGTTCTGTTTTTGGCTGAAAGATGCTGTATCTAGCATCCATGAAATTATCCCCTCCGAGAGTATGTGACTGTTTAGTATGTTCGTAAAGGTTTTAAATATATATGTTTTGAAATCCTATCTTTAATTGTACTGTTGCATCACTTTGGTGTTTGCCGTGTTGGGTCTCCACTGGTAGGAAAGGTGGGGTTTTATATACAGTACTGTACAAATTCTACATGCATTCATGCAATTCTCTGTCCTGACACTAGGTGGCAGAAGGGGCCAAGAGGTTTCCAATTCCATTCCAGAGGATGGGAGGGATTCATATGCCATCCAGTGAAAAGGTGGGTCGTTGTCACCCCCCCCCGCCCCCCCATAAAGTCATGTTGATTTTATAGACTGGGTTCTTTGTGGTATTATTGGTTTGACGGTAGCAGATTCACCTTTCCCATTAATATGATGCAATATATCTTCATGCAGCCGTAAGAATGATGTCACAAACTGGAGAGATGTGGGGGAAGGTTGCAGTCAGGAACATGATGTGTTGCCCTGTTCTGCTCCTGGATCTGACTGGGACAGGGGAGGTATTTCTGGGGAGGGCAAGACAGACAGAGCCGCCGCAGACATCAGTGAGGAGCTGCGAGTTTTCTAGAAAACCAGAATCTGCATAGACTGTGCTTGAGTTATATCTGTCTTGATGATTTGTGCTTGAGCTTGCTTTTCTTATGTACATAAGCACCACAAGTGTGCTGGTCAAGCCAGTGGCCTGTTCTCCTGTTCTCACAGTGGCTAACCAGATTCCTATGGGGAAAATGGTATATTGTATTGCATAAAAATCTTCATACTGCACATTTTGAGGAAGTTAAACCTGATCTTAAAAAAACATTAAACTCATTCCAAAAAATTTTTTTTTTTCAAAAAATAATAATAATTCTCTTTCCCCACCCTGAAGGCTTTCACATCTCTACATCCAGATAAATTCCACTGGACTCATGTAAGGTTTTTTTGTTTTTGTTTTTTGAAAGTCCAAGCTGATCTTCTGTATCGACGTTTTTAGATTACTCTGGGCAATGAATTTCTGTGTTGGTGATGCCTCAGTTACTAGAAGAAAAGAGACAGCGTTATTATTATTTTAATGCAGTTTTCTTCCAGAAACCACATAAGCCATCACTGGTAACTTTTATAAATATGTATATACACAAGCTCAGTTCTGAAGCTGCTTCCAGAAATGTTTTAATCATTTAATAGCTCTGGGACTTTGACACTGATGCACTCCTCTAACTACTACGAACAAAAGAAGAGCCCTGCCCCATCAGACCAGAGGCCCATCTAGTCCAGTATTCTGTACTCATAGTGGCCAAGCAGATGCAACTGATATATTTTTTTTGACACAGCATATGAATATTAACATTTCCATTAATTTTATCTGCCTTCTATTTAGTTGGAAATTATAATAACCTTCCGTTGAGGCAATGCCACATGGTCTGCAAGCCTGCTGTGTATGCTGTTTTTGTATGCACTGTCTTTGTTCAATAGCGTGTTGCTTCTGTTGCAATTCCACCATGAGAGCATAGGCCAGCTTCATCATTTTGGAAAATAAACTATTGTAAATACTAATGCACCCCCTACTTTGCATGGGATTAAAATGATGCATACAAGTATTTCTGCTTATGGGCAAAGACAGGTGGAGGTGGGAGTAATGTTTTGTCCTAGAACCTTCAATAGAGAGACAGCCCGAGTGCTGTATTAGCACCTCAGTAAAGGCTGAATAGCAGAGGAGGGTGGTGAGTTTTGATGTATAACATTGCAATTGTTAGGCCAAAATGCTGAGCTCCACATATTATTTTTGAAAGAAAGAAAGAGAAAACCTTAATGGAAATATTTTCCACACCAGATGCACTCTGCGCCGTCTACTATTATTCTGTTTGCAGACTACTTCCACTAACTGGTTTCATATACTACATTGCATTTGCGTTTATCTCCCACACTTTTCTCCACGGAGCTCAAGGTGGCTTACGTGGTTCTCCCTCTCCTCATTTAATCCCCGCAACAACTCTGTGAGGTAGGTTAGCTTGAGAGTGAGTGACTGGCCCAAGCTCATGCAGTGAGCTTCACTGCTGAGTGGGGATTCGAACCCTGCTCCCCCAGGACCTGTTCTGACACTCTGACCGCACGCCACCACTGGTGAAATTTGCAAATTTCACTGGGTCATTTTGAATCCCAAACTTTGCAACAATTTATAGTAACAAATTACCAAAATGTTGGAGTTTCCAAAACTGATTTTAGGCTGTGGCTTTAAATGCGCCCTGACAAAAACAAAAGTATAGGAAATTTTAATGAGAAGCTTTATAACCCAAGGTCAGGTGGACTATCAGTCACATGATTCCACAGATGGGATGCAACCGCTCCCCTCATCCCTGCCACTGGCCATGCTTGCTTGGGCAGATGCGAGCCGGAGTTCAAAACTTCTGGTGGGCACCAGCTTGGGGAAGGCTCGCCTGATGACCTCTAACAGCTTCAGGCAACCACCGAAGCGCAGAAGAGCACTGACCTTTAGTCCCTTCCCCTTTGCGAAATTGCCACAGTGCTGGCAGTGCAAGACACCCTCCGGGGCTGCCTTTATCACATGCTGCCACTTCTGCTTTTGTGGCTGGTCATCACATGGTGTTGCAAGGCGATAATGCCGCAGCAACATCAGCAGGTTTCCGGGGGGTGAGCTCGAGTCTGCTGTCGGGGTTACAGACGTATCATGTGGATTTGTATCTGGATTCTAAGAGCGGAGTTGCCAAAAAACGGGTGGCCAAACTAGGCATGATGGGAATCATGTGAGCGGTCCTCTTCTGTTTTTTTTTAACCATATAGCAGCTGTGGTGGGTGGGTGTTAATCTTGATCAGCACCAGCGGATGTGCAAGAGGGGATTTAACCCTTTGCTCCCCACTGTTCCTATGTTAGTAGAGGATGGGGTGAGGAGGCAAAGTTTGCAAAGACCAATGTGACTGGTGTCAGAGCTACTTTGGCCATGAGGTGTCTGAGAGCTGGTGTCAGGGACTGAGTGGACACTGAGCAGTGGTGGGTGGATTCTGATGAGGGGGCACTGGGAGAAAGGGGGTTGGGACTGACTTGGAAGAAGGGAACAATGATCTGGGGGAGCCTGTAACAGCCAGGAGATGAGAGTAAGAGGCAAGAGAAGCTGCAGGACTGGAGAGTGAAGAACGGTTGCAGGAGGAGAGAGAGAGGTCAGGCTGATGTAGAACTAAGAGCTTCTATGCCTCCACCTCCTGCTGCACCTCTCCTGCTCCACTGGCTCCCAGGACCAGTCGAGGAATGAAGAGGGAGGAGCAGAAGCTTTGGGTTGCAAGTCTCATCAGCCCCAGTCAACACAGCTGTGGTTCAGGTACAGATGGTATGGGAACCAAGCAGGTCCTCGCAGCTGAATAATCTTCAGTGACTGTTGCATGATATACGATATCTTTATTATCATTGTCCCATACAGAAAATGAAATTGGAAAACTACATAAAACATTCAAAACCCCCTAAAAACTCTGAAACCCCATTTTAAAATACAATATACTATAGAGACTCCTTATGCTGCGTTTAGAACCAGAATTGCATTTGCGTAGAAACTGTTTCTCAGGTGGCTAGTCCTGGCCTTTATAACCCTATACCTTCTTCCAGAAGGCAGAAGCTGAAAGAGATCATTTCCGGGGTGCGCACTATCCTGCAGCTTTCTTATGGCACCTGACAGCATAGATTTGATCCAAGGTGGGAAGAGTGCACCCAATTATTCTCTCCGCAGTCTTTACAACCCTGGACAGCATTGTTTCTTCCCTGGCTGTGCAGCTCCCAAACCACACGCACAGACCATAAGTTAATACACTCTCCACAGTGCAATGGTAAAATGCCATCAACAGGTCCTTTGAGAGATTGTTTTTCCGGAGGATTCTCAGAAAATATTGATGAAGGAATCTTATTGATGAAGGAAAGTTTCGTGCATGCACAGGGCATGTCCTACAACACTGATGGCTTCCAGAGAGTGTACATTCTGCTCTGGCATGGCTCATTAGTGGGTGGGGGTTGCAGTCATGCAGCTGAAATCCATTTCCTAGTGGGTGGGTGAGGGGTGAGAGACTAACAAGCAAGAGTCCATGCGCTGAATGAGGCCAGCGTTACACACAGCTCACAGTTCTGTCCAGATACATTTGGGGAACTCTAAAGCAGGCCGGATGTTGTGCTTGCAAACTACGCTCTCCAGGAGCAACAGTTTCCTTTATGTTTGTCACCTGAACTCTGTATGGCTTGTAGAGAGGGAGCTCTGTTGTGTATGGTCCGGACTGCTTATGGAACATCGGAAACATGGCTGTCTCCAGCTGTAACTATGACAGAATTAGTGAATCTAGACAGACCGAGAGCTAGGTAAAACAGGGATAATCTGGCTGCATAGCTTGCAACCTAAAGCTTCCTTACTAGCAAGAAATCCTTCATTAAAATAATGCAGTAATAATATAATAAAAATAACGAGCCCCCGTCATGCTGCTGCTGAAGCAGAAAAATAAACCAAAAAAAGTGGGCCTTGTGCAATGCTGCGATTCCTACAGAGGGTGTGTGTGATAATATTAATAACATTTAGTAGTATCAACATATTAAATAATTATATAATGCTATAATAAGAAAAATGAGCCCAATTCTGCTGCTTCTGTAAGCAAGAAAGTGGGCCTTGTGCAATGCTGCGATTCCGACGTAGGGGTTGCGTGATCATAATATCAGTATTAATAACAATCCTATTTAGTAATAAGGGACGCCGGTGGCGCTGTGGGTTAAACCACAGAGCCTAGGACTTGCCAATCAGGAGGTCGGTGGTTTGAATCCCCGCGACGGGATGAGCTCCCGTTGCTCAGTCCCTGCTCCTGTCAACCTAGCAGTTCGAAAGCACGTCAAAGTGCAAGTAGATAAATAGGTACCGCTCTGGTGGGAAGGTAAATGGCGTTTCCGTGCGCTGCTCTGGTTCGCCAGAAGCGGCTTAGTCATGCTGGCCACATGACCCGGAAGCTGTACACCGGCTCCCTTGGCCAATAAAGCGAGATGAGCGCCACAACCCCAGAGTCGGCCATGACTGGACCTAATGGTCAGGGGTCCCTTTACCTTTTATTTAGTATTAATAATATCTCATATAACGTTAGAGTAAGAATAATGAGCCCCAATTCTGCTTCTGCAAGAGCAGAAAAATAAACGAATAAAATGCTGCGATTCTTGCAAAGAGGCTGCGCGTAACATTAACCGTAATATAATAACCATGACAATAATCGTAATCGCAAGGAGCCCCCGTCGTGGCCCGGCAGCAGCAGCGGCCAAACTAAGAGTCCGGGAAGAGGAGCAGGGGGGAAATCCTTCCGCCCCCGCCCCCCTCCCACCTAGGCCCGCCGAACCCGAGGTGGGAAGTGGGAGGAGCCACCCTGGCGCGCCGCAGCCAACCAGCGTCGTCCTCTCGGCCGCCCAATCGGCGGGCTGCTTCCAAGCGGCGGCCCGTGGGCGGGCCTTGGCGGGGGGCGGCGCCGCCGCGGCCTCCTCCGCCTCCTGTGAGGGAAGGAAAGGCGGGCAAAGCGAGCGGGCGAGGCGAGGCGAGGGAGCCGAGCGAGGCGGGAGCTGCGCGGCCGTGAGGGGAAGAGGAGAGAGGGGACCCGGAGGATTGCCGTCCGCTGAAGCCGCCGTTCGGCCGCCGGGAATTTACCTCAGGCTGGGCTAGTCGCCTTCGCCGCCGTGCATGGAGCGGCACCGCGGTGGCGAGGGCGGCGGGCAGGCTCGGGAGCCGCCGCTCAGGAAGGGGAGGAGCAGCAGCAGCAGCAGCAGCCGGGACTGGAGGAGCCCGCCCGCCTCGGGGCTCTGAGGGAGAGGGAGAGAGCGCGACACCCCCAGCCCCGCGTGCCTTCCTCGCCACCCCCGCCCGACGGCCTCCGTCGCTTGGCAACCGTAAGTCTTCCTCCCTCTGAGTCATCCCGCCGCCTGCTCCGCCCCCCAACGCCCGCTGGCCACGCCCACAGACAGGGCGCGCGCGGGCGGGCGTGCTCGGGGCCGACTTGGGAGAAAATACTGGGGGGCGGGGCCAGGCAAGCCCCGCCCCCCATAATCACTTCACGAGGGGGTACACACGCTATTTGAGTGGTGGTGCCCATCAACTAGGGGAAAGGGGATGGCGCCCTCAAATATTGGGGGGGGGGCGGTTGCTAAAGGCCCCTTGGCCCCTATAATGCGAACATGTATGTGTGTGAAGATACATACATATCTATGTGTGTGTGTGTATCTACACACACACACACACACACACAGTGAAACCTCAGGTTACATACATTTCAGGTTACAGACTCCGCTAACCCAGAAATAGTGCTTCAGGTTAAGAACTTTGCTTCAGGGTGAGAACAGAAATCGTGCTCCGGCGGCGCGGCAGCAGCGGGAGGCCCCATTAGCTAAAGTGGTGCTTCAGGTTAAGAACAGTTTCAGGTTAAGAGCGGACCTCCGGAACAAATTAAGTACTTAACCCAAGGTACCACTGTATATATATATATTTGTGTGGGTGTCTGAAGGAAAGTTAGATTGGTTATTAGCCAACGCCCCCCCCCCTTCAGTCATTTTTGGGAAACGGGCTGTCACCCCCACCACACCACCTAATAAGCTATAATTCCCCAATCGCCCCCACCCCATAAAATATAATCCCCAAATTGCTCCTCTATTGTGTTGTACCAGTTTGCCCTCACCCCAGTGAGCTATTACTGTAACCCCTAGATTGCCCCTCCAATGAACTATAATCCCCAAATTGCCCCCACCCCAACGAGATTGCCAGCTTTCTTTTAATAATAATACTTCCATCCTAGTAACTTTTTACTCAGAATACAGTAGACCCATCTGAAATGCATGGGCATGGCGAACCTTACAGTGAAGTGAAATTATTCATTCCTATGCATTTCAAATGGGCCTGTTCTGAGTACGGCTAGCATTGGGTTCAACAGACAGGGGTTTTTTTTTAAGGTTGTATTCAACTAACTTTTTACTTAGAGTAGACCCATTGAAATGCATGAGCATGACTAACTTAGTGAACCTAAGTTATGCCCATGCAGTTCAAGTGGGTCTGTTGTGAGTGTGGCTAGCATTGGGTACAGCTCACAGTTTCTAGCGTTTGTGGAAGCTGAGATATGAGGTAAAACATACAGGCAATATACAGGCCTCTCTTTTTGAGAGTCGAAAGCTGGCCTGCCCTTTCTCCTCCTCCTCCCCCTTTCTGGGTCCCCCCCCCTCACCCAGCCACTGGAAAAAAGATTCCTGTGGATGGATGCCCAGGCTCCTCCCCCTCTTTCTATCTTAATTGTGGAATAGGGTTTGGGAGTTTGCTTGCTTGGGAGGAAGTCTCCCTGGTACTTACTCCTAGGAAAGTGTGCATAGGGCTACAGGTTTAACCTCCTCTTGCTTTTTATTTATGCAGCTTATTTTTTCCATATGTGATAAATGAGAAATTATGTTTAGCTTATTAATTGGTTTCATGCACAATGTTATGCTCTGAACACTTCAGGAGAAGAATACCCTCTTCATGTTACTTGCTTCAGCAGTTATTCTTCCTCACTCTGTCTCCATTTGCTTGAATCAATAAATGCATATTGATCTCTGTTTAAGGGCTGAGTTTAATGGAGGAGAGTCTTTAATGCCTGTGTCCCTCTCCTCATCCCCTTCTACAATGTCATCTTCCCCCCAATACACTGTGGTTGACATATTGGCATAACACTTCTCTATTTGGGTGATAGTGGTGGAACTGGGTTTAGAAAATGCCCCTTGCTGTGGCTTTTGTTCTGCTTTCTGAGGTCATTATTAAACTAGATATTCTGTTCTTCCTCCACATGCTTGAAGAAGTACCCTTCAGGTTTACAGGCCCTTTCTTGTCTCCTTGTTGGAATGTAGGGTTCTACCAGCACAGGCTACTTGAGTATTGTCTACTCCATGGGTAGGCAAACTAAGGCCCGGGGGCCGGATCCGGCCCAATTGCCTTCTAAATCCGGCCTGCGGATGGTCTGGGAATCAGCATGTTTTTACATGAGTAGAATGTGTCCTTTTATTTAAAATGCATCTCTGGGTTATTTGTGGGGCATAGGAATTCGTTCATTTCCCCCCAAAATATAGTCCCCCCCCAAAGTCTGAGGAACAGTGGACCCACCCCCTACTGAAAAAGTATGCTGACCCCTGGTCTACTCATATTGCCACCAGCTTTTCAGGGTCTTCAGCAGATAACATGGTACATGATCTTTTTGCTGGAGATTTCCAGGGATCAGTCCTGGGACCTTGTGCATGCAATAAATGTGCTCTGCTGTTGAGCCCTAGTCCCTTCACATTAGCAGGTGACCTTCAGCCTCATAGACACTGTGTGCAATAAGCACCTCGTGGTGCTCCTCTCCCAAGTATTTGGTCCCTCCTGAACATAAAAACCCATTCTGGACTGAATAGATATTGTTATTGACCTGCCTATTGTAGACCTCTGTTTCTGGCAGTGCATCTTTGTAGCATTGAATGTCAGGTGCAAAAAGATCACACCCTCTTTCTGTATACATTACGATAAATGTAGTGGGGGGCCTTAACTTCAAGGGGCATTGAGCATGTGCTGTGTTCAAGCCTATTTATGGCCACATCGTTATTTCCATCCCCTGTAGAGTGTGTGTGTGAAAAACCATTGAACTCTGTAGGGTAGTTTCCTTTGCCTCAGAGATGGAGATCCACAAAGATTATGCATAGATGGTTCCCTTGAACCCTACTTGAAAGTAAAGCTAGGCCAATCCATGATGTTTGGCTGCCCTGATGCGTTTTATTTCAAGAGAACAGTCTTATTCCTTCCCTGGTTCCATTTTCCCTGTTGACTTTCCCCATCTCTCTTGGCTTTCATCTATATGTTTTTGGGTGGGGAAAGAGCTGTAGCTCAGTGCTAGAGCAAAAGCATGCAGAAGACCTGAGGCCCAGTCTCTGTATTTTTAATGGTTTTATCTTTTGCCTTCTTTTGTACTTGTTTATTGTAAAGCACCCAGAGAACTTTATGTTGTAGGACAGCATGCAAATGTCATAAGATGAATACACTGGGGTGGGGAAGTCTCCTGACTGAAGAGCCACTGCCTTTCAGTATAGAGACAATAGATGGACTAATGCCTCTCTGTAGATCAATGGCTTTTCAGAATGGGTTGTGAAATACAGTGTTTCAAGATATTGTTATGAGTTACATTGTTAACTTGTTACTCTGTTAAAAGGCTTTAGCTCCAGGATGGAAAGAGAATAATTTTAGTGGGAAATAGCAGTGCTACTATGTATGCTTGGATGACTTAAAAACAAGAAACGAACAAACTAGGAGCCTTTCAAGCATATTGTTCCTGCAACATGGTGGCAAGGGACAATACAGCCTCAAGCTCCTAGACTCACTTGCCTCTTACTCACCATTATTTGAAATAAACTTCCAGTGTGTAAAAGCAGAGAAACTTCTCAATCCATGCAGACCTTCTGCTTTCTGAATTTTGTGAAATTGCAGAATGGAAAGCAGTGAAGCTTTAGGGTCAAAATAAACTTTGAGTTATTCTGGGCTTTTCAAGGAACTACTATTTATGAGGACATGAATGAAATAAAAATGGATTCTGGATAGCTAACTTTGATGTCAACTGTAACACTTACACCCTGCTTCTGTACATGCTTTATTCAAAGTGAGTAGAAGCAGAATCTGCCACAAATGTTTGTATATAACTCACCAATAGAAGCGCTTTCAGAAAGTCATGCTATCCTATATGATGCTATGAACTGCAAAGGGCTCAAGCATCACAATTCACATTGCCTTCTCCCCACTCTTCCCTTTGTGCTTTGCTTTTTGATTGTTTCTCCCATCTGACACAAAACATTCTTGGGCTTGGAGGCCACTGAGTATGCTCAGTCCACATTGGCCTGGTTTGGGGTTGTTGTTGTTTTTAATGAAGGTGTTGTACTTTTGCATATCCTGCTTTACCCAGCCAAAACTTAAATTTTCCTCTTGCCAGAACTCGGCCACCTGAGTTTGCTGTTAGAAGGTATAATGAGCCTTCAGCTCAACTTCCTTGTAGAAAAATGTTGTGCTAATATTACCATTCGATTACATTGCCTTTTGGACTTTCTCCAAAATTAAGGGTTTCTTATGATGATGTATGATAGTGAAAAAACCTGAATTACTGTTTCTAAAACCTGATGATTAAACTTGGTTCACTAAAATATTGCTTTCATTTTCTACCTGTTCACTTTATTTGCCTAGCTAGCTAAAACTAAAATACACCTACATCCTTAGGGTGCAGCAGCTTGTATCTCCATTTTATGTAATTATATTCATAATTGTTTTATAATTATTGTTTGAATAGATGTAAGGTGTGTACGCATCTAAATTTCACAAGTAAACCAATTGGCACAGTTTTAGAGGCTAAAGTAGCACATGAAGCAGTTGGCACTGATTGCTGAGTAAACCACCTTTTGGATTGGAGCATGCTCTCATTATATCACGGATTGCTGGGATAAATGTGCACAGAGGTTTATTTGTGCTAGGTAAGAACATAGGAAGCTGCTTTATGATACGTCGGACCTCTGGTCTTTCTGACTCAGGATTGGCATCAGTTCTCCAGGGTTTCAGGCCAGGATCTCGTGCAGCTCTAGCTGGAGATCCTGGGGATTGAACCTTCTGCATGCAAGGCAGATGTTCTACCACTGGGCTGTGTGTTACACATTATAGGATAGGTGATGGTCATATGTGATGGTCATATGGCAAGTTGTAGCTATAATTGTTCAAAGTTCAGACAGAACAAATTTCGTGGTATGTAGTCAGATGCATGGGCTAATATACTTAGTATAATGCACAACCCTGGGCACAGCTCACTGTGGAAAGGCAGCATAGAAGTAAATTAAATAAACGACTTCAAAATCCAGCATTAATTATTGCAGGCTCACCCGAGTCACTTGCCTGCTAGC